TCTTAAATTTATTTCTCTCATCCAAACGCAGGGTTACATATTTTATTAAATTTTTATAAACTTATTATATTGATTTCTTCTACATATTTCGTTTGTTAGTCTGACAGTGACTTGGTCAAAAGTATGTTCGTTTGTTCTTTTATTGTTATTAGGATTGAGATGTTATATTGTGGACTGATGCTATAGATTCGTGTATACAATTTTCAGTTGAAGTGGATGTGGTTACTTAATTATGTGAAAAATTACTAGACGGGATTAACGAGTTATCTATTTAAGGAGTTGAGTATATATATGATTCACATGATACCACTTAATTGCTACGTCAATTTGTAAAAGTTTTATTATCACTTAAAATTTATAAAAAAAAAAAAAAAAAAAAAAAAAAAAAAAAAAAAAAAAATTATATAAAAAAAACAAACATAACATTTTAATTTAATGGGTTTTGTGTTTGTGAGGTTGGAAAAAGCTTCCCTAGAGGAATAAATTGCTTTCGTTGTTTTTTAAATCAACTAAGACGGGTAGCTGAACTTATGACTTTTCTTAACATTAAGAAGAGAAATATACTAAATCAACAACTAATTGGTATAATTGCTTCTTTGAAGGAACAAAAGGGTAGACTTGTCGATTTTATCCGGTGTCAAGACCCTTCACCAAAATATCAAATTAACTAATCTAGAGGCTAGTATGTTATGTTATATATAATATATAAAACTAATAAAACAACTTATAATTGAGTTAAAATTCCCTTTAAAACAAATTATACATGACTTAATTAGAAATATTTAATTATATGTAATGATTGAATACTTAGGTGTTTTATATACTTGTATTTTCAATTTCGACCCCCCAATTTTACTATTCTAGCTCCACCCCTGTCTCCATCCCTCTGTCACTATGAAAGAATGAACATGAGATATGTTCATTGAAGATAATGTGATGATGATGATGATGATGATGCAGTAATATGTAAGGCTGCAAATGAGGAACATGCAAGGGACCTACCCATCATGAATGGCATCAAAGAAGATATCAAATCCATTGAGGTTATAGACAATGGCAGCCCTGCCTACCAAGAAGCTCTTTCCAACTTTTCTAAGCGCCTTAAATCATTACAGGTTATGTTTAACTGCTTCTAGTCTACTTTATGCATACAACATATAATGGCTACATATGCCACAAAGACAAGCATTCTATAATTAAGTATATATTTCTCGTGATGCACATTCACTACATAAAAGCAACATTAATAACCACTTACATGATATCTATAGCATAAGATGAGGTGGCTGAAAGCACTATTCGTGTCTAATAGTATAATGGGCACGAATAAACGCGATTGTTAGCTAGACCTTAGTAGTGCTTTTAACAACTTAATCATGTCATTCGTTATTAATTAACTTTCCTTGTAGTGATCATATGCTTGTGTGGCCTTTTTTTACTTTGAGTTTTTTCTATGATCTTGGGCTAAATTGTATTATTTGGAGTTACCAACAGGAGCGTTACAGACAACACTTTCTGGAGGAGGAGAGAGAAGTATTACCCTATATGGAGGCAGCTGAGCTGAACAAAGAGCAGCAACAAAGATTATTGGACCAGTGTGTGGATGTGATGCAAGAATCACACTCACATAATTTGTTCATTTTTCTACTTCAAGGGCTTCTCCCTCATGAAGCCATGCACTACTTGGACTTGATCTCCATGTGCAGCAACAAAGAACGGACAGCTTCTATGCTTCAAATGATAATTTAGTAAGATCCGATTACAGTTGTTGGTTTGTATGTGTTGAATTTGATATGCAGAGATTAGCGATGGCATTTCTCATGTCACTAGGAACTACTCATAAAGTGGATTAATGTCAGAACCATGTAGTTTCCAAAGGCTTTTTCTTTTCATTGATGTCTCAAGATTTTCTCTGTGCGAAGACTCAAAATTTGAGTCCGAATACAAAGAAATCAACGGAGGTATTGAATCCTTTGGAAACCTAAGGGTTGTGTAATTATTTTGAATAGTAAATGTTGTGTGTTAAACTGTGTGTTAAACTGAAGGTGTGGCGTTCCTTTTATACTGATTTTGCCCTACTTTAAGTTGGATCCCATCCTACTGAAAATAGGATAATCAAATCAAATCCTTATACTTTTGCTCCCAAGTAATTTTGATGCGGTTTCAGCTATGGAGCTGCGAGGTGGGGCCAGTTCGTGGGCTGGAGCAGTACCCATGGCCATGGGGCAGTGAGATGGAACTGTGGTCTCAGCGGCGGTGTGCTGCGGTTGGTTTGACGCTGCGCCGTTGTGGTGGCTTAGGGCCGTCGCGAATTGCGTCGTCACTGTGGTCTTGCTTCCAACCATGATTGTTCAGAAGGCTTTGGTTGAGTGATGAATGGAAGGAAACGGATTCCTTATATTTGAGAGCAACACTTTGAGTACATTTCATTGCTCTCAATGAAAGCACCAAAATGAAATGTTTGTGCAGATATTTACACTGGGGATTATTCTCGGATTGATTCTTTTTGCACTTCGAACTTCCTTCTTCTTTTTCTTCTTCCTCGCTCCCTGTAAAATAAACTGGAGTCAATGGACCACACCTAGGGGGTATTGGCCAAAGGCCCTCCGATGTCTAACTCAATTAAATTATCTTGAAAAAGATACGGAGATGACAGAAATGATGGAGGTCTTCTCTCATGAGGAGAGCTGGGTGGCCGGAGCCGTGTTGGGGGGGGGGGGGGGAAGGTGGGATGGACCAATTAAGAGTCTTTGAAATCATAGCCAGGTCTTTTCCATGAAGGTTGGAGGGGTCACAATGGTCCTGCTTAAAACTCAATCTTCTTAGACACCGAGGGTAACTTTCCTAGACACTGTAATATCAGAGGTTACTCACTGGGGTTACTGAAAGGTAGCTTATTTTGTGGCATGACAGAGAAGATAAGGCTTGGTTGAATTTTAGCCCAAAATAAATTAGCTTGCATGATTGATGTGCTTGAGTGACTAGAGAGGCTTGATTTGGCATGGTTGTGGTTTGCAAGAGTTGCACTGACTTGTGTGTCTGATATTAGTTTTGTATGCTTGATATTGGCTTGCATGCTTGGTTTTGACATGTATATTTGGTATTGGCATGTATGCTTGATGTTGGCATGTATTCTTGGTATTTGGCTTGGATGCTTGGCATTGGCGTGTACACTTGATTTTGGCTTGTAAGCTTGGTACTAGCCTGTATGCTTGACTTTGGCTTGTATGTTTGGATGCTTGGTATTGGTGTACGCTTGGTATTGGCTAAGGTGGCATGGTTTAATATAGCTTTTGGGATATTCAGCATGGTGGATGTCATTTGACGGTAGCCAGAAGTGCCAGTAGATGGTGGAGATCCAATCTTGGAGTTGCGGATGCAATGAGCTTATTGGGTTTTCGTAAGGATGGATTGAGCTTTGATTCACCATTGTGTTTGAGTTTACATCACCAACCCCATAACATTTGAAATTAGCGGACAAAACCTCAGTGGAGGTGATGACGCGTGACATGATGGCTAGATACTAGAAGAATGTTTGAAATAGGGCATGTGCCAGAAGGATCTTTGAAATAGGGTTGGTGCTGGAAAATATTTTGTTTGACGTGGAATAGGTGCTGGAAATTCTTTGCTTGTGGAGTAGGTGATGGCAGTGCTTTGCATAATGTGAAATAGGTGTTGGAAGAACGTGACTTGGCTTGGCATGATTAGCTTGGACATGCTATGAAGATGTGGATAATCTAATGGTTGAGTTGAATCAAGATATAGCTTGGTCTGGCATGAGGGCTTTGGTGGATTAGAAGATGAATTGAGCATGATGGTGTTTGTGGTAGCTTGAAAGCGATATAGGTGTTGGCAAATACTGTAACTAGATAAAATCTTAACACAAATAAGCAATGCAGTGTGGAGGCCCTAAGTCACTTGGACTAGATCTTGGTTTTGGAGTCCGCTGTGCTGCCTTTTAGTACCTAGATTTGGGGCTCCTCTTTCAAATTTGGTGGCATGATGGTTCAATCTTCCGGTGGCATGAATATAGAGATTGTATTATCTTCTAGGAGCATCTGGTACATAGCATCATTATCACAAGTTTTGGACTTCCTTTCCTTCCTTTTTTTTTTTTTTTTTTTTTTTGTTTTTGATTTGCTTGGCATGAAGCCCAAGTCATTTGGGAGTTGCAGTGGGTTGTGGAGTTTGCTTTTGGCATTTCCGGCACCTTAATGGCATGAATGCTCAATTCGCCTCAACCCCAGAGGTCCTCTCACAAGATTTCATTTAGCTTGAGAACATAGATCTAAGAAACAAAGAAAGAGATAATGTTACTAACATTGTTAGGGTTGTTCTATAGAACATATGGCTAAGAAAAGAAAACATAGGAGAAAACATTCTTATCTTTGGTATATTGCATCGACGTGACTTAAAGCTTGTATGGAGGAGACGCTGCAAGAGTAATGGCCTAGTCCCCAGTGAAGTTGCCATTTATGTTGGGGTCTTTTTCCGTTGGAAGGCTTGTCCGAGCTTGTTGATTCTTGGACCGCCATAGAGTGGTGAAGCCTTTTTTTTTTTTGTTACAACAAAAGTGTATAGTGCTACCATAATGACATCAGAATACTGTTTGATGACAAAGTTAAATTCCTCTAAACGAAAAAATGTGTACAATTTGAAGGGATCACAAATTCCATTTACAAAGTTGGCCTTGCCATAAGTGATTGTTTAGCATAAACTGGATTTGTCCTGGGATTAAATGATGCAGCCTGATGGGCTGTTCTAGAATTGTTAAGACATGTCATTATCTCTCCTCCCAATCAAAATACTCCATCTCTTGCATTTGCCAAGAACTTTGAGAACAAGCTTCAATAAGAAATAGCGTCCATTTCACCATCAATCATCCCTATCGCGACCTTGACCAATTTCCTTACTAGAGCTTCGCTTCTCAAGTTCATCAGGGATTGAATTGCCAGCTCCGAACATGTTGCCAGTTTTTTAACGTAAAAAAAAAACTGTTCTCAGGTGCAACTTGCAACAACAGTGGCATCAGATGCTTCAAGATCAGCTCTGATTCGTTCACCACCTATCTCACTTGCAGGTGTTTCAATCTTCAAAATGTTTACAAATCTTTATGTAACTCATGAATTTCCATTAAACGTTTTTTTTTAGCGAAAGATCGACTTATCATTAACATCAACAAGATTGGGTTACATCAACAAGGTATGCATATATAGGTGGCCTCGTTAAAACCTTACCGAGGAAAACCCATTGGGACAAAACCTCACGATAGGAAAGAGTGCCACACATACCAAAAGACAAAGCAAGATTACATCAACAGGAGGATTAATCCAAAGGACAATCTCTACGCACACAGTCCATGAGCCAAGGGGGTCCAGCTTCCATCCAAAAGTCGAAGCGCTCCTATGACATCCAACTTCAGCAGCTTTAAGCTCCATGTCATCGTTCTTCGCCTGCATAACCAACTCAACAACAGATAACGGGTTACCACTAAAAAGTATATTATTCTGTGCAGTCCAAAGCATCCACATTGTGATAGCAAAAAGAGGGAGGTGCTCTCCAGAAAGAATATGTCAGGTCACTGCAACCCAGTCCATCGGGTCTTGAGTTTACAAATAAAAAATTTCCATTGCACTTGAGATATCTAGAAAGATTCATTGACTCAGCAGACACTTGAAGGCTGATTTTCTGTCTGAAATGATGATGACTTGAGCGATGCCACATGTGAACATATTTGGTCTGTTCCTACAAGTCCAAATTAGAATCAACAAATTAATCGTAATAGGAGTATACTTTATAATTTTGGTGATAATAGATTCTAAATGAACCTTAGAATAATGCTGGTTTTAATCAATGTAGACGGTTGTGTATATAAAACCGCAAATTATACAGATAACCTAAGCCTTGTTCAAGTCCAGGACAGATTTAATTAAGAATCCAAACAGAAATGAAGCAAAGGACAGGCAATGGACCAGAAGATTAGTATAAATTCCTCCATTGTTGAAAAAGAAACGGATGAATGATCACTTTTGAAAAATTGTATGCTCTAAGAGTCCTTTTTTTATTTTGTGTGGCTGACTCCTTTTAACAGTAGAAAAACAATAAGAGAAATAATTAATTACATAATACAGTCATCCAGGGCCCAGCTGATATATGCAAACTACTATTAATCTAAAGAGTCATATAAAAGCAACCAATACGCTTTGGATCACATTTTCCATTCATGTCTCAATTCCTTACACCACGAGGATAAGTTTCCTGCATGAATCTTTTCAGTTGAACAAAACCTTGTGGTATGTGTGTAAATTGCAGTCTACTGATTCTTATATTTAGAAAGTACGAAGACCAACAAATAGGCGAACTATCTTACAAATGCAAAACACGTCTTAGGGGTATGTTACATTTATTTTGTGCACTAGAGATGATGCATATATTTTTCAAATATCCAATTTCTGGAGGTTGAAAAAAAAAATTGTCAAGTTTGATTCAGAAATTAATCTGCAAGTCCGATTATCAGAAATTTAAATTCTGTAATGTTATTAAACAGTTATGATGGTGATGAGGCAAAAGAATGAAACGAAAAACAAAAGCTAGAAAGTAAACCTCCAGACCACCTGAAAGATCTAACTGTGACTTTCCATTTGTCAAGTGATGTTTGTGATCAGAATTACAAGAGCATCACATATCTACACAAGCTTCAAGGCTGGTAACAGAATAAAAAAGATGAGACAACATGCCAATGGCGAAGGAAATGCGGAAACGAGTTTGTGCTATGCCGCCTATGTCAAAAGTAGGCTTCTGCGGTTCAAGATAAGCAAAACCTGCTTTCATTAGAGGAAACAAAAAAATTACAAAACAGGGGACAAGTTATCTACTGGTTAAGCTAGACTACTCAACTAACACCGCAAATTGAAGATTAAACATCCTAACATTACAGGAACGAAATATAAAATACAGCAGCACTCCACTAGGAACATAAAAGAAATCTAAAAACAGAGTGTGGTTGAAGACTGACTGCGACATTAACAAATAAAAGCATTCATTTCCTGTCTTATAAAAGCATTTTTTTTCTTATGTCTAATAAAAAACCAAGGCCTAACAAAGAAAATGAGAGGGATGACAAACAGAGCTGAAACAAGCTTAATTCACTAAGAAGATTTTGTAATTCCTCAATGATCTCTCGCCACCACCTAAGACCATCTGTTGATACTAAGATAACATACATGCAGTACCTAGGAAAGTACAACTTAAGCTCACCTGTTGAACCCTAAACCCGAATAATATACTGTGAGTTTAATCTTACAACTTAAGCTCACAGGTTATCCATAGACATTGAATACAATTTAATCTAGCTCAAATGAGATCAAGTACATTTTTATTACGAAAATAGTAGCTCAAAATGTTGTTCATTCAATTCCTGTATTTGGGAATGTGTCAGTTGAGATATTCCAGGTTGTTTGTACCATATCTGACCACCCACCCGCGTCGTGACACGTGGAACACACTTAAAGCCGAGAGCAGCTCAAGTAGGCCATGCCGAATGTTCCTTCGGCATTCTCTACTGATTCTAGGATCAACTACGGTCCATCGGCTACCCACACCAACTTTCGGCATGGTGTGCCGAGCGACCAACGGTCACATCAATCCAACTATGACAGGTCGTCTCAGAACTCCTGCCAGAACCTGTCAGAGCACGTGTCGATCTCCGAAGACTCTCCCACGAGTCCCACATCGAAACTGAGTACTAAGAGCATCACAAATGCTCTCTATAAATAGAGCCCCTTGGCCCGGCCAAGTGGTAAGACTTTCTGACTTGACTAGTGCTTCCACTGTCAATAGAATTGCTCTTAGTTACTAACTTTGGCATCGGAGTGCCTTCGGCAGGTACCACACCGGTATCCTCTCCTCAGTCCGGATCCAGCCCCCGCTCGAACCTTCAGACATCACGAAAGGAGGTCACCCCGGTCCTGAACCATTAACATACTTGTAAGTTAGCATAAACTCTTATCTGTTCAGATTTAGCGTTAACAGATTGGTGCTGTCTGTGGGAAAATGATTGACAATCAGCCCATATCTCCCTTTTACTTCTAAACTATGAACTGAGCTTCGCCCCTTGCGGCCGACGGTCCCATCCTCGGCCTCACCGACCGAGAGAACCCTGTTGTGCCGCTCGGCACACCCTGAGTGGAAATGCCTGGTTGGCAAAGCACCCTGGAAGATAGGATGGAAGCCCTGCAGCAGGAAATGACCAGGATGCAAGAGCACAACAATATCCTCTCCTCCAAACTGGACGACACCCAGAAACAGCTTCATGAGCAACAATCACGTTTGGCCCAACTGCAGGACGGTTTGGAACAAACCACGCAACTTTGGCAGGAACGATCACTGAAGAGCGTACCAAGGCCTAACGATCGAAAGGCTGGAAAGCAGCTAGCTCAGGGCGAACCGTCCGCCTCCCGAAGAATGTTCTTGCCAACTTCGGCAGAGCACCACCGGGAATACCAAGTCTACTCCGACCGCCGCGACAGAATCAACGACCGATGACAGGAACGGCAAACATCACCGATTCCAGTCCAAGCAAAACTCAACGATCGGCATCTGGACGTACTCGGACCAAAATCTCCCCTTCGACGGAGGTACTAGACCTGGCAATATTACACACGACCCGTTAACACGACACGAATTCGCACGAAATTATCAGTATTTGGGTTGAGCTTAATGGGTCGGGTTGAAAACGGGTGAACCCGTTAGCCACCCGTTAAGTTAACAGGTCGTGTTGGGTCAATTCGCGAATATTCGCATCCACCCGTTAAAGAGGGTAATTTTGTAATTTTGAAAAATGTTTTTTAAAAAACATATCTTCATTCCTAACACCAAAAGAATGCTTCTTCTTTTTTTCTGTCATTTTTTATCTCTCCATCTTTCCCACTCTCTTTTTTAATATTATTTTTCCTTCAACCCATTCTCTCTCCGTGACTCTTCACTTTTTTTTCTTCTTCTTTCCCCTTATCTCCAGCTCTCTATTTTTTTTTCATTTTCTTCTTCCTCTTCCTGTCATTCCCTATCTCTCATTTTGTTTTTTACAAAAAAAATTCTCTTCTTCTCTCCACTCAACAGACTCAGCCCAGCCAAGAGAAGATTGTTGTGAAACGGAGACCTTCATCACGGCGACGTCACCTTAGATTTTAGATTTCTTCATGTACTTCCCCATCTCTCTTTATTCCTTTGTTTTTGCTGCTGTTGTTGGGTTTTAAGGTTGGATTGAATGAGACTGACTGTGAAAGTGGTTATCAGAGAGAGAGAGAGAGAGAGATAGGGACCAATTTTGTGAGATACCTGAGAAAGACATAGAAGGTTTTTTTGTTTTTCTTGGGGGTGGGGGGATGAGACAGAAACGAAGAGGGAAAAGTTAGGGCTGGGGTTTGGGGGAAGAAGAGTTAGCGTTGGGCAATAATTTTTTTTTCCTTGTTTATTCTTAACGGGTCGTGCGGATTATTCGCGAATTGTAACGGGTCGTATTTGGGTTTGATATTTTCCACCCGTTAAGTTAACGGGTCGTGTCGTGTTCAACCCGTTACCTTAACGGATTAACACGAACACGACCCGGAACCCGTTAAAACGACCCGTTTGCCAGGTCTAGGAGGTACGACGTGATCGGCCTAGAGGAGACAGACGAATCCGACTACATTCCGACCTCCCTTGGCACGACACTCTCACGCCAGTCGACGACATCCGGATCGGCCAGAAGGAACGATCGGCGGCAAGAACGTCCGACAACGGGGCACGAGGCACAAGGACACGAGGGTCACCTCCCAACCGGTCCCCAAACGACAGAACCCTTCGGGACCAACCTACCTCCTATCGATCCTACAATCCGCCTCCTCTTTCAAAAAGTCAATCGGATCGAGGAAGAGCAGAATCATATCCAGACACCAACCTGGGGAAAGGTACAATCGGGACCAATCACCAGCCGAATCCAATTCTACCGACCTGAAAAAGAGGTACAGGCCCTCCAAATCTCATTCTACTCAGGAGTGGAAGACCCCATCACCCATATTCACACATTTCAATCGGCCTTCGGTTGCAAGGGACTCACCGATGGAGGCCAATGCATGTTGTTCCCATCTACCTTGGCCGGGGCAGCTCTGAATTGATTCTATCGGCTGGAACTAGGTACGGTAGACTCTTTTGACCAGTTAAAGCAAATTTTCCTCAATCATTTTATGATACAGACCGATCGTCTATACTCTGCCGACGACCTTTACACCATTCGGCAAGGAGACAGTGAGCCCCTTCGGGAGTATGCAGCCAGATTTAGCCACGAGTACTCTCGGTGCCCAGAAACCGACGACCGAGCAGCCTTCGGCGCCTTCAAAAGTGGTCTCTGAGCCTCCCAATTTCGCTACCTAGTACACAACAGCAATTGGACCACCTATGGCGAACTCATGAAGCAGGCAGCCATTCACGCCAAGGCCGAACACTTCAACTCTAAAGGAATGCCTTCGGCATCTCCTGGCTCGACGACAAGCACAGGTCAGCCTTCGACATCCACCTATGACCGTTTCCCTCCACACCAGACCACTAGTCAGGCTCCCTACCGAACGACACCCACTGTGCCCGGACAAGCGAAGGGACTTGTTCTAGGGTCAGCAGGACGGAGGCAAACGCATTAAGGAGTCAGGTGGCTGAAATTTCCGAAGCACCAAAAGCGACCGACCGCCGGAGGTCTTCACCATTCTCAACTCAACCTACGAACATGTCCGCATGACCGAAAATTAGATGATCCCGAAGCCAAGCCTCCGGAAGCTCCCTCGGCAAGTCGACAAGGATACCAGAGTCTTCTGCCGATACCACCAATACAATGGCCACGATACCGAGTCCTGCATTGCCCTCCGGACGATCGTTGAGAAACTGATAAGTGAGGGCAAACTAGACCAGTATCTGAATGCGCAATCGGGCCCTGAGCACCAGGGGAATCGACAGATCAACATGATCAGCGGCGGTACACCGATCGCTGACTCCAGCTGTCGGTCCATCAAGAGTTACCTACGTGCCGTTCGGCACTTTTAGGTCCTCAGCCTCAATGAGGAGCGCATCAGCAAAATCCGGCGACTCGGATGGGAACCCATCACCTTTTCTGAAGAAGAAGAGAAGGGCATCATCTTCCCCAAATCAGATCCCATGATCATTCGAGCAGACATTTCCGACTTCGACGTAGGCTGAATCCTCATCGACATCGGAAGTTCGGTCAACGTACTCTTTGCCGATGCTTTCAACGGCCTCGGAATCGACCATCAAAGCCTCAACAAGGAGATCACTCCTCTTCTAAGCTTCTCGGGCGATGTGGTCGAGCCAATCGGGAGCCTCCAGCTTCCCCTTGGCATCGGCTCCGGCCCCAGAAGGGCTTTCATCTACACTCACTTCCTGGTAGTCAACTGTCCGACCGCATACAACGCCATCATCGACAGGCCCGCCCTCACCTAAATGAAAGCAATTTTGTCACCACATATGCTGCTGCTCAAATTCCCAACACACTCAGGAGTCGGTCAGGTTCAAGGAGACCAACTGAGCGCGCGGATATGCTACATGTCATCCACGGCGAAATCGGCAACCCAGACGTCAGGGCCAAGGCCGCCCAAAACACTGGCCGTTACCCACCCAAGCATGCCGAACGGCAAAGGAGGGACCGAACGTCCCGATGACCCCCGGGACGACAACGTCACGCCGCAAGCTCAACCTGCCGAAGAGCTCGAAACGATCTCCATCTTTGACACACAGGATCGGCAGGTCCGAATCGGCACTTCCCTCAGTCCGTCTCTTCGAACCGACTTCCTTGCCTTTTTGAGGGACAATTCGGAAGTTTTCGCCTGGTCTTACAACGATATGCCTGGTATCTCCCTGGACGTCATCAGCCACAAGCTCAACATCTCCCATTCTTTCAAGCCAGTCCGACAGAAGAGACGATCCCATGACGCCAAACGATACGAGGCCATGAAGACCGAAGTAGACAAGCTTCAGGCAATCGGCTTCATCCGAGACGTCACCTACCCCATTTGGCTTGCCAACTCAGTTTTGGTGAAGAAATCTGGCGGTGCCTGGAAAATGTGCCAGGATTACACCAATCTGAACAAAGCATGTCCGAAGGATAGCTTTCTACTACCAAGAATTGACCAACTGGGGGATACCACAGCTGGCCATGAGCTCCTCAGCTTCATGGACGCCTACTCCAGCTACAACCAGATCTTCATGCATCCTACAGATTGTGAGCATACGGCATTTATTACCGACAGAGGGCTTTATTGCTACAACGTCATGCCGTTCGGCCTAAAGAATGCTGGAGCTATGTATCAGCGACTAGTCCACAAAATCTTTGCCGAACTCATTAGCACTACAATGGAAGTCTACGTAGCCGATATGCTAGTCAAAAGTCGGACCGCCGGCGATCATCTTCGAAACCTCTCCCTCATGTTCGGCAAGCTGAAAAAATACAACATGCGCTTGAACTCGAGCAAATGCGCCTTCGGCGTCTCTTCCGTCAAATTCCTGGGTTTCATGATCAGCCAAAGGGGGGATTGAAGCCAACCCCGAGAAGATCCGAGCGCTCATCGATATGCAGGTGCTGAGGACGAAGAAGGAGGTTCAGAGCCTCACCGGCTGAGTCGCTGCCTTGGCCCGTTTCATATCAAAAACCACCGATCGGTGCGCCCCTTTCTTCAAAGCTCTCAAAGGGAGCAAACGGCAGGTCGATTGGACTTCCGAATGCGACCTGGTGTTCGAAGATCTGAAAGCCTACATGAGCAGAGCTCCTCTGGTGTCCACCCATCTTCCCGGAGAAGACCTCATCATCTATCTCTCGGTCTTAGCATCGGCCCTGAGTTCCGTGCTCATCCGTCGACCGAACTGCATTGAGCTCCCCATCTTTTGTATGAGCCATGCATTGCAGGACGCAAAGCAACGGTACCCCCAACTTGAACAGTTGGCCTACGCTCTCGTCCTCTCTGCGCGCAGACTACGGCCCTACTTTCAGGCTCACAACATCGATGTATTGACCAATCAACCCCTGCGGCAGGTCTTGCAGAAGCCAGAGACATCAGGACGACTGATCAAATGGGCCATCGAGCTTGGCGAGTTCGACATCAGGTATCACCCTCGGCCTTTGGAAAAAGGACATGCCGTGGCTGATTTCATCTTAGAATTCACACTTCCAACCAACGACGGACGACCAATCGACCCTGTCACGGCACCACCTTCAGCATTTGCAGATCCGCCTTCAGCTGACAATACATTTGATCAAAAAAGCCCTCACTGGACATTATACGTGGACGGCTCATCCAATCGACAGGGCAGAGGAGCAAGCCTAGTCCTCAAGACACCGGACGACACCACGATCGAATGTGCTATATGTTTCCAATTTCGTGCTTCCAACAACGAGGCCGAATATGAGGCGCTTCTAGCAGGCCTTCGGCTTGCCCAAAACGAGGGTGCCGAATGGCTGATGATATACAGCGACTCCCAACTCGTCATCAACCAGGTAATCATCGAATTTGCAGCAAAGGACGAATCAATGGCTGCCTATCTTGCACAGACCCGCCGATTGCTCAAACGGTTCAAAACCTACTACATCTGCCAAGTCCCCAGATCTGAGAACAGCCACGCCGATGCTCTCTCTAGACTCGCTTCGGCAATTGACGACTGTGCCGGACGCCACGTCCCCATAGAAGTTCTCACTCGGCGGAGCACGACTGAAGCCGATGTCAACACCATTCGTCGGGATCCTATTGGATGGACCCGATCCATGCCCACCTCACCGACGGCATCCTACCAACTGACAAAGCCGAAGCCAAGGCAGTACGACGACGATCGGTGCAGCCACTCCCTGCCATTGCTGAGATGTGTTACACCACAACAAGGAGACTACATCTTGCATGAGATACACGAAGGCGCGTGTGGTGACCACTCGGGATCCTGATCCTTGGCCTTCAAGGCCTTTCGGCAAGGCTATTATTGGTCAACTCTCCACGCTGACGCCACCCAGATTGTGCAAAGGTGCAATCCGTGCCAACGTTTCGGATCTGTATCGAAAGTCCCTGCCGAACCACTCAATCCGATGACTGGCCCGTGGCTATTCGCCCAATGGGAACTCGATCTCATCGGCCCCTTGCCGCAAGGCACGGGTCAGCTTAAGTTTGCAGTCGTGGCCGTTGATTACTTCACCAAATGGACTGAGGCTGAAGCCCTCGCAACAATAACGGCAACCAAGATCGAACACTTTGTATGGAAAAACATCCTATGCCGATTCAACCTACCAAACGCCATCGTAAGAAGCTGGGAGCCGCCAAGGGCAATTGGCCTTCCACACTACCGGAAGCACTATGGGCCATCAATACCTCCTACCGCAGGTCAACTGGCGAGACACCGTTCTCCCTAGCCTTCGGTACCGAAGATGTCGTACCGGTGGAAGTACATGCGCCCACATGCCGAACGGCATCTTATGACCCTCAGCAGAATGAATAGCAGCTCGCCCTCAACCTGGATCTCATTGACGAACACCGATCGCAAGCACAGCTCCGGAACGCCGATCGTTCAAAGTGGGGGACTGGGTTCTACGTAAAGTGTCTCTCGCAACGAGAAATCCTACTGAAGGCACTCTAGGCCCCTCATGGGAAGGACCCTATGAAATTGTCAGCATCTGCCGACTCGGCACCTACCGATTGCGTGGCTCCGATGGTCGAACCCTAGGCCACCCTTGGAATGTTGAACATTTAAAATTCTATTATAAGTGATTGGACCTTCGGCCACTACACTTTTGTACAACTTTTCTTTCAACAGCAGTATCGTTTTCCTATTTCTACACAAATCAGCATACATGCTTATATTCAGACACAAGGACAAACACCGAAGCTGATTCAAATTAGACTTGGATATAAATTAAAGCCTCAACCTGGGCATCCTCCCCGAGGTACGCCTCGACCATCTCCTCAGTTACCCTCTCGGGCAACGGTGGCGGATCCCGGATGAAGTTCAAGTTTAGTTTTTTATCGGCATTAAAGTGCTTGAACCGGTAGATGAGATCCTCGCATTGCTCCATCACCTCCTTGTCCAGGAGGGCAACGAACTCTAGAGAGCTTCGGTACTCGGCTATGGCCTTTTTCTTGGGCTCCTCCACCTCCCTAGCCCGAGACCGAAGCTCCTCCTCCTTCGCCGCCTCCGCCGCCGCCCTCGCCTCCTCGGCCTCTACCACCGCCCTCTCAGCCTCTACCAGCCTACAAGATAGCTCGGCAATCTTGGCAGCGTTCTCCTCTGCATGTCGATCCGCATCCTGGAGCAGCTTCCCAGCCTGGGTAATTTTGGCTCGGCCCTTCTCATACTTCTTCTGGACACGCTTGGCCGTGTTAATAGCCCGCTTCATGCCAAGCCACATCTCCATGTTAGCCTGCCGATTGCAGTTAGCACATACCGATCGCTACACAGTTAGCACATACCGATCGCATACACACCACACCTCACAAACGAGCAGTATACACTTACGGCAGCTTGGAGGCGGAAGGCACGTCCGGCCTGTTCGCACACCGACTTCTTTGGTAGCTACTCCAGCTCTGAGAGCTCCATATGAGCATCGTCGATGAAGCAGTTCATGAATGGTACCACCTTCCGGGGGCAGGCGATGTTCACCGGCTCCGCTTTGGCATCCTCCTCGTCCGACACGAGGACGGCTGCTTCCTCGTTCGGCCCCTTTGGCCTCTTCGGCAGAGGGGTCACATCGAGGGCACCCTCGATCACCCTTTTTTCGGTCGCCTGGAGATGGGCCTCCCGGATCAGCTCAGCCTCCGCCACCCTTCTCTCCCGCCGTCGATCGACCGGCGTGCCCTCCTGTGCCGACGTACCCTTGGCCTGGCGGGGCAGCTTCGTCTTTGGCCTCGAGGAACCGGTTTTCTTCTTCTGAGGGGGCCGTGACTCCAGCCTCCTCGTCGCGTCCGACATTGCTCTCCCTCCTGCCACTACAAAACAAAAAAAAACATAGAGGAGACAAGAAGTTAGGGCAGATTTGGCATACGCTGGAAAAAAAAATGGATGCCGAACGGCATTACTTACTTTGCCTCTACCTCTCTTCCTCTTCTTCCTCCCTCCTTCGGAGGTACTCCAGCTCGCTGATCAGACCCACTTTGTACAGGTTCTTGTAGTCTAGCAGACCCTTGTGCACACGACCCTCCTCCGTTATTCTTGACTGAACGCGCTCGATCACTTCTATCTCCCTCTTCGTAGCGATCGACCGTTTCAAGGACACAAAATACCACCTCCCGTTAGCTTCGGCACAAAAAAAAATAAAGGACGCTACTTCTACCGAACGGCACCCCATGGGCCTACTGACTGTCTGGAAGGAAGTGGGGATATGCCTCTCCACAATCACTCCCAGTGCCGATTCCCAAGCTCCGGACACCAACACCCGACGACACCTCGACTACGAAGTGCCCCCTCTGCCCCGTCGACAGATGGTTCGACTGCACCCACCCCCCCTGATCGGCGCTCTTCTCCCTTGTCACACTATACAGGTGGGCAAATTACTCATAGCTCGGCTCCCCCTCACGAGCTAAGCTGAAGGCCGTGACTGTCCCCAAGAGTGTTATCCAAAAATTTGGGTTAAACAGCCCAGGGGCGTAGCCAATCGCCGCCAGGATCTTCTGCACGGAATGCCTCAGTGGCAACCGAAGCCCGTGCTTGAAGACATCCGTGAAGAAGCCCACCTCCCCCTTCGGATTGCTCAATGACTCCAACGGCCCTGGGATCCGCATCTTTACCAATTCCGGTATGTTGTACAGGGCCCGGATCTTCGCCACCTCCGCCTCGGTCAAGACGTTCAGCTCTAGGTGGTCCACCCCGAACACAAGGTCCTTTGGCTTTGCCATCGGTATCCTTTGTCGGCCAGTGACCACCGTCAGCACGACTTTCCTAGGATCGGCGACCGACACATCGGCCTCGGCCTCTCGCATTCGATGACCAGATGTCGATGGGTGGGCGTTTTCAGCCCTCACTACTTCCACACTCGAAGTACTCCCCGTATCGGTAGACACCTTCGGCACTTCTCCTCCCTCGGTCTCCTCGAAACCGGCACTATCAAGCCCTGCGGTCGAGCTCTTCGATGCCAATTCTCCATCAAACGCTCTTGGGCTACAACTATAGTCTGATTCAGTGTCTGACATCCACAAACAACAACAAAATGGAACTAAACGACTTGCTCAAATCCAACCCCTATCCAAGAGCCTAAGAGCTGATGTTCATCTATGATCATCTACGTTCTTACATGTTCATACAAAATTTGAGACTTTAATTCATTTCAAATACCAAAAACCTCAACATACCTTGTTTTCCACGGTGGTGGAAGTCGCCAGAAATCGCTCCGCCTTTGCAAAAATCGCCTGAAATCGCCTACAACACTGCAATGCACTTGCTGGAAATCGCCTATCACAAGCTCCGTTTGCTCTCAAAAACACAAGTACCTCCTCATACCACCTCTTCCTTCGATTTATAGGACGAGCCTCGCATCGGGAACCGAAACGTTGCAACTCTTCGCAACCTTGCCGACACGTGTCACCCATGCACAGGGGAGCCCAAGCGCCCTCACCTCCCCACTTGCGCCTACACTTCAACGTTTCACCTTCTCCATTCTTCTCCTTTTGAGAACCAACACACCTTTCCCGGCGAATAGCAGGCACGCATGAGTCAAGTTTTCGCTCACCTCTCGTGCCGAACGGCACGCACGCATGGGTCGAGTTTTCACTCACCTCTCGTGCCGAACGGCACGCACGCATGGGTTGAGTTTTCACTCACCTCTCGTGCCGAACGGTACGCACGCATGGGTCGAGTCTTCACTCACCTCTCGTGCCGAACGACAGGCACGCATGAGTCAAGTTTTCACTCACCTCTCGTGCCGAACAGCAGGCCCGCATGGGTCAAGTTTTCACTCACCTCTCGTGCCGAACGGGAGGCACGCGTGAGTCAAGTTTTCACTCACCTCTCGTGTCGAACGGCAGGCACGCATGAGTCAAGTTTTCACTCACCTCTCGTGCCGAACAGCAGGCATGCATGGGACGAGTTTTCACTCACCTCTCGTGCCGAACGGCAGGCACGCATGGGTCGAGTTTTTTCCTGCCTGCCTCATGCTTTTTATACCGTTCAAACACCTCCGGCTCTTCCTGCCATTCCCTTCCAATCTTCAAACCAACCCTTTGGCTTGAGGACTTGGGGGACTACATGATTATCACCGGCTTACAACAATAGATGCTCGTTCCCAGGCCAGAATGCCGGAGCTCAAGGACACAAGCAAGTTGCCAACCAAGAAGTCCCTCCTCGATCAGAAACTTGGGGGACTACTGTTTGTACCATATCTGACCACCTACCCGCGTCGTGACACGTGGAGCACACTTAAAGCCGAGAGCAGCTCAAGTAGGCCATGGCGAATGTTCCTTCGGCATTCTCTACCGATTCTAGGATCAACTACAATCCATCAGCTACCCACATCAACTTTCGGCATGGTGTGCCGAGCGACCAATGGTTACATCAATCTAACTCTGACAGATCGTCTCAGAACTCCTGCCAGAACCTGTCAAAGCACGTGTCGATCTCCGAAGACTCTCCCACGAGTTACACATCGAAACTGAGTACTAAGAGCATCACAAATGCTCTCTATAAATAGATCCCCTTGGCCCGGCCAAGTGGTAAGACTTTCTGACTTGACTAGTGCTTCCACTGTCAATAGAATCGCTCTTAGTTACTAACTTTGGCATTGGAGTACCTTCGGCAGGTACCACACTGGTATCCCCTTCTCAGTCCGGATCCAGCCCCCGCTCGAACCTTCGGACATCACGGAAGAAGGTCACCCCGGTCCTCAACCATCAGCATACTTGTAAGTTAGCTTAAACTCTTATCCGTAGAAAAACAAAGAAAACTAAAGAAAACTTGCAAATGAATAGCTCTCCAAATGAAACATAAAGAAAACTTGCAAATGAATAGCTCTCCAAGAGAAAATATGTTGTCCTGCAAAACGAATGCTAATTATTCAGCATTTGAGATTTAAATAGGATATAAGTTGTGATCAGCAGAACAAGCAGAATGAGAAATAAAGCAAATTTAACCAGAATTTAATGAGCAAAATAATAATAGAAATCAGATTGAGTGTTTGTGTTAAGTACTTTGTATGTGAGCGAGAGGGAGAGAGAGCTCATATCTTATGATAACTTCTTCGCCTATCTTGATGCTAGGAATGTGAGATACCTTTTTACATGGCAAAACAATGGTTGATGCACAGATAAGAAAGAGATGGTGGCAAACGCTCTTTTGGCAGGAATTGGATACTGGATTAGAAAAACAATGGGTCGATGCACAGATAAGAAACGTGCTTTGCCCTACTAAAATGTATATACTTTTTTTTATTTTTTTATTTTTGCGATGTCTAATAAATTCTCAGTTGCTGTGAAATGCAGGGACAAGGGTAAACCATAACCTAGAACAACAAAACTTAACAAAGAAAAGGAGAGAGATGATAAACAAAGGTTATACAAGCTAAATTCACTAACAATTTTCTAATGGCTTATCGATCTGTCTCCTCAACCTAAGACAACCTATTGATACTAGGACGACAAATGGCATGAACCTATTAACTGACTATCCAAAGATTAATTAAGGGCATGAACCTATTAACAGACTAGCCATAGGCATTAAATTCGATTTAAACTAGCTCAAACGAGAATCAAATACATTTTTTTTCATATGAAAGTACCTAAAAATGGTGTACATTTGATGCCTATATGTAGGAAGAGCTATATACAATAGTAAACCCTCCTCTTGAAATTCCACACAAAGAAACTTTCCAAATGAAAAGCTCCCCAAGGGCCAAGAGAAGGTACGTCGTCCTGCAAAAAGGCTGCTAATTATTCAGCATTTGATACTCCAAGTAGGATATAATTTGTGACCAGCAACCATAATTTACTGAGCAACATGTTATTAGAAATCTGATTGATTGTTTTTTTTTCTGGAAAAATTATTTTTATCTGAAAATAGCATGAGACCAGTAAAAAGCAATGACAATGCAAATGATAAAAAGGTATGATTTTGATAAGATACGTGAAATTATTAGAAATTTGGAGATTGAATTTGGGTTTTTGGAAGAGAGAGAATATGTGTTTTGGTTTTTGGATTCAATTAGAAGAAGAACAGGCACATACTTGACCTGAGTTTGATTTGAGAGTTGAGGGTTGAGAGTGAAATATGGACTAGCTCATATTTTATGATCACTTCGTTGCCTATCGCGATGCTAGGAATGTGAGATATCTTGGCCCAATCTTGTCCCGTCTTATTCTTACACCTTTTCTCCAGGGCAGGGCAAAAGAAGATACGCAGATGAGAAAGAAATGGCGGCAAACCCTCTTCTGGCAGGAATTCCAGACTTGGACACAATCCAATTTCTAGCACTTGAAGAGAAGTGAGACGTCCAAGACCCTTTCCGTCCAAAGATTTCAGAGTTGAAGAGATGCTGAGAGTATGAAGAGTTGTAGGGAGCAGCTGTTCCTTGAGCAACATCTCCAAGACATGGTCACTTCCACTGATAGAAAATTGTTCAAGGGAGACAAGTGCTTGCAAACCCCAGTACTCTCCCACTGATGAAGCCCTCAGTCTCTCACAATTCCCAATGCTCAAATGTCGGAGGTTGGGAGGCAAACCCCCATCTTCTGCAAATGACTCCAGATTCAGAAGACTCCATATCCACAAATCTCGAAGGGCTGTGAGGGTGTGAAGGCGTTCGGGCAATGACTTCAAATTCTCGCATTCACCGACTTCAAAGTGACTCAAGTTGGGAGTGGGCAATTCTCCCTCGTAAAAACACACCAGATCTGGACATCGACGGACATCCAAGTAATTGAGATGGCTAAGATTCTCAACAGCTCGTTCTTCTTCCAAGGAAAGGGATTCCAGATTCTCACAATCCCAAATTTGAACCTTCGTCAATTTGGGAAAAATTCCCAACGGGAAGAACCTCATTGAATCACAGCTATTCAGTATGCCCAAATAGTCAAGCGAGGTTAATTTGGCCAACATCCCATGACGTAGGAATTCTAATCTCCTACAATTGTGTATAGAAAGCCATGTCAACGTAGTGGCTAGGCCATCTTTAGGGAACGACGACAGCGTTGGACAATTCCTCCCACTTGCACTTCCACTTGGCACCCATTCCTCCCACTCCGGCATCTCCCTAAACTCCAGCTTCTCTAGAGATTGAAATGGCTGAGTCAGATAACCTCCATTTTTGCCATAGAATTCAACGCTAATCGTCTTCACAAACTTCATTCTTTCTATACAGAGTTCTTTGAGTGCCGGTAGCCGCCCAACTGGTGGGAGCGACCAACAATAACTACAGTCACTGAGATGCATGACTTGTATGTTAGAAAAAGATGAGTCCCCTAACCAATTCGGAAAATTGGTTCCACCATAGAATCTGATGGTTAATTCTCCAAATTCACACAAGGTAGGAGCTTGTTGAGTACATCTTTCTCCTTTTGGGAATCATCAGCATCCTCCGCACCCCATGAAAACTCTAACTCCTTGAGATCTTTCTTGTGCTTCATATTGGCGTGTCGTGCATCCCTCGCATCAACTACATTTTGTAGCTTCAAAATTGATAGTTTTCCTTGAAGCTGTGGGAACTCCCTCAGTTCTCTTATGCCTGACCCAGTAGATTTTCCCACAACAAATGCAGTCAATGTTCTCAAACTTTTCAGTTTACCCATTTGCACTGGCACCTCTTCAATTTTAGTTCCACTAACATCAAGATGATGCAAATTAATCAACTCCTTCATGCCTACAGGCAATTTAATAAGAGATATACAACCTCTCAACATCAATTTCTGTAAATTAATCAATTTTCTAATGTCTGCAGGCAATTCAAGTAGAGAGGAACAATTTGACAATAGTAATGTCTGCAAGTTGTAGAGATTGCAAAGTACCCCAGGTAACCTTTCAATTGCGGTATGAGAAAGATCCAAGTAGCGCAGGTGAATGAGGTTTGCAATAGAATCAGGTAGCACAGTGACATTTTGATAACGTGACAATGATAACACCCGTAAACATCTTAGTGATGGCAACAAATCATGTAGAACTTTTTACTTACAAAATCTTTTTCCCAAAATATATATGGATTTAAAGAGGTAGGTAGGAAGGTCCGCAAACACTTAGCCTTGGGCCTGGACCTTCAATAAAGGCTAGCCTGTAGAAGATAAAATAGGAGAAGCAGACGTTAAGCTTCGGACACCGATGTGGTGCCAGCCGAAGGCTCTCCGATGCTTAAGTCAGCTAAGAGGGGTAACTTTAGCAGAATAATAGTAAAATGTAAGAAAGTAGTTACCCTTTTTACTAGGGTATTGTGCCCTTTTTATAGGGAAGTGAAAGTGGCAGGTTGGTGTAGATTTTCGATGTGGGACTTTGTGCAAGTCGCTGCGGTGGTGACACGTGTCATGGAAATTAGTTTTAGTAGTTTGTGAGCTTTGGCAGTCGGGAGTTTCGGCAGGTGCTAGGCACCTCGGAAGAGTGTCTTCCTTCGGCAAGGGAGAAGGCGTGTCTGCCTTGGTGCTAGTTGTTTTGAGGCTGGATATGCTCGGTTGATTATGGTGTAAACAGTAGTCCCCCAAGTTCGCGGTCAAGAAGTGACTTCTGGGTTGGGAACTTGTGAGATTTTGTGTAATCATGACCGAGCATTTCAGGTTCAGTGGGAGACGTAGGGTAGTCCCTAGTCCCCCAAGTTGGCAAGCTAGAAGATGCGCTAATACTTGGTAGGTATGATAAAAGCTGTGTTAGCCTCTGGGATATTTGGTAGCTGGGTACCTTTGAAAGAAAAGTAAACCTGGGTCTTGAAGCTTCAGCAAGGAAATCTGTGGGCCTCAATGATTGTTGACTCGGGTCCTACCATTTGGTAACGAAGTGATGGTTTTGGGCAGCAAAGGCTTGGGTCCCAAAAGATTGGGCTGAAGCTTGAAGGAGAAAAGATTGGGCTTGGGGCCCATGATGGTTTTGACTTGGCCAAAATAGCCTAGGCCGGGTGTGGGCTTTGTTGGCAAAGGGTTTCAAAGAGGTATGTCCAAAAGGGGGTTTTGGTGGGGTGTGTGGCCATGCCCATGACCCCTGCCGTTCGGCAATAAGGGCCAAGCCTGCCCAAGGTAAGCTTTGGGAAGGTAGTTTGAGCAAAAAGGCTGGGCCTTTGTTTTTGTTGGCTTAGATAAGTGAAGTGCTAGGTTTAAATTTGTGGGGGGTTTATAAAAATTGTTCTGGCTACTCTTGCCATTCGGCAAGCAAGAGCTGAGGCCATTTTGAGAAAAAAAAACAACGAAAAAGTGGAGTTGGGAGTGTTCAGACCTTCTACAGGGAGTTGAAGTGGAGCTAGGTCTTTCGGGACAGCCTAGCTCTTGAGCCTTGGTTCTTCTTGGAGTGTCAGCAAGCTTGGAGTGCCGTTCGACAAGTTGTGTTGGTGTGTGGCTGGCTAAACCGTCATGCCGTTGGGTCTCTTGAAGTGTCAGAGCGAGGCCTTCGGTGAGAGAGCCTAGGACCTTTGTATGTCGAAGTTGAAGCTGAGTTCGGTGGTCTTGGGAGCTCGGGTCTGGTTACTTCGGCAAGATCAGATTTCTCGAAGGGTTTGGGTCATGTCTTCGGTAAGCTGAAACGTGAAGGTGAATGTGGGAGGAGCTCGAGGTCGGTCTGTTTTTGTGAAATACCGCCTAGCCTGGCTATTGCAGATTCGGCAAGGGTGGTTTGGAAAGAGGCTTTCGTGAATTTCCAGCCTCAGCAAGGTCCTTGCCGATTGGCAAGGACCCGGGGAAGGTGTTTTTGTGGGCCTTCGAGGAGTCTGAGGCGAGGCTGGGCGCCTTGAGCTTCGGTAGGTATTTTTAGCAGCCCCCACTTTTGTTTTCACGGGCCTTGCCGTTCGGCAAGGTCCCTAACTTTGTTTCGGTCAGTTTTAGTTTTTTTTTGTTTTGTTTTTGTTTGAAGCCTCACGTTTGCAGCTGTGGCAGGTCGTGAGCTCCGGATTGTGGCTTGGGTCTTTGAAATTCTGCTTGTAGCTGGGTGTAGCAGGGTCGGCAGGTTGAGTTTGGGCCTTCTCGTGAGGCCTTGGCATCGGGGCTGAGAGCTGAAATTTGGAGCTGGGCTTGTTATTTGGGTGTCTTGATCAAAATTTCGGGTGTTTGTTTCGTTGTTCTCGTGGAGGTAGGTTCGGAGCTGGGACACCTTGGAATTTTCGGCAAGAGGTGAAAGCCTAGAGCTGGGACCTTCGGTAGGTGTCCAAAAGGGTTTGGTAAACATTTGAGCTGGTCCCGTTTTGGCTAGGAGTTAGCTAGGATTTGGAGCTGGGCTCCGTGAGGTTTGGTGGTTTTTGATTTGGGGCCGGTGAAAAATTTTGTGTCCCCCATTCCTTGTTGCGTTTGGCAGTTAGGACTCGGAGGAGTTTGGAGACTTTTAGGAGCTAGACCACTTGAGCTGGGTGTTGTGAGTGTTGAGCGAGGTTTCTTTGAGGTCTAATTGGAGTTTCGGAGCTGGGCTCTATAGTTGGGCCTTGAGCGACTTGGAGCTGGACCTTGGTGTGGTTTTCGATTTTGGAGTTGGGTTTTGAGCTAGGATCTGGTCCGTGTAGCTGGGGCTTGGTAAGGTTTGAGTGAGGTCTTGGAGCTAGGTCACTTGGAGTGCTCGGCGAGAGGCCGAGGCCTAGAACCTGGACCGGTTTGGAGTTGGGCTCCATGAGGTTCGCAAGGTGCCCAGGACCCTGCTGTTTCGGAAAAAGGGCTTGGACTCTTGGGCTTTTGGCAATCCTTGGGGCTGGGCTCCACGAGTAAGTAATTCTTGGAGAACCTCCCTCTTTTTTTTCTTGTTGCTTGGTTGTAGTTATGATGGGTGTCTAGAGAAGTTTGGTGTTGGCTTTTGGGCTGGGCCCTTTAGAGCTAGATCACGGGTTGAGGGCTAGGGCACAGGAGTTGGAGCTGGGCCTAAGAAAAAGGGTGGAAGGCTGGGCTTCTATATTAGAGATGGGCTCCGGGCCTGGCCCTTGTACTTGTGAAAGCATCCCCGTGGGTGTGGGCCCGTGGGTTTGTGAGCCTTTCCCATTTTTCCTTTTGCACGGGTGCCTTGATCAAATTTTTGTTTTGTTCAAGCTTGGGTTGTGAGGCCTCCCTTTTTCACTTCCATGGGCCTTGCCGTTCGGCAAGGTCCCTTTAATTTCCTCCATTTTTCCGTTTTTTTTTTTTTGTTGAAGTTTGAATATCAAATGTTGTGTAGGTACAAGGATTTGGGAGGGAAGGTGAAAGGGTGCTAGGGTTTCTTGTGTACCCTAGGGTATTTATAAATAGAAGCTTGGAGTGACGTAGGCATCACACTTGGAGATTTTTGAGAAAGATTTCCAAAAAGTGAGAAGGAGAAAAAGATTTCCGGTGAGATTTTGGTGGTGGTGCTTGTGGCCAAGGTGATTTCCGACGACTCATTCGTGGTGGTGCAAACAAGGTTAGACTTCATTTCCCTTGACCTTTTGAATTGAAATTCAATTTTTGGTATGAACATGTTGAAGATTAGGATGAACACCTTGAACATGAGTATGAATATGTTGAACATCCTGAACCTTGAGATGAACTTGTTGAATGTATGCATCTAGATCAAAAAGCATGTAGATGCCGTCAAATGTTGTGTTTTTGTGTTTGGATCCTCCTTGCATGTGCATTAGTTCCCTTTTTCTTGTTTCTGCATGTTGTAGATGTCTGAGAGTTCTGATAAAGAAGGTCCAGACTCCCTTGCCATTGGTGGGGATGATACTGAGAGTGAAGAGAACAGTGAGTATGTTTGTTCTGAAGATGAGAGTTCCCAGATAGAGGGTTTGGTAGAAGGGCTTATAGAAGCTAGGATGGTAGTTCATGAGGGTGAGATGGTTGGGCCATCAGTAGAGTCTGGGTCAGAGGCAATAGGGAGATGCAGAAGAAGTATAAAGTGTTAGAGGCTAGTGTTGATTGGGTTCTAGCTTTGGCACATACACCGGAGGTGGGGTCGAACAATCAGACATCACCATCAGGGTCTATGGGTATAGCTGTGGCTTCAGCTTCAGAGGGGGTGGACATCCGGGTTGGTGTCCCTTTGGTGAAGCGGAATACACTTACATAAGTAAAGTTGACTGAGCTTCAGACAGATTATAGTGTGCCACCCTATGTGGGCCTGAGGTTACCCAGTGCTGCGGATGTAGTGAGATATCCTCCGGAGGGTTCAGTTATGATTTTCACGGATATGTACCAGCATGGCCTCAGACTACCGTTTCATCCTTGGGTACAGATGATGTTGGCCAAGTTAGGGTATGCGTCGGGGCAATACAATCCCAACTTTTGGCTGCTTCTGCATGGAGTTTATATTGCTTGGCGGTTGGTTGGGTTGGGGGAGCCAACATTTGAGCCAATTTATGTACTTGTATTCGATCTCCTAATAATAGGGAACCTTTGGCTGGGTACAAGCCAATTGTCGGAAGGCAAAAGAGAGGGGTTACTTTATCGGGCATAAACCCAGCACTCAGAAGTCTTGGAGGAATAGATGGTGCTTAGTCTATGGTGATTGGGAGTGTCCTCCAGGGAAGACCGTCTCCAGACACATTCCTACCCACTTCCAGTCTATAGGTCCTTAGCCCCATCCCTTAAGACTGATTTCTTGTTTTGTAGTGTTTTTACTTGTGCTTCAGTTGTTGCTTGTGCAAATGTAAATGGCTGAATTAAATCTAACCTTTGGTGCAGGTTCAGTGAAGTGGGGACCGATCTCCGAGGTTGAGGTCACTATTGTCGGAGACCCAACGTGAGTGCAAAAACCTAGTCACCCAGAAGAACCTGTACGAGTCCGGACTCTTGCAAGGGAGTAAGTACTTGGGTCACTGTTGTTTGGCTTATGATTCTTTTTACAATTGGGACTAACTTTGCTTTTAATGTGCAATGACAGGTATCATAAGGGGGAGCATGAAGGTGGCTATGGATCTGGATAATCCCGGGATGCAGAAACGGCTGAGGGAGTCTCGCGCCAAGAAGGTGGAGAAGGGAGGTGCTCAGCAGGCGACTGGTAAGCGGCCTAGAGATCATGAAGGCCTAGTTGCTGATGTGTTGGGAAAGAAGAGAGTGCTGGAGGAAGCTCATCGAAGTGTGATGGGGACAGGGCCGAGGCTACCTCCCTTTGACCCGCAGGCGCCGCCGAAGCTCCCCTTCGGTATGGAGGACGTTTATGCCGAGGGGGTGGAGAAGGTGGACTTCTCCGGGCTGCGTCGGCAAAATAATGAGGTGAACCTGACCATGCATCGGCAGGAGGTTCCTTTGGTGAACGTCTTCCTGGAAGGTGTGAAGAGTGACCCAGAGGTTCTGGCGAGGACCTCGGCTACCTCTTATGCATATCGGGCCCAGAAGACGCTCCTTACCCATGCCTATGTAAGTTGGCTTGCCGTAAGAATTTGTTATTATTCTAGTTTGCCTTTGATTGATTATGCTTTGTGTTGGAGGCTTATGGTGAGATGTACGTGAATATGGCCAAGGCAGATAAGGAGATCCAGAGGCTAAAGAGGCGTAATGAGATGGCCAAGGATAAGATAGCGGAGGTGCAGGAGGCCATCCAATAGAAGAACACCCTGGTGCTGCAGAAAGCGGCGATTGCCAAGGAGATGGAAGAGCTAAAGCAATCGAGGGTCGAGCAGATAGCTGCTGCCCGAGTCGAAGCGATCGAGTCATTTTTGAGTTCAGAGGAGTTGAGGAGCTACATCATGGATCAGATGGTGGCGATGCAGCTGCGCTGGGAGGAGAGGGTGGCGATGTTCAACCCTTCGGTGGAGATTAACTTTGATACGAGTGGTGAGCCCCCTTCACCTGGTCCCACCACCGATGCTGCTCGAGAGCCAGAGCCAGAGCCAGCCACTACGGATGCCCCTTCTACCGAGTCTTGAAGGCGTGGCCTTCTTTGTGTACTGCAGTTGTTAATGTAAATACTTGATGTTTATTTATGTTATGTATGAACATGTTGCGTTGCCTAGGGCAAGGTTATTTTGATTTGCTATGATATTAGACTTGTTGTCATTTGATATCAATTGTGCTAGCAAAATAATAATCATGTGATTGATGAGAAGTAGCCAGAGTCAGGTGCTTCATTAAGTAGGTACCGAAGGGCAGAAGGTATAGAGTCATGGCTCAAAAGCAAAGTATAAGAAAACATAATGTCCTAGGGTCTAGGTATGTTTACTTATAGAAGTATTTGAGATGAGCAGCATTCCAAGGATGTGGCAAGGTCTTGCCCTTGGGATCGTGAAGCTGATATGCGCCGGGTCGGCAGAGTTTGGTAACCTCATAAGGACCTTCCCACGTAGGTCCTAAGGTACCTTCAGTGCGATTCTTAGTGGCCAAGAAAACCTTGCGCATGACCCAGTCCCCAAGTTTGAAAGCACGGGGCTTGACTCGGGAGTCGTAATACTTAGCGATGTGCTGTTTGTACGCGACATTGCGCATGTTGGATTGGTCACGAAGGTCGTCAATGAAGTCAAGGTTCAGGGCTAGCTGCTCGTCATTGGCTTCGGCCTCATAAGTGGAGGTTCGATATTTGGGCTGGCCAATCTCCACTAGTGACATGGCTTCAGTATCAAAGGAAAGGGAGAACGGTGTTTCTCCTGTTAAGGCACGGAAGGTGGTGCGGTAGGACCAGAGAACCTCTGGGAGTAGCTCTGGCCAGCAACCCTTAGCTTTGTCAAGCTTGGTTTTTAGAGTTTTCTTGATGATCTTGTTCACGGCTTCCACCTGGCCATTAGATTGAGGATGGGCTAGGGAGGCGAAGCAAAGACGTATCTTGAGGTTGGAACAAAATTGTTTGAACTTGGCATTGTCAAATTGTCGGCCATTGTCCGTGACGATGGTGTTGGGGATGCTGAAGCGACATACGATGTTTTGCCAAACAAAAGTTTCGATGCGGGCTGCAGTGATGGTGGCTAAGGCCTCAGCTTCAGCCCACTTGGTGAAGTAGTCCACAGCTACAACTGCATACTTGACTTGGCCCTTGCCCTCAGGCATAGGTCCAATGAGGTCAAGTCCCCATTGGGCGAATGGCCAAGGACTGACCATGGCTGTCAATGGCTCAGCTGGAAGTTGTGGGATGTTGGCAAATCGCTGACACTTATCGCACTTCTGGGTGAAGGTCTAGGCATCCGTGTGAAGTGATGGCCAAAAGTATCCCTGCCGAATGACCTTGTGTGCTAGGGAGCGACCGCCTAAGTGGTTGCCACAGATACCCTCATGAATCTCCCTTAGGACGTAGGTACCTTCCTCTGGGGTCAGGCATCGAAGGTAGGGGAGGCTGAAGCCGCGCTTGTATAGGGCGCCATTGATGATCAAGTATCGAGCGGAACGATAGCGAACACGCCTCGCTTCAGCAGGTAGTGTTTGGTTCTGCAACAACTGAGTGATAGGTGTGGGAGCACATTTCGTCCCACTAGAATATTCGCCAAAGATTCCTTCGTCTTCTCCACTTCTCTTTCTCCCTGCAAAACAGATCGGGGTAAAAGGACCACACCCGGTTGCGGCGACAAGCTGCAGAGGAATCCTCACAAGCTCAATCTCCTAATCTGCCTCACGGGCAGGGCACCCAAGGGGATCGACCCTTGGGAACCGAGGAAGAAGTTAGCTAGTCGCGCTCGAGGCACCGAAGACGTCGGCCCGAGACTCCAACCCTGCGAGCAGAGGATGTCGCAAAGCTAGTAAATGACCAACTCCAAGGTCTCTGACTCAAAGGAAGAACGGACGAGGCCCTGTGCAAGGAAATTGATCGAGTTGACTACTCGCCCTTTACCGACGAGGTGGAACGAGCTCCGCCGCCGAAGCGGTTTACAACGCCATCCATCACTCCATTCAAGGGGGACTCTGACCCTGAGAGCCATTTGAGGCACTTCAAGAGCGCCATGATCCTGTACAAGGCAGACGACGCCCTGATGTGCAAAGTGTTCTCGATGACTCTGCGAGGAGCAGCTCAGGATTGGTTCCACACTCTACCGTTCGCGTCAATAGGCAACTTCAAGGAGTTCGCCATCATTTTCACAAAGGAGTACACCTCCTACAAGACAGTCAGAAGGCATGCGGACCACCTGTTCAATCTGCGCAAGAAGCCAGACGAGTCTCTACGAGACTACCTGAGACGATTTAAGGCTGAGAAGGCTAACATCATAGGATGCAACGACCAAGTTGCATCCTCAGCTTTCAAGAAGGGCTTGCCAACCGAGCACGAGCTATACCGGGAGTTGGCCATAACTCAAGTCAAACCTTGGCAGAAGTGTTCGCGACGGCAGAGCGCTACGCACTTTGGGACGATGATCGTATCGCCGCAAAGAAAGCTAGCAAACAAGTTGACCATCCGACGAAGCAGGCAAGCCAAAAGAGCAACAAGTTCAAGCAAAAAGCCCGAGATAAGCGCAGATCGCGGCCCTAAGAGGGAAGCTCAGAAATAGGGACCTTCACTAAGTTCGCTATCCCAATCCACCAGATCCTAGCTCAGGTGAAGGACAAGCCGTGGGTAAGGAGACCACCACCCATGAAGGGAGACCCCTCTAAAAGAGACACCAGTAAATACTGCGGATTCCACGAGGAGCACGGTCATCACACCAACAACTACAACGCTTGGAAATGGCACCTTGAGGAGCTGGTCAGAGAAGGCCATTGCACAGAGTTCGTTGCAAAGAAGGCTATCCAGCAGATCGAGGATCGTGATGCAGCTGCCAAGGAACCTCCCCAAAAGATCATTCGAATCAACACCATTCTAGCCGACTCCCAAGAGTTCGGGCTGACCACCAAGGAGCGTACCAGCCAGTGTGGATACACCTATCATCGGCTTCCAGAAGAAGGACTTGATCGGGCTTGACCTGCCACATAATGACGCCCTAGTCATCTGCATCCAAATTGAACAAGCTGTGATCGAGCGAGTTAATGTAGATGAGGGCAGCGCAACCAACATCCTGCAACTATCTGTTATCCAATAAATGGGGTTCGAGCCCAAGATTAGCAAACCTTCATGATCATCGACGAGGTTTCCCCCTACAACGGAATCTTGGGCCGACCGTGGATCAGCAAGATCGAGGCCATCACATCTGCTCTACATCAGAAGATCCGCTATCCCATCCCTGGGGGCGGGATCGGGCAGATCAACAGTGACCAAGCCATGGCAAGCAGATGCACAGCCCAAGGGCTCAAGAAGAGCAAGCAGCTGCAGTTCACACCAGTAATGCAAGCCGCCAACGAGGCAGGAAGCGCTCTTAGTAGACAAGCAAACCCGAAAGGGAAGGAAGTTGCTGCCTCACAATAGCAGTTAAGGAACCAGGATCAAGGTGAGGGAATCCGCCCGGAAGACTCCCCTGAAGAGGGTTGGAAGCCTAAGGATGACATTGAGTTAGTACCCCTTGATCCTGGCCAGCCAGACAAAGAGGCGCAGATCGGCTCGCACCAGAATCCAAACAAGAAGGATCGAGACAAGGGAATCCGCCCGGAAGGATCCCTTGAAGAAGGTTGGAAGCCTGAGGAATACGTTGAGTTAGTACCCCCCGATCTTGATCAGCCAGAGAAGGAGGCGCAGATCGGTTCGCGCCAGAATTCAAACAAGAAGGATCGAGATGAGGGAATCCACCGGAAGGCTCCCTTGAAGAAGATGGAGCTGACTATCTTTCTCCAAAACAACAAAGACATGTTCGCGTGGTCACCATCTGACATGCCTGGCATTGACCCAAATATCATCTGCCACCGGCTCCATGTCAACCCTGCCAGCAAGCCCGTGGTGCAGAAGAGACGCAACTTTGCTCCCAAGCGAGTCGCGATCATTGAAGCCGAGATCGACAAGCTCCTAGCTGCCAGTTTCATTGAAGAGGTCTCCTACTCGGAATAGCTGGCCAACGTTGTTCTGGTGGCGAAACAAGAAAAGGGAAAATGGAGAGTATGCGTCAATTACACCGACCTCAACAAAGCATGCCCTAAAGACAACTTCCCATTGCCGAGAATCGACCAGCTTGTGGATTCAACTTCCGGCAACCAGCTGCTCAGCTTCATGGATGCTTACTCCGGCTATAATCAAATTATGATGTACGATGATGACAAGGCGAAGACCTCTTTCATCATCGAAAGAGGGACCTACTGCTACAAGGTCATGCCCTTTGGGCTAAAGAACGCCGGAGCAACCTACCAAAGGCTCGTGAATAAAATTTTCAAGGAGCAGATCGGCAGAACCATGGAGGTGTAAGTGGACGATATGCTGGTTAAAGCCCCCAAGCGGGCAGACCACCTCAAAACCTCACCGAGGCGTTCAGCCTGCTCCGCCAATATCGCATGAAGCTGAATCCAAGTAAATGCACGTTCGGTGTATCGTCTGGCCGGTTCCTTGGGTACTTAGTGACGCCACGAGGTATCGAGGCACACCCGTGCCAAATCAAAGCCATTCTCGAGATGAAGTCGCCTTCCACAGTGAAGGAAATACAAAGCCTGACGGGCAGAGCAGCGGCCCTTAACAGATTCCTCTCAAAATCTACCGACAAGTGCAGACCATTCTTCAAAGCTTTGAAGAAAGGACAAAAAGACAAATGGGACGAAGAGTGCAAAGTAGCTTTCCATAATCTAAAGACCTACCTTACTTCACCTCCCCTGCTCTCAAATCCAGTTCCTGGGAAGACTTGTTCGTGTACCTGGCAGTATCCAACTCGGCCGTCAGCTCAGCTCTCATCCGAGAAGAACTTGGGGCCCAACATCTGATATTCTACACGTCAAAAGCTCTCCTCGATGCAGAGACTCGCTACCCGAAATTGGAGAAGCTCATTTTGGCCCTTGTGGTTTCTGCGAGAAAGCTGCAACCTTATTACCAAGCTCAACAAGTCATCGTCATGACCGACTTTCCCTTGAGATCAATCCTCCACAGCCCTGATGCTTCTCAGCGACTCATGAAGTGGGCTATAGAGCTAAGCCAATACGACCTCCTCTACCGGCCGAAGACTGCAATAAAAGCTCAAGCCTTAGCAGACTTTGTTGCAGAATTCACACCATCAGCCGAAGAAGAGAAGCTGGTTAGCAAAAAGAAGGAAAGTTCGAGAGCAGATAAGACCTCCACTGAACCTGACCAACCCAGAGACATGTGGCAGTTGCACGTAGATGGAGCGTCAAACTAGAAAGAAGCTGGAGCAGGCGTCGTCATCATCACCCCAGATGGAACTCTGCTAGAGCAAGCTATCACGCTTGGCTTCTCAGCTTCAAACAACGAGGCAGAGTACGAGGCATTACTCACTGGCTTGCGCTTGGCAAAGGAGCTATCAATCAAAAAGTTGGCCATCTACTCAGATTCCCAGCTGATCACAAGTCAAGCCTCAGGAGAATACATGGCGAAGCACCCGAGGATGATCTTGTACCTTGACAAAGTCCAAGAGTTGTTGAAGGCGTTTCCCACCTTCACCATCCAGCAAGTTCCCCGAGCAGAGAACGCGCACGCAGATGCACTAGCAAGCTTATGATCGGAGCTAGATACCCAGTTCAGACGCTCCATCCCGGTCGAGCACCTTGACCAGCTTAGCATAGAGGAGGCAGAGCAGCCGGACCTGATGCAGATCGATGAGGATCCTAGCTGGCAAGACCCCATCATTGACTACCTAGTGAATGAAAACCTACCCGAGGACAAGTCCGACGCCAGAAAAATCAAGCAGAAGGCTGCAAGATACTACATGAAAGGCGGCATGCTTATCCGCAGATCATACTCCTGGCCTCATCTCACTTGCATCAAGTACCCACAAACGCTCGAGGTTCTCTGCAAGATACACAACGGTGAATGTGGAAATCACGCTGGGGGCAGATCGCTTGCTCAGAAGGCTCTCAACATCGGCTATTTCTGGCCTACCATGCGCTAAGACTCCATGGAGTATGCTTGAAGATGTGATCGATGCCAACGCTACAAGCCGGTCCCTGGCCTGCCTGCTGAGGAATACCATCCGCAGAACAGTCCATGGCCATTCATGCAATGGGCCATTGACTTGGTGGGACCTATGCCAACGGCACCTGCCAATAAAGAGATGATGATCGTTGCCACTGATTACTTCACCAAATGGATCGAGGCCGAGGCTTTATCTTCTACCAAGGAGGCCGATATTGAACAGTTCATCTGGAAGAACATTATTTGCATATTCGGTTGCCCGCAATCGATAGTCACTGACAATGGTACACAGTTCGTGAGCAGGCAGATCACCGCATTTTTCGCGAAGTATGGCATCAAACAGCACCTGTCAACACCTCGATACCCGCAATGCAATGGCCAAGCAGAGGCATCCAACAAGATAGTGCTGGATTGCCTAAAGAAAAGACTGGAAGGCGCAGAAGGAAAATGGGTCGACGAGCTGCCAGGAGTCCTATGGGCTTATCGCACGACCAAAAGGAGATCGACCGGGGAGACACCATTTTCCCTGGCCTATGGGACAGAAGCAATCATTCCCCCACACATTACAGTCCATTCCATGAGCATTGAGGTGGGCAGTCTTTACCAAAACTGCAAGCAGATGAAAGTCAACCTTGATCTGCTCGAAGAAGAACGAGAAAAGGCCATTGTTCGAGTTGCCGCCTACCAGCAGCAGTTGACGTCCTACTACAATAGGAGGACCAAGGCAAGGGTCAAAGAAGATGAAACCAAACTGGGAATGCCCCTACGTGATCAGCCGATCTGGGGGCAAAGGAAGTTACACCCTTGATACTCTGGAAGGAAAAGAAATTCCGAGACAATGGAATGCCCACCACCTTCGAAGATACTATCCATGAAACTCTTCGCTTACCAGCTTGGCTCCTAGCAGGCGATGAGCCTCCTGTACTTCCATTAAAGACGAACAACTTTTGATGTTACCTTTGTTGTTAATTTCCTTTATTCAATAAAGTGATGTATTCACACCAACATCAATACAAGAGCAAGATTTTCAATGAAGTACTTTTTTGAGCATTATGTCTTACGAACATACACATGGCGGCAGCAAGCCCCATCTCCATTGCAGACAAGCTGCTCCACGAAGCACAAACTCAATGGAGTCTTTTTCGAGCATTGTGTCCCTAACATACGCTTGCAAGCGACAAGCCTTATCTCCATTGCAGACAAGTTGCTCCACGAAGCACAAACTCAATGGAGTCTTTTTCGAGCATTTTGTCCCTGACATACGCTCGCAGGCGACAAGCCTCATCTCCATTGTAGACAGGCTGCTTCACGAAGCAATTCAATGGAGTCTTTTTTTCAAGCATTGTGTCCCTGACATACGCTCGCAGACGACAAGCCTCATCTCCATTACAGACAAGCTGCTCCACGAAGCACAAACACAATCGAGTCTTTTTCGAGCGTTGTGTCTCTGACATACGCTCGCAGGCGACAAGCCTCATCTCCATTGCAGACAAGCTGCTTCACGAAGCACAAACTCAATGGAGTCTTTTTCGAGCATTGTGTCCCTAACATACGCTCGTAGGTGACAAGCCTCATCTCCATTGCAGACAGGCTGCTTCACGAAGCCCAAACTCAATGGAGTCTCTTTTTCGAGCATTATGTCCCTGACATAAGCTCACAGGCAATAAGCCTCATCTCCATTGCAGACAAGCTGCTCCTCGAAGCACAAACTCAATGGAGTCTTTTTCGAGTATTATGTCCCCGACATATGCTCACAAGCGACAAGCCTCACCTCCACTGAAGACAAGCTACTCCTCTAGTACAAACTTCATGGAGTCTTTTCAAGCGTCATGTCCCCGACATACGCACACAGGCGACGAGCCTTACCTCCATTGTGGGCAAGCTACTTCACGAGTACAAATTCAATGGAATCTCTTTCAAGTGCTATGTCTCCGGACATACACTTACAAGATATAATGAGAATTGAAGTTTGAAAGATAACTGAAAATTCCATAGCAAAGCGGCCAACCAGCCAAGTTCAACAAAAAATAGGGCGGTCAACCAAAGACCACTTATTGAAAGAAAATTACAAAGTTAAAAAATGAACTACATCTACTAGGGGACTTCAGTAGGTGACCCTTAGCCGATCACATCCTCAGCTGCGCTAACAACAGCCTCACTCTGCTTAACCATCACCACCTACTCAACTGCCTCGGCTGCTTGTTCCTTACCCTCCTCAGCTGACCCGCCTTGGGGCTTGTCTTCCTCTGTTGCAGCTTCATCTGCTACCTGCTCTTCAACTACTTCTGCATCCACAACATTTATCTACTTACTGTGAGCAAAGGGCAGATCAAGACAGGACTGCTCATCATCGTCATCTTCGAGAGGGCAGCAAGGAGAAGCACCGTTCTGGCAGTCCAGGTATCCCAACTTGTACGCATTAGTAGCAATCTCATGTTTGGACGCCTCCATGGCTTCCACATGGGTGTCAAACTTGACTAGCAGTCTATCACGATCTTGGGCCAGAGCAGCATGCTTGCGTTCGAGGCTAAAGTAGGCTATCTTGCGTTCGAGCAGGGTAGCCATAAGAGACTTGAGTTCGTCATCTTTTTGGCCAACAGAACTCTCTTAAGTGCAGACATACTCTCCTTCATCTCGGAAATCCTCGCGTCATGGCGAATCCGCTCGTTCGAGAGCTTGTCAGTCAGGTCAGCGTTCTTCTTCACCAGCTCGTCAAGCAGGGCAGAAGAGGGGGCAACATCATGCGAGTTCTGCATAGCCCCAACAGCAAAAACCATCCCTCTTTGAAGATGATACATGGCAACTTCTTCTTGTTTATCCAAGGGAAGGCTCGAGAAGGCACAAAGATCAGCAGCTCGATACACATGGTCAGCCAGCTTAGCACAAGCAGATGGACTTGATAGAAAGCCCGTTTTCAGCAGATCAGACACAGGCTCACCCCCAACAGAGCTATCACTAATCCCCAAACCAGCAGTTCGCGCGACTGGAGGACTCTTTGCTCGAGCAGACGACTCTTTAGCTTTCTTGCTTGCAGCTTGCAACATCGAGTCAGCTCCGCGCTTGATTGTTCGTGGTCCCGCAGACGAGTCATGGTGGCTGGGCAGAGGTACAGTCCTCTCAGTTTGGTCCCCAGACCGGCGCAGACGCCCCGAACCTTGCTTCTCAACGTCCTCCTTACAAGGCAGATCATGAGTTTTGGGCAATACGGTTGGCGACTTGAACCCCGAACTTCCTGCATGCCATTGGCCTTCCTGCTGTTCGCACTAACAAGGCGTTTGATCCCGGCAGACGAGGCCTCCTGTGAGGAAGACTTGTTCGCGGTAAGAGAAGATCTCGGCTGCCCCTGCTGTAGAGACGTATCCATTGATCGTGAAACTGCAGCTCCATCGCGGGCGGGTCCACTGCACGCCTTCCTATCCTCGGGGGACTCGGTCGATGACTCATCCTGCTCAACTGGCAAGTCACTTAGCTTCAAGCAGTGCAACTTCCATCTTTCAATATCTTCAGCAGGGGGGGCAGGCCACCGACTTTCTTCCGATGTTCGCTCAACAGCCAGCGCCATTCACGAAACTTGGCAGGGATGCTCAAAGCCTACCGAACCTTCGTCATGTCTGAGTCGAGAATGAGCTTCTTTCGGATGGCATCATCTGCAAGTAGAAGACAAAAGTTGGTCAGACACACGACAGGAAAAATCCCTCAACAAACATAGCAGACCAAAGGGATGCAACTTACAGTCACAGTAGGTGAGAGGAATGAGCGGACTGTCGCCAACCTCCCCTTCTCATCTGCCACTAACATCCAGCACATCCTTGCTCCAAACATGATCGCCTTGACTTAGACTATCAAGCAACTTGGGTTTGCGCGCACGAAGTTGGGCATACTTCTCGAAGCGTCTCACCTCGAAGAAGTAGAAGAATTCCTGCACTGTCAAATCTAGCTTGAAGAAGTGACTCAAATTTTCAAAACAGATGACCGCTCGATAAACATTCGGAGTACACTGGCTCGGGGCACACTCCATGGCGCAAAGCACATCCCTGAAAAATTTCGACATCGAAAACGTGAAGCCCAGCGAGAAATAGAAGGGGCAGAACGTGATGATCCTGGCACCTGGATTGTTCGAATCCACTCGTGGTACGCTGTCGAACAAGGGCTCTGCTAACTTGACATGTACGTCCTTGGGAATGGCGAAATCGAAAAGGGCACGCCATGTTTTGAACTGGGCCTCGGTGTTGACACGATGCAGATTGGCCACAAACTTCTCTTTGGGAACTTGAGAGCCACCCCATAGGTACAAGGGTACTTGCGAGCTTGGTGATCGGCTCATTCTTTCAGAAGACATGGTCGTTGAGTAGCTGCAAAGAATAACAAAGGAAATTGCAGGTTAAAATTCCTAGCTCATGAACAGAAAAAAAAAGAAAAAAAAAGAAAAGAAAAAACAGCATAAGCAAAAAAAGAAAAAGAAAAAAGAAGCAGCCTAGCATGAACTGCCCAGCGAGGCCCAGGTGATGCGCCAGTCCGCTCCAAATCGGAGCACGTGGCCAGCTTGCCTAGCGCAAGCCCATGTCGCGCGATGGCCCAATTCCCCCTTGCTCCAGCTCTGGGTCGAGCGCCTCCATGCCCCTGCTTCGAGCCCAACACGTGCAAAGCTTGATCCTGCCAACCTTCCAAACCTCCAATCATACCCCAGTCCAATCACAAGGCACGGACCACCTCCTTGTTGCCAAAAGTCGGAACAAAAGGAAAAATATATATGCTGCCCAAGACAAATTACCTTGGGTGTGTGACGAGGACAAAGTCTCAAGCCAGCTGAAGCAATTTTCCAAAGTTTTCTCTCTCACTGACGAAATTGGAGGATCAGATTGTGACGTGAAAATAATTTGAAGGAGCCCTATATTTATAAGGATCAAAATTCCTTGACCTACAAGGAATTTCAAACACTTTCCAGTCAGGTGTTCTGAAAATTAGCAAGTGAAAAGCCTCCTCCACACAGGAGCCCAAATTAAAGAAGGAAGCCCAGTTACAGCTGGACAGCCCAACAGACAATTCGCATCTCCTACATGCCACCACGTGCCATGCAGAAGCTGGGGGGCATTTGTGGGAACCGAATTAAATCATACCCTAGGTCAAATAATTCCTTCCATTTGGGGATTATTTGACCTAATTGGGAATTACTCAACCTAATTGGGAGTTACTCAATTTAATTGGGAGTTACCCAATTAAATTGAGAATTACCTAATTAAGTTGGGAATTGATTTAATTCCTGCCCCAATTCCCAATTAAATGAGGAGTTACCTAATTAAATTAGGATTTGATCTGATACCTACCACGATTAGGGATTTGATTTACCCTAATAAATCAAATCCCTAATTAATAAAATCAATGCCAAATCGGGGAGGAATAATTCCTTACCAACTACGGAATTATTCATCTGAAACCTTAGCCTCCAAGACCATTATAAATACTTGGCTACGCACAAAGGTCAAGGTATGTCTAAATTCCTACTGAAACTCTGCAGAAATTATTTCTCACAAACCCTAGCCACCACTTTCTTTCTCTGTTTGACACAAGGCTCCGGCCACCACACACGGCTCCGGCCACCCGGTTTTCCTTGAAATACCCTACCTAACATAGGCATCGGAGGGCCTTTGGCCAGCACCCCCCGGGTGTGGTCCTTTTACCCCGATCTGTTTTGCAGGGAGAAAGAGAAGTGGAGAAGACGAAGGAATCTTTGGCGAATATTCTAGTGGGGCGAAATTTGCTCCCACAATAGGGTCCATCCACGTAGGGTTGTGATCGATGGCATAGATGAGTGGTGCCCGTGTGCTGGGCTGGTCCAAGAACTCGATGTGGATGTTGCGACCTATGCCCTGCTCCATCGCCGAGGCTAGCCTTGCTAATGCATCAGCATGGTTGTTCTCAGAGCGTGGCACCTGGCCTATGAGATAAGCATTGAAAGTTGTAAGTAGATGGCGGGTATGTTGGAGGTAGGCTGTCATGGTGACGTCCTTAGCCGTGAAGTCCTAGTTGACTTGGTGGACAACAAGCTACGAGTTGCTGAATATTTAGATTTGCTTGGCGCCCATCTCCTTGGCTAGCCAAAGGCCGGCTAAGAGTGCTTCGTATTCGGCCTCATTGTTGGAGGCATGGAATTTGAAGCAGAGGGCGTACTCAAGGACAACCTTGTCTGGGGAGATGAGAACGAGGCCAGCTCCACATCCCTGGGCATTGGAAAAGCCATCCACATATAAGGTCCGTAAGGGCTGAGTTAAGTCTAGGGAGCCATTGCTGGCGACGTGGACCTGGTTCGAGGTAAGAGTAGGCTTGATTGCAATCTGAGGACTGGCCAGAGTATGGGGTTCGGTGAATTTATATATCAAATCAGCCACGGCTTGGCCCTTTGTGGCTTGGCGGGGTTTGTAGTGGATATCAAACTCACCAAGTTCAATGGCCCACTTAACTAACCTCCCAGAAGTCTCTGGCTTCTGCAACACTTGCCGGAGCGATTGGTTGGTTAAGACATGGATGGTGTGAGCTTGGAAGTATGGTCTGAGGCGCCTAGCCGAAACCACCAGGGCGAAAGCAAGTTTCTCAATGTTTGGGTATCGAACCTCCGCATCTTGCAATCCTTTGCTCACATAGTGCATCGGATGCTCAGCATATTCGTGTGGTCGAATGAGCACTGAGTTAACCGTTGTGGCTGAGACAGAGAGGTAGATGGTGAGGAGGTCCCCAGACTCAGGGGTTGACAATAAAGGGGCTCGGCTCATGTATGCCTTGAGCTCACCAAATGCTTGGTCACATTCGGTAGTCCAGGTAATGCTGCGTTTGATACCTTTAAGTGCCTTGAAGAATGGGGGGCAACGATCAGTGCCCTTAGAGATAAATCTGGTCAGGGCTGCGACACGCCCGGTAAGGCTCTGAATGTCCTTGACCGTCTTGGGTATTGTCATGTCCAAGATAGCCTGGATCTTCTCTGGGTTGGCCTCAATACCTCTTTGGTTGATCACGAAGCCAAGGAATTTGCCGAAGGCCACCCCAAATGCACACTTGGTGAGGTTGAGCCGCATACTATACTGCTTCAAAATGGTGAACATGGCAGAGAGGTTGGGGATATGCTAGTCAGCAGTGCGACTCTTGACCAGCATGTCATCAACATAAACCTCCATGGTGTTGCCAATTAGTGGAGCGAAGATGCTGTTCACTAGACGCTGATATGTAGCCCCAGCGTTCTTGAGGCCGAAAGGCATGACTTTGTAGCAGTAAAGGCCACGGTCAGTGATGAAGGATGTATGAGCTTGGTCCTCAGGGTGCATGAAGATCTGGTTGTACCTTAAGTAAGCATCCATGAAGCTGAGGAGGGCGTGGCCAGCTGTGGCGTCAACTAGCTGGTCAATGCGGGGTAGGGGGAAACTATCCTTTGGGCAGGCCCGGTTGAGATTTGTGTAGTCTACGGACATGCGCCAGCCCTTCCTTGGTTTACGTACCATTACCACATTGGCTAGCCAGGTGGGATAATCCACCTCCTTGATGAATCCAATGGTGCTCAACTTATCCACCTTCGCCTTCATGGCCTCATACCGTTCCAGGTCATAAGCACGACGCTTCTACCAAACAGGTCGGACGGCAGGATTAATGCTGAGCCTATGGGAGATGACGTCAGGTGATATGCCCGGCATATCGTTGTAAGACTAACCAAAGACCTCAGAGTTGAGGCGGAGGAAGGCAGCAAGATCAGAGCGAAGCTCTTGTGAGAGGGAGGTGCCGATCCTGACATGTCGATCCGGGATGTCCTCATGGAGAGTGACCAGTTCGAGGTCCTCCACAAGTTTGGCCTGTTGGGTGGCAGATTCCTCCCTAGGGTCTTCTGGGCCCTCAGTGCCAGCTCGAGGTAGGGCTAGGGCCCGGGTTACCGCTAAGGCCTCACCTCTATGTTGGCGATTAGTAGACTTCACTGCCGAAGCATACCAGCTTCGAGCGCCAAGTTGGTCGCCGCGCACCATGCCCGTGCCATGGGGCGTAGGGAATTTCAACAGTAACATGTGTGGAAATGAAAACCTTCATCTAGGCCATGGCAGGGCCCCCAAGGATGACGTTGTAGGCTGTAGGGCAATCAATAATGAGGAAGGGAGTGGTGACTGTCGTTCGCTGGGGTTCTGCTCCGATAGAGATAGGGAGATGAATGCTCCCAATAGGCTGGACCACATCGCCCGAAAAGCTCACCAGGGGTGTGACGCTTCGGTCGAGCAAATGAGACGGGACCTGGAGCTCGTTGAAGGCATTAGCAAACATCACATTAACTGAGCTGCCTGTGTCTACCAAGATGCACCCAACGTCCAAATTAGAGATGTCGGCGCGGATAATGATTGGGTCATCATGAGGGAGGATAACGCCACGCTCCTCCTCCTCGCAGAAGGTAATGGGGGCCCAGTTTGTTTTTTGTGTCTTCGGCAAGCGTCCCTGCTCAGTGCTGAAGACTTGGTGCGCATAGGTTGAGCAGACATAATGTTTGATGGAGTTGTTGGAGGTTCCAGCCATGGTAGGGCCACCACTGATGGTTGAGATCATGTTGATCTGTCGTTGGTGAGGGTTACGTGGGGGGTGAGAGGTTGTGCACGTATTTATCCAGCTTCCCCTCACGAATAAGTCCCTCAATGATGTTGCACAAGGCAACACAAGATTCGGTATCGTGGCCACCGAACTGATGAAAGCGACAGAAGACACTTGTGTTAGGCATAGGCTTGTTGCCTGGTTTCCGGGGTAGAGGCTGAGGTATGATAGGTGCCTCGTGCACCAGGACATTCTCATAGGTAGTGTTTAGGGTGGTGAAGACCTCGAACCTGGGTTTGGGTGAGAATGGGAGTGGGGCCTGGTCATTTGTCCTAGGGGGGTTGCTTCCACTACACTGGTGGTGGTTGCCATGTCTGCCCCGCTTGTTATTGCTGAAGGTATGCTAGTAGCTATTCTTTCTCTTGGGGTCCTGGGCACCCTGGGTGCTTGGTGTGGGGGCAGAATGTTGAGGTGGAGCTGGGATGGGTACTGAAGCAGGTGGAGGATCAGCAAAAGGATTACGTGCCGGGGTGGCTGGGCTACGCTTGGAGTTGAAGTACTCAGCCTTGGCGTGAACTGCCGCCTGCTTCATTAGCTCAGCATATGTGTTCAGGTATTTGAAGTTGGACTCTCGGAGCCCACTCTGGGCAGCTGGAGTATTCGTGGCTGAACCTGGCTGCATACTCCCGAAGGGGCTCATCCTCACCTTGTCTAAGCATGTATAGGTTGTCCGCGAAGTAGAGGCGATCAGTCTAGATCATGAAATGGTCCAGGAAGGCCTGCCGCATACTGTCAAATGTGTTGATGGTGCGGGGGTTCAGCCTGTAAAACCAATTCAGGGCCGCGCCACTGAGAGTGGAAGGGAAGAGGAGGCACATGCCTTCGTCAGTGAGGCCCTTGCACCCCAGGGCAGACTGGAAAGAATGTATGTGGTTGAGAGGATCCTTCGTGCTAGTGTAGAAGGCGATGCAGAGTGGCTGGATGTCCTTCTCCTAATGGTAATTAAGGATACGTTCAGTAAAGGGCCCAAGTCGTGGCTTTGCCCAGAGGGGTTGGTGGTTGCGCTGCTGCTCGCTCTCCAGGCGCCGGACTTTCTCAAAGAGAAGCCTCATTGCCGGGTCGGTATGAGGGAGAGTCTCGGTGTGTAGGTGGCCATGGGCTAGATAAAGTTCTTCAAATGCCTCGGTGTGATAAGATTCGTAGTCTTCTAAGTAATCCTGGCCCCAGTTCTCCGAGTCCCCTATACCTTCTCCAGGGGGTAGTTGGGTAGGCTTTGGTGGGGGGCCTAGGTGTGTCACCTTTGGGTCTTGGAGATTAACGGGGATAAGAGGGGGTTCCGTCTGACGGTCCAGGATACAGTCCCTGCAATCCCTGTAGACCTTTGTTGGTTCATGGGGCCGGTTCCTCGGTGGGGAGATGCAGAGGAGCCGCGACTTGGTCGTCTCCGGATGGAGGAGGCCTTTACCCTTGTTGGGCCTAGGCTGGATTGGGACACTGTGGTGGGAGTGCTCCGGCTGATTTGGCTAGGTACGCTTAGGTTCCCGGATAAGGCTACGTTGGGAGCCTTGGTACTGATTCATCTCCCAGTTACGCTTCAGTGTGCGGTAGTCATGCTCGTGATCGACGTTCTTAGCATGAAGATGGTCATATTTCTCGGACATCTTGGTGACACTGGCACGGAGGGTCTCCAGTTCTACATGGAGATTGGCATCTGCTGAACGTCTCCTCTGGGAGGTACCCCCATGGGGGGTATGGTGCTGAGTCCCGTGGCTATCCTCAGTAGGCATAACTGAGTGTGGAGTGAAGAAGAGGCGACAGGGCCGGATAGGAGAAGGAGCCAACTGGGCTGGTAGAGAAAAATGGGATTCAAGTATCGCTTCCCACAGACGGCGTCAAACTGTTGATGCTCTTTTTCAGAGAAGGTCAACTTAGAGAAAAGGGAGGTTTGCCTTCAGCATGGAAAGGGCCTGGACCTTCAATAAAGGCTAGCCTGCAGAAGACAAAATAGGAGAAGCAGTCATTAAGCTTCGGACACCGGTGTGGTGCCGGCCGAAGGCTCTCCGATGCTTAAGTCAACTAAGAGGGGTAACTTTAGCAGAATAATAGTAAAAGGTAAGAAAGTAGTTACCCTTTTTACTTGGGTATTGCGCCCTTTTTATAGGGAAGTGAAAGTGGGAGGTTGGTGTAGATTTCCAATGTGGGACTTTGTGCAAGTCACTGCGGTGGTGACACGTGTCATGGAAATTAGGTTTAGCAATTTGTGAGCTTTGGCAGTCAGGAGTTTCGGCAGGTGTTTGGCACCTCGGAAGAGTGTCTTCCTTCGGCAAGGGAGAAGGCGTGTAAACAAGCCCCATATAATGGCTCAAATTTTTGAGCAACATCAAATTCTCCCCTAGCATATGACAAATGACGAGCTCTTTTAACTTCACTTGATTCCACACCTTCTAGTCTAAGGCAAAACCCCCTAGAGATGAACATAGCCAAGTCATGAATGAGGTCATGCATTGTGAAACCGAATTCTCTTGACTTTTGAAACAGCGACCGGGATAATAGCTCATCGAAGTATTTTCTAGCCACTGATTCCATAATCTTCCCATTATCAACTTGTGTAACTAAGCCTTCTGCCATCCATAATTGAACTACATCTTCCTTTTCAAACTCATAATCCTTTGGAAAAATTGAACAATAAACAAAGCATCGTTTTAATTGAGCAGGGAGATAGTAATAACTCAACCATAGAGCCGGAAGAATGTCAATTGTACCATACGGTAGGTACCAAATATTACTATTTAGTATTCTATTCCACTCCTCAGAATCTATATTGCAACGTAACAAACCCCCAAGTGTTTGTGCCGCTAAAGGCAACCCTTTGCACTTGAGAGCAATTTGCTTGCCAATGTCTTCCAAGTTTGAATTTGCACTATAGTTTTCATTTCCAAAAGCATGTTTAGCAAGTAACAACCAGCAGTCTTGATGTGACAATGGTTCCAAGCTTTGCATGGGAACATTTTTCATTAAAGATGCCACATTTTTGTTCCTTGCTGTTACAATGACTTTGCTTCCCCTTGCCCCTGAATTAAAATGAGTTTGGAGGCGCTCCCAATCACCATAATTTTCATTCCATAGATCATCCAACACAAATAAAAATTTATTTCCCCTCAACTGTTCTCTTAATTCAACTTGAAGCAAATTCATATCTGTCGTATTACAAGGCTTTGAAGTGACTAACTCAAGAATAATTTTAGTTATTCTAACAGCATTATAGTCTTCTGAAACACAAGCCCAAGCTTGAAGCGTAAAATGCCCTTTCACCTTATAGTTGTTGTAAAGCATTCGAGCAAGGGTTGTCTTGCCAACCCCACCCATTCCAACAATTGTGAGGACATACGCATCATCCTTGCTTGCATCATCAGATAGCAACACTTTTGATAAATTTTCTTGGACTTCATCTCTACCATATACACAAGGTTCATGAACCAAGGAAGTTGTTGGAGTTCTATGTGAAACCTTTCTCCTAGCAACTTCTCCCAGACCAAGAGCAATTTTCTGTTGTACAAAGTTTTCTAATCTTTGCAACAACTCTTGTATCTAAACATTCATGCTTTGATAAAAATGATTACGAGAATAAGGGAGTAAGTTCCACACCTTATTGGTTAATTAGTGGGTTTGATCCTCACCTTCTAGTTTGCATCGCAAAGCTTTAATGTTGATCTCATCCAGTAAGTCCTCTGCATCAAAGACAGCATGCTTGAGCTCGTTAAGCCACTCTCTCACAGCAGGGTTCACAAGTTGCTTCTGTTATGGAGTTACAATAGTATTTTCAGTTACAATAGTTAATCCTACTAATGATAGGAAATGGTCAGTTGTTAGTTATGTTGTTATTAGGCCATAACTCAATATTTATGTTTTTGATAATGACTTGTTGTAGTTGTAGATTATTCTCTACAGACTTTATATATATTGTATAATGATCATATGAATAATATAATGGAAAATCAGTTTCTACATGGTATCAGACCTAATGGCTAACGTCGATTAGCGATCCTCCAATTGCCAACATTGAGAGTCGTTGGCTCTCCTCATTCCTCACCCTTAAGGGTGTTTGTTTATGTACAGTGGTTTTTCATCTCCTCTTCTCAAAGATGAATATTTTTTTTTCTTTCCACCTTAGCTATGGCTGCACCTTTCTTTTACCACTGCAACCTTTTCTTCTGTTAGCCCGTTATTTTTGTGTCTCCATCGCGCCATCTTCATTGCGGATTGTCTCCTCACTGGCCTTTATCTCTCTCATGTTGTGCTATCCTGCCATTGTTGTTCTCTTGCACAGCTGCTGCCTATCCTTCTTGAGCTTTTTGTTCTCATAAGCTCCCTTTTTTGTCCATTTCTTTGTCTCATAAGCTTTTTGAACTTTTCCTTACCCTCTTGGTTTCTCTCTTTCTCTTGATATCTCTATCCCTTTCTTTGTCTCTCTCACGCCGTCTCTCTCGCCGAGCTGTCTCTCTTCCCTCCGCGAGCCTTGTCAATGCTCACCAAGCCTTATCCTAGTATGCAATCGTGGTTTCTCTCTCTCATGTATTTCTGATGGTTTTTTCTATTGTGGTTTCCATACTTTCTCCTTGTTTGTTGATGCTGCCTGTCATCGCTCACCAAGCCATCTCTCTTACCTCCATGAGCCTCGTCAACACTCGCCGAGCCTTCTCTGTTGTGCTACATTGCCGGTGTTCCCTTTGCACAGCCCCTATTTCTTCCTCTGTGTTGCCGACTTGGTATCGGCCACTCAAGCCTTATCACTGTGTTGCTTCCTTGGTATCGGCCTCTTATGCTCTATCTATGCTCAACCTGTGTTCTCCTCCCCTTCTTAAGCCCAATCTCTTTCTTTGATTTTACCTTTGGTCTCTGTCTTCTTCAATGCTCTCTTGCGCTGTTCTGTCTCACTTGGTTTCGTCCTTTATTTCTTATTATTGTTTTTTGGGTCAATCATCCCTCTTATTTTAATCTATATGGGCCTCTGTCCTCTTGTGATAATCTTTTCTTTATTACTTCTCTGTTCCCCCGTGGTTTTCTTCCCCATACCTTATTGTTTCTATGGTGCTTTGAAATTCAAACTTGCCCATGCTCTCGTTTTGTGTCCCAAGGTCTTAACCCCTTTATTCCCTTCAAATATTCCTTCTTTTCTCTCTGCACGCATCCCTTTCTGCTTTACATGTGATGAATTTTCTTTTGTTATTAGGCCATAACTCCATATTTATGTTTGTGATAATGACTTGTTGTAACTGTAGATTATTCTCGACAGACTTTATATATATTGTATAATGATCATATGAATAATATAATGGAAAATCAGTTTCTACATGGTATCAGAGCTAATGGCTAACGCCAATTAGCAATCCTTCATTTGCCAACATTGAGAGTCGTTGGCTCTCCTCGCCCGAAAGGGTGTTTCCTTCTGTATAGTTCTTCATCTTCTCCTCCCTTCTATAATCAGTATTTTTTTTTCTCTCTCTACCGTTGCCATTTCCTTTTATTTTTCAACGCTCCCTGTCAAGCTCTTCTACTCATTGATGAGCCTTTCTCTTTCACTCTCTCCGTGTCTAGCTCTTTGTTGAAGATTGAGCCATTTCTCCTTCTTAAGCTCTCTATTGAAGATTGAGCCTTCTCCCCTTTGTCAGTTGTCATAGCTCGCTAGGCCTTATCCTAGCCGGCCTTTGTCTCTGTCATGCTGTGCTTTACTGTTGTTAGTCCCTTTGCACAACCGTTGTCTATCCCTCATGTGCTCTATCCTCTCCCTCTCCAGGATCTCATTCCTTTTTCTTCTTTTTTTTCTCTATCAAAACTCCCTCTTGAACTCTCTATCTTTCTCTGGTTATATCAAGACTCCCTCTCTCTCTTTGGTGTCATGAGCCCCCCATTTTTCCAATATCTATCTACACGCATGCTTCCTCTGCGCTTCATCTCTCTCTCTTGCCCAACACTCGTGCTCCTCAACCTTATGCTTTCCTTCCTTTATTTTGTTTTTTATTTGTTTTTATTAGAAGCCCGTATCTTCTTTATAAAAAAATCAATAAAAATAAAACTTCCTCACTTCCTTCTCCATGTCCATCTCTTGGCATGATGGCCATATCTCTGTTTTCCCTTCATTGTTCTTTTGCGCTCCTTTGCATCTTGTGTTCTCTCTTCCTCTCTTGACTATTTTATCCTTTTGATGGGTGTTCACTTTTCTCCTTCTTCTTTTTTTTTCCTCCTTTTTCCATCTTTATTTTGAAAGGATTTTCTCTCTATCTGTTTTGCCCACACTCTCTTTTCATTTGTCTATCTCACTTGGTTTCCTTCTTTATTTCTTATTATTGTTTTTTTTTTGGGTCAATAATCCCTCTTTATTTTAATCTCTATGGGCTTCTATGCTCGTGTGATGATCTTTCTTTATTACTTCTCTATTCCCACGTGGTTTTCTTCCCCATACCTTATTTTATTGTTTCTATGGTGCTTTGAAATTCAAACTTACCGCATGCTCTTTATCCTACCTAAAGGGTGATTCCTAGGTAGAGTTATGTTTCTCAGGTGCCTAAAGTTGTTTCCTAGGTACATTTGACTTGTATGTCAGCCTGTCATTTTATTCCTTCCTTCCATGAGCCCATGCACTCCCTCACTTGCTGCCTTTCAATGGGCGTTATTTTTATTTTTCTGTTACTTTGTTTCTCTCAAGCCGTTGTTGCACCTATGGAGTTCTTCTTTTTTGTTTCCCTTATTGGACTACTACAGACCACTGCTACTGCCATGTCCATCACCATGTGGTTTCTTCATTCAAATCTTGCTATGCTGTGCGCGCTCGATTTGCGGGGGAGTGTTATGGAGTTACAATAGTATTTTCAGTTACAATAGTTAATCTTACTAATGATAGGATATGGTCAATTGTCAGTTATGTTGTTATTAGGCCATAACTTCATATTTATGTTTGTGATAATGACTTGTTGTAACTGTAGATTATTCTCTACAGACTTTAGATATATTGTATAATGATCATATGAATAATATAATGGAAAATCAGTTTCTACAGCTTCTCCTCTGCATCATTGAGCACAACGAACAAATTCAACAGTGTCGTCTTCAGGTTCATGAGGAGTGGTTCGTAGAGTTTCTTCTGCCGAAATAAGTCAAAGAACTCGCGTGAAGTAATTCTGTCACAGAACAACCAGACGGAAGCAGAGATAAGAGCCTCTCCGATGAAAGCCATCTTTTCTCTTCTCTGCAGACAGACTGGAAGGGATTTGGATGAAGTAAAATATTCCAAGATTTTGCAAGTAGCTAGCCTAGCACAACTTGTATGGAAGATTTTTGAGATTGTAAATAACATGAACTTGTAATCTTTGCATTGGAAAACTCTCTCGCTTTCAAGGACTGTTCCTTCATTGTTTGCGGGGCAACTTTTGAAAACTTTTCCAAGGCCTCACATGGGGATGCAATATAATATTGTGTAGGTACAATACAACACAGTAGCTTTTCATGGGGATGCAATGTGGCCACAAATGGGGATGCAATATAATATTGCGTAGGTAAAACACAATAGCCTTTCGGTGGCCTCACATGGGGATGGGGTCATCTGTATTGTTAGAGAAATAGAATCCTAGCAGGTATGGAAGAGAATATCAAAAAGTATATGAGAGAAGAAGAGAGGAAATAAGTCTGAGAAAATGATTTTGATGAATTCCTTTGTATTCTGCTGTGTATTTTGGCATTATCTGTTAGAGCACCTTAGCTCACTCACACACAACGAAATAACCATTGGAGGAGAGAGAGAGTTAGACATACTCCTAACTTCAATCTCAGCCATCCATTACATACCCTTAGATTAGGACACTTGTCCATTGCCAAGCCCTATGAGACTTAATCACCCGATACAATTCAAATATTTATAACTTAGCCTATGAGCTGAGGCCCAACCCATAAAGCAAACTACCAATCAGTTCACTAATTTATACACTAACACTCCCTTTAAATTGTGGATTGATTTCACACCAAGAAGCTCCCTAAGATAAGTGAACTGCTCTCTTGCCAGCGCTTTGGTGAAGATATTAGCTACTTGCTTTTTTGTAGGACAATAAACTAAATCGATCACTCCTTGCTGCAATGCTTCTTTGATGTAGTGATACTTCCAATTTATGTGCTTGGTTTTCTGATGGAATATAGGATTCTTAGTGATAGCAATGGCTGAGGTATTGTCACAGTTCATTGGTTGCAACAGTCTGCATTTCACCAAAATCTTCCAACACAAACCTTAACCAAGTGGTTTGTGCAGTTGCCTCTGATGCACTCACATATTTTGCCTCAACTGTAGATAAAGCAACACATTGTTGATTCACGGATGTCCAAGAGAAAACTCCACTGCCAAATGTAAAGGCATATCCGGATGTACTCTTCATGTCCTCTTCCGATCCAAACCAGTCACTATCACAAAAACCCACTAAAATTGAACCTTCTCATTTCTTATACTCCAAACCAAAATCAAGAGTCCCTTGAATATATCTCAGAACTCTCTTTGCTGTCCCATAATGCTTGTTTGTAGGACAATGCATAAACCTTGCCAACAAGCATGCATCATACATTATGTCAGGCCTTGTTGCTGTGAGATACAACAAGCTTCCCACAATTTTCCTATATTGAGCTTCATCTGCAGCACCACTATCATCATCTCTTCTCAACTTATCATTTGGTACAACGGGAATACTAACAGGTTTGCAATCCTGTAGTCCAAATTTTTTCAGAAGTGATGAAGTATACTACCTCTAATGTATAACAATGTAGTTTTCAGTTTGCATAATTCCCATTCCTAAAAAATGGTGTAGTAAACCCAAGTCTATCATCTCATACCTTTGCATCATATCAGTCTTGAAATTCTGCATCAGCTCCAGAGAATTTCCTGTATAGACTATGTCATCAACATAGATAGATACAATGACCAAATCTGAGTTTCCTCTGCACTTAACATACAATGTTGCTTCACTAGTGCTTCTCTTAAAACCACATTGTACAAGATAAAAATCTATCTCTCCATACCATGCTCTAGGTGCCTGCTTCAAACCATACAAGGCCTTATGCAATTTGTACACTTTATCCTCCTCTCCTTGGACAATGAATCCATCGGGCTGATCTACATACACCTCCTCTTCAAGCACACCATTTAAGAAGGCAGATTTCACATCCAACTAGTATAGCTTCCAATTATTCTTTGCAGCTAATGCAATAAGAGTTCTTATGGAGTCTAACCTTGCTACAGGTGCAAAGGTTTCATTATAATCCATTCCATGCTTTTTTGCATAGCCCTTTGCAACTAGCCTCACTTTATTCTTTTGAATCGAGCCATATAAGTTCAACTTTGTTTTATACACCAATTGGACCCCAATCACAGGCTTATCGGATGGTCTTCTTACCAACTCCCATGTCTAATTTTTCTCAATCATATTCATTTTGGTTTCCATTGCCTTTTTCCATGCCTCATCTTGTGCAGCTTCATCAAAGTTTTCAGGCTCAACTATACATAAATGACATCTCTCATAAATCTCGCTCAAGTTTCTGTACCTCAATGGTGTGTCATCATATTGAGATGCAAGCTAGATCTGCTTGATTCACCACCTTCAGTAGCTAGAGGGCTTTCAATTTCAACTTGAGAACCATCAACTCTGACTTGCTCTTGAGGTGCAGTCTCTGCTTTTGTTGTTCTTATGTCTGAAATTTCATCTGCAGGTAGTGGAATGCAGACTTCTTTCACTTTGTGTTTCTTCCAGTCCCATTTGCCATTTTCATCAAAAATTACATCTCTAGAGAGCAAAACCTTCTGAGTTGCAAAATTCAATATCCTGTATCCCTTCTGACATGCACCATATCCAATAAAAACTTCTATGGCACTTGTTGCTTCCAATTTGTGCCTCAAATGTCTTGGAATAAGAGGATAACACACAAAACCAAACACTTTCAGTTGCTTAATCCCAGGTTTTCTTCCACTGAATTTCTCAAACGGTGTAATATTCTCCAAAGCCTTGGTAGGACTTCTATTACGCAGATACACTTATGTGTTCACTGCTTCACACCAAAGACTATATGGAAGCTCCTTCTCATGAATCATGCATTTTGCCATTTCCACAACAGTCCTATTTTTCCTTTCTGCCACACCATTATGTTGTGGAGAGTATGCAATAGTGAGCTGCCTTTCGATTCCCAATCTTCACAAAACTTTACCAAATCTGTTGACATATACTCTCCTCCCCTATCTGTTCTTAGCTTCTTTACATGGTATCCACATTGAAGCTCCACCATTGCTTTGAACTTTTTGAACACATGGAATGTCTCAGACTTGTTTCTTAAGAAATAAACCCAGCACATTCTTGAATAATCATCTATAAATGTGATGAAGTATCTGTTTCCACTCAAACTTGGTGTTTGCATAGGACCACACAAGTCTGAATGAATTAGTTCTAGTGGCTCCTTTGCTCTTCATTTTGATTCTTTAGGAAATACCTCCTTATGAATTTTTCCAAATACACATCCTTGACACACTGCATCAGTGTTTTGGATTTCAGGTAGCCCCAACACCATCTCTTGACTCTGCAGCAGCTTGAGACTTCTGAAATTTAAATGCCCAAACCTTTTGTGCCATATTTTGGAACATTCTTGCACATTTGCTTTCAATGCAAGCTCTTTGTTATTGCTGAACATTAAAGGAAAACATATGTTTCCCTTATGTTTCACACTGACCACTAAGTTTCTCAGATGCCTATCATAAAAAATATCCACCTTATAGTCTCCAAATATAAGGAAATAACCATGCTCAGTCATCTGCCCTACACTGAGCAGATTCTCTACTAGACCAGGTACTAGCATGGCTTCCTTGATATGTTTCCTTCCGTTCATTGTGTCAATGACCAGCGTTCCTTTTCCTGTCACTTCAACTAAAACTCCATTGCCTACTTGAACTTTTGCTTTCACTCTTCAGTCAATGTCTACAAGCAAGTCTTCCCTGGATGTCATATGATTGCTACATCCACTATCTATGTACCATTCATCACTTATCTTCTTTACTTCTCCAGAGTGATTAGCAAAGAATAAATTTCCAATTTCTTCAACATGATTAGCAAAGTTCAACTGCTGCACAGCCTTGTTTGTATGACAATATTTTGCAATATGCCCAATTTTGCCACACTTGTGACACTTGACTTTGTTCTTAACCCAGCACTCCCCATAGTGCAGTTTATCACAAAATTTGCATTTATTCCTAGTGTTGTGTGCCTCATTCTTCGCAAAGGAATTAGTCTTATTACTCCCATCAGCCTTGTTGACATTTTTATGAGATTTACTTGTTTGACCATTAAACCGAGTTGGTTTTGATCCATTGTTGAAGCTAGCAAATGCTTGCTCCATGTTATTGCCACCATGCCTATCAAGCCTCTGCTCATATCCCTTTAAGATGGCAACCACATCCTGAGCATCGATAATGTCTAAATCTTTAGTATTTTCTATCACAACTGCAATACCATCATAGGATTTAGGCAGGCTAATGAGGAGATTCTGAACAACTCGTTGATTGCTCAGATCCTCACCATAGCTCCTCATTTGATTAATCAAATCAAACAGCTTAGCAATATATCCAAAAAAAGAGATTCATTATCATTCATTCGAGTATATTCAAAATCACGCCTAAGACCTTGAAGTTTCACAGATCTTACTTGCTTATCACCAACAAATTCTTGTTTCAGAATGTCCCACGCAGCCTTTGCATTTTCCTGGGTTGCAATTCTAGGAAAAATCTGGTCTGAAACGGCACCTTGGATGATGCCCAATGCTCTAGCATCCTTAACCACATGCTCACGCAGCAGTTTCCTCTCTGCCTCCGTGAGTTCTTCCTCCTTCATCATCGGAGTTTTGTACTCATTTTCCACAAGATCCCACAGCTCATGCAAACGGAAAATGGTCTTCATTTTGATTTGCCAGAAATCAAAATTCTCGCCATTGAAGATTGGCGCTCTGAATTCTCCTCCTCCAGATCCAGCCATGTTAGACTCGATCGCCGATCTGAACCGGAATCACTGCAATGAGCTTTTGCTGTGAATCTGAGCCCACCTTAACCAACACGACGCCCAGAAAATCAGACCCAACCTGGCTCTGAGGCCATGTTAGAGAAATAGAATCCTAGTAGGTATGGAAGAGAATATCAGAAAGTATATGAGAGAAGAAGAGAGGAAATAAGTCTGAGAAAACGATTTTGATGAATTCCTCTGTATTCTGCTGTGTATTTTGGCACTATCTGTCAGAGCACCTTAGCTCACTCACACACAACGAAATAACCGTTGGAGGAGAGAGAGAGTTAGACATACTCCTAACTTCAATCCCAGCTATCCATTACATACCCTTAGATTAGGACACTTGTCCATTGCCAAGCCCTATGAGACTTAACCACCGGATATAATTCAAATATTTATAACTCAGCCTATGAGCTGAGGCCCAACCCACAAAGCAAACTACCAATCAGTTCACTAATTTATACACTAACATGTATACGCAAAGTTGGAGGCAAAAGCTTTGGAATAATAACGCAATTTCAAAAGGATCTAATTGCAGTGAACACAAGGATAAACAATTAATTAATTCTCCCACTCAAGCTATAGCACCAAAGCCTCCAGTTCCAGATCGATGCCCTTGGTTTCGATTTCACTTTATTTAAGTAGCAGACTTCTTCTATCCTATTTGCTAATTTACGTATTGGTTTGTACAAATTTTCCAATTTCATTTGTAAGCCTCCCTCTTGTAGAAATTCATTCTTTGATTTTGGGTTAATTCTTTTTTTTTCTTTGTTAGATCTAAAATCTTGATTAAATAACAAGATAGAGGACAATTGTGGGTTTGTGCATTCGACGTCTTTAGCTTTGAGAAAGTTGATTCCTCGCATTCTTCGAAATTATATCAATTCCTTATATTCGAAACTGAGTTTAGCATAACTCCCCAATCAATTGTGGGTTCGGTAACCGCGAATTTTTACTCAAACCGCAAACCGACCGACTATTTGCGGTTTGGTGATTTTTGAAACCACAAACCGACCGCGTTTTGCGGTTTACCGCATTGCGGTAAACCGCAAAATGCGGTCGGTTACCGCGAATTAGCGGTTTAAAACCACAAGTTCTCAAGCATTCACAAAAATATAAATTCACAACCTAAATAAATAAATACACAACCTCAATTTCTCAAACATATATAAATTCATAATCTCCTAAACTTCTCAAGCATTTACAACCTAAGAAAATTAAAGTTACAATTCCAAGCATTCCAATTAAAGTTAAACTTCTCAAGCATTCCAATTCCAAATCCTTTAAAGTTACAAACCAAAAGGAAAATGTAAAGCAAAATGAATTAAAGTTACAACTAAAAAGAAAAATCCAATTCAAAGTTAATTAAAGTTACAAACTAAAAGGAAAATGCAATGCACCAATGTTACAAACTAAAGTTACAAACTTAAGTGTTGGTGGTGAGTGGATTTAAAAAACCCCGTTGTGTTGTTTGAGCACCAATGTTATCTACAAATAAAACAACATAGTAATATTATCTACAAATAAAACAACATAGTAATATTATCTACAAATAAAACAACATAGTTTAGTACATTTTATTATAAGAAGAAGCATAAATAATATTAGCATAAATAAACTAATTACTTACAAGTTTTCATATGTTCCATTTCCTTGTAGAATTCAACCTCATCATCCGTGTGGCTATACTTTGCGGTTTGCGGTAACCACAAGTTTTGAAAATCAAATACAACAACCGCAACCGCAAATGCGGTTCGGTTCTTAATACGGCAAATGCGGTTCGGTTTACCGCGATTGCGGTTTCATTGCGGTAAATTGTCGGTTGGTTTTTGCGGTTTAAAATGCCACCCCTAGATCTAATCAGCGAACACAAGGATAAGCTTAGCAAATTGTCCGTGTTCTTTGTGTATTTTGGATGCTAACTGATGATTGTACATGTCTAGTCAACATATTAGCTGTAATAGTAGATCACATGTATATCTCGTGGTCAGTTAGGAGTTGTTAAGCAATTGTATAAAGATCTTGTGTGTACGGTAATTGTTCATTAAGAAAATACAAACAGTAAAGATCTCTTAGAAATCTCTGTGTTCTCTTTCTAGCTTTCTTCCTCCATATCTTTCTCTGCAAATTTCACTTTCGTTATCACTAACAAATAGCGGTATTTAATATTCCTCAGCAACTCGAAGTGCCAACAGTAGTCTTCGGTGCATAACACCCAAAAACGTCCATCAACTCTACCAAGCCCCCTTTTGCCAACCACAAATTTCACATGAATGCATGCACCATGCACCGTGGACATTGAGCTCGAGTAAATACAATATTATACGGAGCCAGCATAGGGTGCACACAGAGGCGGAGCCACAGTGGGGTCGTCGGGGTCAGACGACCTCTTGGAAGCCATGGAAATAGCCTTGGAGGTCCCTTGGAGCTGCTGGCGCGACCTCTTGGAGCTGCACACCACGTGGTCGACGGAATGCTTGAAAGAAGAAGGAACAGAACAGCTGAAGAAGAAGGAGGCGAGGCTGCTCTGCGCGCATCTTTTTTTTTAAACAACCTGGGCCAAAACGACGTCGTTTTGGCCCAGGTCTGAACAAAAAAAAGAATGCCCAGCGTATCCCTCTCAGCCTCTCCTTCTCCACAGACACAGATTCGATTCTTTCATTCAAAAAACCCCAAATTTCTTTTGTTTTCTCCTCCTCCAACCCTAAGTTCCAAACTCAATCCCCCCCAAGCCTTCAACTCCATCTCCTCCCTTGCTGCCGCCATTGAGGTGTCTTTGTGCTGCCGTCGTCGTCGTTGTGGTGGTGGTGCCGCCAGCTACTCTCTTTATATTTGCTAATTGTCATTGTGAAATTTCACAATTCAAGTAAGTTCTAAACCCTATATATGATATATTTAATTTAATTGAAACATAATTCATGTTTATTTTGATTATATTGGTAGTTTGATTATATTGTGAGTTTTTATTTTTATTATTTTGTATATATAGAATATATTGAATTTAATTGAAATTCAATTCATATTTATTTGATTATATTGATGGTTTGTTTATATTGTGAGTTTTATTTTGCAAGTTTTTGTATATGTAGAATATATTTAATTTAATTGAAATCCAATTCATGTTTATTTTGATTATGTTGATGGTTTGTTTAAATTGTGAGTTTTATTTTGCAAGTTTTTGTATATGTAGAATATATTTAATTTAATTGAATATCCAATTCATGTTTATTTTTATTATGTTGATGGTTTGTTTAAGTTGTGAGTATTTATTTTGAATATTTTGTATATGTAGAAGTATTATGGAACGGTTTTTTAAGAGAAAGTCATCATCGGGTTCGGGTAGTTCGAATAATGTTGATAGTTCAAATACTGTTGGTAGTTCAAGAACTCCAAGTTCAAGACAAAGTCAGTCAGATGGTGTTTTGGGTAATCTTCAAGCGGATCCTGGATTAAGAACTCGAATGATAGATTATGATGCTAATATGAGAGATGAGGTCCGAAGATCATATCTACAAAAAGGACCTTGTCAACCTAGAGGTCATAATTTCCCGATAACTAATATGTCGGGAATTAATCGACGCTTCATTCCCCAATGGTTTGATGAGTTTGATTGGTTGGAGTATAGTATATCTAAAGATGCGGCATTTTGTCTCTATTGCTATCTCTTTAAAACCAATTTTGAACAAGTGGGTAGTGAAGCTTTCACTGGAGATGGATTTAAGAATTGGAAGAAAGGGAGAGAAAGATTTAAGATGCATGTTGGACCGGTTGGGAGTGTTCATAATAAGGCTAGAGAAGCTGCTACAAATTTGATGAATCAAGCTACACATATTGAAACGGCAGTGAGCAAACACTCCGACCAAGCTCGTAAGGCTTATCGCACATGTTTGATAGCATCAATCAAGTGCACTAAGTTTTTATTGCGACAAGGTCTTGCTTTTCGTGGCCATAATGAAAGTGCCACTTCAAGCAATAGAGGAAATTACTTGGAGCTATTACAATTCCTTGCAGATAATGATGATAAAGTTAAAGAAGTTGTGATGGAAAATGCTCCGGGGAATCTCAAATTACTAGCTCCTTGCATTCAAAAAGAAATTGTGAATTCATGTGCCCTTGAAACACTTGATGCTATCATGGATGGTCTAAAAGATAGATTCTTTTCAATATTGGTGGATGAAGCACGTGATGTATCGGTGAAAGAGCAAATGGCTATGGTGTTGCGTTATGTGGATGACTCCGGGCATGTAATTGAAAGATTTGTGGGTATCCAACATGTTACCGACACTACTTCAAGTTCACTAAAGGATGCTATTGACACATTCTTTTCTCACAACGGTTTGAGCATTTCCAAGCTACGAGGACAAGGTTATGATGGTGCTAGCAATATGAGAGGTGAGTTGAATGGCCTTAAAACAAAGATATTGAGAGAACAACCTTGTGCATATTATGTTCATTGCTTTGATCATCAACTTCAACTAGCTCTTGTTGCCGTAGCAAAGAAGAATATAGACATTGCCTCTTTTTTTGCAATGGCTAATAGTGTGGTTAATCATGTTGGAGCATCTTGTAAGCGGCGTGATTTACTTAGAGGGCAACTTCAAGAAGAGCTTGTGATAGCTTTTGAAAATGATTGTCTTATAACGGGGCGAGGCTTAAATCAAGAAACAAGTCTCAAACGTGCCGGTGACACACGATGGAACTCACACTATGGTACCTTGATTAGCATCATTTCTATGTTTACATCTGTGGTTCATGTGCTTCAAATGGTTATTGATGATAATCCCAATGAAAGTGTGGGTGAAGCAAATAAGTTAATGAGAGAAATACGGAGTTTTGAGTTTGTGTTTCACCTTTTCTTGATGAAGGTCATATTGGGACTCACAAATGATTTGTCACAAGCATTGCAAAGGAAAGATCAAGAAATTGTTAATGCAATGGCTTTAGTGAAATCATGCAAGGAAAAGCTACATTGGATGAGGAATAATGGGTTCAATGCATTGGTTGATGAAGTATCTTCTTTTTGTGAAAAACATCATATTTATGTTCCTAACATGGAAGAGGCATTTATACTTCCAGGGAGGTCAAGGCGTAATGCTCCAATAAAGACAAATCGTCATCATTATCGTGTGGAGCTATTTATTTATGTCATTGATGAGCAAATTACGGAGTTAGAGGATCGCTTTAATGAGGTAAATACCGAGTTGCTTATTTGTTTGGCATGTTTGAGTCCGAAAGATTCATTTGTAGCTTTTGATAAATCAAAGTTACTTCGTCTTGCTCAATTTTATCCTCAAGACTTTTCGGATGAGGATCGTTTGGCACTTGAAGATCAACTTGAGATTTATATTCATTATGTGCGTTCCATGGGTGATTTCTCTCAATTGCAAGGGATTGGTGATCTTGCAAAAAAAAAGGTGGAGACAAGGATGCATCAAGTATTCAATTATGTATATTTGCTCATTACATTGTCTTTAGTTTTACCGGTTGCAACTGCTTCAGTGGAGAGGGCATTTTCTGTCATGAATATTGTTAAGGGTCCACTTAAGAACAAAATGGGAGATCAATGGTTGAGTGATAGCTTGCATGTTTATATTGAGAGAGATATTTTTGCTTGTATTGAAAATGAAGCTATAATGCTTCGTTTTCAAAATATGAAACCTTGTCGTGGACAATTATAGCTTGTAATATTATTTCCGTTATGAATTATGAATGAAAGTACTATGATTTCATTTTCAATATGTTTTTCAATCCTAAATTTTTATTTGGACTTTTACACTAAGACCCCTTGTGGTATGATTCCTGGCTCCGCCACTGGGTGCACATGCCCCCACTCGCCCACGCGAAACCATTCACCCAAACCTGTTTAAACTGATAAAAACATTCCTTTTACACTCCCCAAACCCACTCAAATTTTTTATTTAGTTTTCCTTTCCTTTTAATATATATATATATATTTTTTTTTGTCAAAAAGCATTACAATTTACAAAACCCAATCCCACATCACTCACCCCCACGACTCTTTCTTCTCCTCCTTCTCTAAACAGTTGCTTGCTGGTCTTTCTTCTTTTCTCAGTATCACGGTGGTAAGGTAAGTTTACTTGGTTTTCCTTTATAATCCTAATGTTAGGGATCAAGTTAGGAGAGCATATTTGCAAAAAGGTCCTTGTCGGCCTAAAGTCCATAATTTCCCTTACGAGCAATTTGGAAAAACATTAAGAAAATTTAATCCTGCTTGGTTTGATGATTTTTCTACTTTGTTGGAATATAGTATAGAAACAGATTCTGCACTGTCTTTGCTGCTACCTTTTTAAACCAAATATTGGAGGAGAACAAGCAGGTGGTGATTATTTTGTGGGCGAAGGTTTTTCTATTGGAAGAAGACAGACATTACGCATTAATATATGAACTTACTCTTTAAGTATGTTGTTGTTGAAATTTTTTACTCTTACTTTGTTGTTTGGAGATGCCCCAATGAATTTTTTTTTCTGGCTCCGTCCCTGTTTGTAGGTACATATTACTGTTGAACTCTGTACATACATGTATGTTAATATATATACCTGCAATGTTTGTACAAGTACATAAATTAATATTAAATATTAATGTGCGAAACTCTCGTTGAAATTTAAAATTTAGCTATAAAAGAAGAAACGAAAGTTGGAATGGATGATTCGTTTGTTGTGCGGAAGCGTCAACCAACAGTGAGTGAAAAATAAACAACAATAATTGGCAAGAGATAAAAGGAACAAAACAACACCAACAAGAACACCAAGATGTATACTAGTTCGGCAATGCCTACATCCAATTTGGAGACGACGGAGTATTCCACTGTAATCAAATGATGAGAGAATACAATAATGTTTAACACTCAGAAAACCCAAGCCCCACCCAAATATACCCAAGCTCACACACACAAGAATACAGAGGGAATACAAATTGAGTACAGTTTGAAAAATGGATAAGTTCACCAACGGCAGCCATAATTCTTCTGCTGTATAACTCTAATTTTTCCTTCTTCCTCACTTATCTCTCTCAATCTGCATCTGCTGGAGCAAATGGAGCGGCAATATATAACCAAGGAATGTCAAGACAATATTATTATAAGCTAATATAATAATCAAAATGGCTCACGCAGAAACCAAAACATAATATGTAAACAATTCCTTTGGTTATCATCCAACACCACATCCATTAAACTAACAGTGTTATTACACTAGACTGGAACATTACAGCCAGTGGCGGATCCAAGATTTAAAATTCAACTGAGCGAAACTTACATTAAAAACTCAAGGTTATGAGTGAATCTCATTAATATATATAAAAATATACACCTAGTAGGATGACATAATAAGCCTTACCCTCAAATGCATCTCTATACATAAATAAAAGTATAGCGAAAGAAAAAACTATTCTTTTTCTAAAAAAAAATTTCCAAAAGATTCTATATTTTCTTGGGATTCGGATTGTGATCTAACATAACAAAAGATAACCTATTTAATCCAACATCTCAACAAAAAATCAAATAAATTCTCATAATAACATCAATGCCTTTAATCAAACATTAACATACCAACAACAAATCAAAACATCTCAAAAATACCAATATCAAATCAAACATCTCAACAAAATTCCAAAAATCAAATACCTAATTAATTTCAACAAAGGCAGCAAATTATAATTCATTCTTTAAGTAAACTCTAGAATAGATTAGAACACATAACTTCTAACCTATTTAGAATATATTAAATTCAATGTTGTCATACACAAAATCTTAAAATTTAGGGGTAGGAAATTAAAGAGAAGATAATTAAAGATGAGATAATTAAAGAGAAAATAATTAAAGAGAAGAGAAATTTTAGGTTATGCATACATATGGCTTACTTTTTGGGTGGGCATTGGTTTGTATGTTTCACATGAGTTGGCCTATCCTATATGGGTATTTTTTATTTTTGAAAATTTTGGGGTAGGCAGCAGCCTACCTTGCCCTAGGTGTAGGACCGCCCTTGATTACAACCATTAATCAATGTGACAGTAAATGTGTGGTTTTTAAATGTTTTACCTACCCTTTTCTGCTTGAAATTCTTTAGCACAAAGAGTCTAGAGACTGTAGAATTGTAGGAAGTTATTACAATCCTTAAGAGCCAAGAGCAACGTTTTGAGCTGCATAATGTTGATACAGCTGAGAAGGCATTTGCCTCATTCTCAGTTAGTCCAAAAATTCAGAACAAGGGAAGCAATCAATTTGGTTCATCTAAACTCCATAAGAATTGGAACCCTAAGGGCAAGCCATGAGAATCAAAATCCAAGGCTCAACAAACTAGCTCTGCACATGATTCATCACAATTAGTGGGTCAAAAAGGTTCAAAACCACAGTGCAAAGTGTGTTCAAAGTTTCATTTCGGTGAATGCAAGTATAAAAGGAAAGCCTTAGTGTTACAATTGTGACAGATTTGGACATTGGGCTAGAGAATGTACTGCAAATAAAAATGTGCAGAAAGCTAACTGTGCAAATCAAGTGGAAGTAACAGGAAATTTTTTCTATGCAAATAGTACCATCTCTGAAACATGAGTGGTTGCAGCAATCATATGACTGGGGATAGGAAGCTGCTAGTTGACATAAGAACAAATGTAATAGGCAATGTAGGAAGTACATCAAAGAAGTAATGTATCTACCTGGATTGAAGGAGAATCTACTGAGTGTTGGATAGATGGATGAGCATGGTTATTATCTGTTATTTGGAGGCAAAATGTGTAGCATTTTTGACAGTGCTTCACTAGAGAATCTTGTCATCAAAGTGGAAATGAAAAGGAATAGATGCTATCCTTTGGCACTGTTACCTAATAATCATGTTGCACTGAAAACAAGTGTATCTCACTCTACTTGGACTTGGCGCAAAAGGCTAGGTCATCTACATCTAAGGGGGCTGCACCAACTCAAAGAAAAGGAAATGGTTCATGGACTTCCACACTTAGAAGAGGTTGATGAAGTATGTGAAGGGTGTCAACTTGGAAAGTAGCATAGAGAGTGGTTTCCAAAGAACTAAGCATGGAGAGCAAGCAATCCTCTTGAGCTAATTCATGTGGATTTGTGTGGACCTATGCAAAATGAATCCATTGCTGGTAACAAGTATTTCATGCTTCTTATAAATGACAATACAAGGATGGTCTGGGTCTATTTTCTCATATAAGTTTGATGCTCTAAACTGTTTTCAAAAGTTCAAGTCTATGGTAGACTTGCAAAGTGGTTTTAGAGTGAAGTGTTTGAGAAGTGACAGAGGAGGTGAATTCACATCTTGTGAATTCAACAAATTGTGTGAAGATGAAGGCATTCAAAGGCAACTCTCTATGGCCTACACTCCACAACAAATGGAGTAGTGGAAAGGAAGAATAGAATTGTGGTTGAAATGGCAAAAGCCATGCTTCATGAGAAAGGATTACCTTACTATCTGTGGGCAGAAGTTGTACACACAGCTGTCTACATACTAAATAGGTGTCCTACTAGAGCACTTGGAGATAAAACTCCATTTAAAGCATACAGTAGGAGAATTGCTCATCTTAAAATATTCGATTGTTTGTGTTATGTGCACATATCAAGTGAAGTGAGATAGAAGTTAGATGCAAAGAGTACCAAGGATATATTTGTGGGTTATGCAACTTGTGAAAAAAGGTTACAGAGTGTATGATCCTATCAATAAGAAGCTTCAACTCTCAAGGGATGTTGTGTTTGATGAAAATGCAGCTTGGGATTGGAAGGAAATGTCTGAGAAACAGGTATTTGTGACCAATCATGAAGAGCAATCCGATATATCTTAAATGACATCACCAATGACACCTCTTGGGAGCCATGATCACATTCAATCACCAACGGTGTCACCTCCTTATGAACCATCAGGTGACATAAGTAGCAGCATGAGAAATACTCAAGCCTTTGATCACACTCCACTAAAATGGAGAAATCTGAATGATGTTCTAGTACAATGCAATCTTTGCATTATGGAACTTGAAAAATTTGATGAAGCTTCTAAAGATGAATCATGGATGAAGGCTATGGAAGATGAACTGTCAATGATTGAGAAAAATGCAACATGGGAGCTGGTGGACAGACCAACTGATAAACCTATAATTGGAGTTAAGTGGGTGTTCAAAACCAAGTTAAATCTTGATGGCTCAGTACAGAAGAACTAGGCAAGGCTCATAGCCAAATGTTACTTACCAATAATAGACAAGAGAAATAAAAATCAAAGAATAATTATATTCTTACCACATTTGTATACTATATTCTCATATCACTTTATGTGGCAAATAAGGTGGACAGCCACATCAATTAAAAGTATTTAATATTTTCTTTTCTTTTATGATTGATTAACACTTTTAAAAAAAATGTTAATTAAACTTTCTTTATTAAAATACACTTCATTGATTTTAATTAATGTAGCATATGAAATATAGAAATGTGGAATAAAAATGTGATAAGAGTAGTTATATTCGATTTCCCATTCCTCGGCACCCCCCCACTTGAACCGGAAAGTCTTTTGGTCTCGAAACTAAATCCCTCAGTGCTTAATGTGCGAAAAAAAAAAAAAAAAAACATAAAATCCTTGAAACCCAACAGAAAGTTAACCTAGAAAAATAAAAAAAAAACATAAAAACCACACAAAAACACAAAAAAAAAAAAAAAAAAATGAAGGGTCTTGCACTTTCTGTCGCTCACTATCGCTCAGTCTTCTGCTGACCAACAGTTCTGGTTAGTTCACAAACCTCATGAACTCCGCTTGAAATTTGACCTCATTTTCTCGAGAAAAATAAAAACCCTCGGTCACATTTAACGGGAAACGCAAAGGCCTGAGAAAGAGAAGGAAAGAGTTAGCGTGGTTGTGGAATGGGATCGGGCGCCGCAATCCCCCAATGGACCTCAGAGCCTTGCATCATGGGCATCGATGAAGCTGGCCGAGGCCCTGTTTTAGGTCTGCTTTCTTCTCGTTTTCCCTGTTTTTTTGTTTTTCCATTTATACGTATTCACAAAACTTCTGTATGTCCAATGAGAACAGGTCCAATGGTGTACGGATGCTTGTACTGTGCTCGCTCGTATGAGAAGACTCTCTCCTCTTTGAATTTTGCAGGTTTAGCTTCATTCTTCAATGTCCTTTCCTTTACTCATTTTTAGCTTTAATCTATTTTTTTTTGGGGGGGGGGGGGGGGGGGGGGGGGGGGGGGCGGTGGGGTTTGTGTTGTGTTTTTAAGATTTATTGTCTTTGAAAGTTGAGGAACTTGCACTTCTATGATTTTTGTTGGAAGTAAAGAGATGGGATGTTCATTGTGATCTCATGACGTTAACTGTTATGCTAATAAAATCAAGCACAAAACAAAGGAGTCAATGTAATCGTATTGTATCAGCTGTTGAGTCATAAACTCGAAAAATAAAATATAAAAAGGGGTACAAGTGTGGATTGGATATTATAATGATTAGTTTAACTCCAAAGAAAACATCAATGTTTTTCTTTGATTTTGGAGATTTGCTCTTCAAATGGAAGTGCAACTGTCAATATTCGCCTTCTGGTCAACTAGTCACCTAAACATATCATTATGTGAAATACAGATCAATTGAGCACACCATGTCAAACTTGTAGATGTGGAAATAAGTCATGGCTTTGATCCAGATTCTCGAATTTCAATACTTATGATGCATCAAATATCGGTTGGATTACTAAAGAAAATGGATGACCACAGATTTTGTTATTTTATATGCACAAAAATACTTGAACATCACTTGTACACATCACCTGAGTCTTCATTGCTTTTGAACTCATAATATTGTCTTCAATTGTATGGAAATTAGTTTTAAGCTTTAGCTTGCTGGGCCAAGTTCACATGAAAGATCTGATTCACACTTGTGTTATCACACCATACTCTAGTTTATGATGTTTGGGGATGCCTTCCTTAGAACCAATTGATTGGGGGGAAATGACCCTTTCATCTGCAAAGTTCTACTTAGTGTCTCCCATGACTCTACGTTTGCCTTTTAAAGTGAAACTCTTTTTATCTGGAAATTCTGAGCTCCTTTTTTGGTTCAATATGGCATCATAAATCACACCCCTCCCTGTGTTCTTGATCCTGTTTTGTTTCCCGTAGATTCGAAGACACTGAAAGAAGAGAAGAGGGAGGAATTATTTGAGAATTTGAAGGATGACGAATCCATTGGGTGGGCTGTTGATATCATAGATCCAAGGGAACTTTCGGCCAAAATGCTGAAGAAGTCAGTGAAAATATATGAATACTTTTTCTCAAGTCAATCACATGCTACCGTTTTCTTATCTGATTTCTTTTGTTTGTTTTCAAAACAGAAATAAGATAAACCTGAATGAAATCTCACATGACTCGCCATTGGCCTTATCACTAAAGTCCTAAACATGGGAGTTCTTCTAACTGAGGTAAACTGTTTCTAGCTTAAAAAGATTAATGGTCATCTGAAGGTCTTTTATTTACATATATGCATGTTTCAGATCTCAAATACTTTTAAATTGAATTTTCCACACATTATTGATGAAAAAAGAGTGCATATTCTTAATTCTGAACACAAAGCTATTTTGAGATAAATAGTTTGCTGTAGTAAGTGCTTGGGTATTCTGGTAACAGGGTGCCATTATGGTAACAGAAGCCATCTGAAAGAGAAACACGTAGACACTATCGTAGGATCTGTCAATGGAAAAGGCAATATGGACAAAGAATATTAAATAAAAAAAACAAGAAGTAGAACAAAGTTAACAGGAGGCAATGAACAAGGTGAAAGCTCTTTAATGGTACTGCATTTTCTGTTTTGAAAACCTTAAAAAATATTTCGTCTATAATAAAAGAATATGTTAGATAAGTTTTCCTGGTGCAACCTTGTTTCTAAGTTACGATCCTAACTGAACTATGCAGTTTTTATTGTTCTCTCACAATCTTGTGGAAACCTTACTCTCCGCTTTCTTTTTCTTCTTTTTCTTCTTTTCTTTATGTCCCTGTTTTGTGCAAGCCTCTAAAGGATATATGGAAAAGGTTCATCTCAATTAAATAGTTTCTTGGAAATTATGAGGCTTGACAAAGCAGTGATTTGAGAAATCAAAATTAGCGTTGTTAGGTTATTTTATAAAAAGATAATAATAAAGTGGTTGATATTGTTAAATAATCCGCACACTAGATCTTGTTCTTTAATGTAACCGACGGCAATAGACTAAATTAGCAAATATTAGAAAACTTAGAAACACACAAGAATTATACTGGTTTGGCAAAACTTTTGCCTACATCCAGTTGTGATTTCTCTAGGTAGAGAAATCACCGCTCCTTTGATTAATAATAGAGATTACAGAACTTTTGCAACCCTAGAACTAATCTCAAAACTCTCGGCTGTCTCTAGTTGTTTTTCCTCTCTAAAATAAGCCCTGCCGCACCCTATTTATAGATATAGAGTTGGCTTACATGTCCCAAGGCTGATTGAATTCCTATTCCTAAGTGGATTAGGAAATTACACTTATCCAAATCCAAATAGACTTCTAGAAATCCAAACCTAAATTGAATAAGGAAAACTGAAATTCTTTCCTAATCCCTCTAGGATAAGAATCGGTATACCTCTAATTTTCCTAAAACAATCCTAAACCAACTAGGACATATTTGACGAGCCAAAATCCTAACAGATATAGTTACAAATAATATATGTTTCAGGTTTACGTGGATACGGTGGGAGATGCTGAGAAGTATAGGACTAAACTGTCTGAAAGATTCCCTGCTGTCAAGTTTGTCGTTGCAAAGAAGGCTGATAGTCTTTATCCAGTTGTCAGTGGGGCAAGCATAGTTGCAAAAGTAATTACCTTCCCCTTGTGTAACTCCACACTGAAAGTCTGGAGGCTACAATAATTTTACTTTTCATTCAATCATCCAGGTCACAAGAGACAGAGCTTTGCGGGACTGGGTGCTTGAGGAAACAGCTGAAGACTTGCACAAAAACTTTGGTTCTGGATATCCTGGAGGTGAAAGGTTTATGGCTTTTATCTTTCTTTCCCAATAACTTTGTAAACATCATATGGTTACTGTACTTGGAGGAATCTGGTTATTGTTTTGTTTCCACAGATCCAAATACTAAGGCCTGGTTGCAACATCACAAACACTTGGTTTTTGGATTCCCAACATTAGTCCGTTTCAGCTGGGGTACATGCACTCCCTATTTCAAAGACATTGTTGAAGTCTTATGGTCAGTCCCTCTGCACTTTGTTAAAAAATTCTATCACAAACTATTTAGTAGTTCATTGTATGTACCTGCACATTTATCGCCTTTTCCAATTTCTTTTGTATCTGTATGGAGTGAGTTTTGAGTTTCCTTCTGCTTTTTATAGAAAGGGGTAAGCATGAGTTGACATTGAGGATATTCCAATGAAGCAAAGCTCCAAAATAACCAAGGTTAAAAGTACTGTGGAAATACCGGAAGTCCCTGGATTTATTGGTAGAAATATTGGTAAATGACGAAAGTTTTTTTTAATGTACTGTGGAAATACCAGTAGTCCCTGAATTTCAAGAAACCGTAAACCAACCAATAATCAATAACCATATAAGCTTTATAAAATATGTGTGATGGAGATTGCTACAGCCAAGGTCAAAACGGTATGCTGTGCTAATAATAAAGAATTATTGAATTGTATGTTAAAACTAATTATTGCAACTTTTAACTACAATTAGGCAAATATTGGATTTTACCTATTTCAGGTGAGGCTCCTTTATGTGTCAATTAACGTTGGATTTTGATATGTTTTGTTATTTCCATAGGGAATCCAATGAAACAGATGGAGATGGTTCTAGCAGTGCTAATGGCAAGCGGCAATTGAAATTAAGTAATTTTGGTGTCACAAAATCCAAGAGAAAGATTGAAGAAATTGAATCAAGTGGTAAAGGACGCTGCAAATTTTTTATGGCTCGTAAACTTGAGCAAGTCACTCAATTCTAAGTAGAAGGTTTGACACGTTACGATTTGTATTTTTGCTTCTCTCCAATTATTTGCCTTTCTTGATTCAAATCATTGGAGTTTTGCTTCACCGTTCTCATTATTGAGAAAGGCAAATGAAAGAACTTAAACAGCCTATTGTAGTGTTCTTTTTTTTTAAATTTAATTTTTGACCGAGGGCGAGTAATATGATGAGGAAAATTTCTTCCGTATCTGTGCAATCCATCGTGTGTCCATTTTGGAGTTATAATACTTGCAATGGTGCAGTTACTAAGGAATTCTTTTGATTGCCCTTGAGACATACTAACTGAATGATTAGACATAATGATGCATGTAGACATGTTTCATGAATCATGTGATAATCCAGGGACAAAGTTCAAGTGTGTACGACTTATAAACGGCTTGGAGTTATGAAATCTGGTAGGTGGACCTCTAAATTTAGAATACAAACACAAAATTCGAAACCTGCTGTCTTGTTCTTTAGTCTTATACAATCATAAATGAAAGAAGCGAACTCATGTAATACTGCAAATCTTCTTGTGTGCTTTAGACATCATTGATGCACAAGATGCACAAACCCGAATTTGTTTAGGCAGTAATTCATAATACATTGTTTCCTAACATTTGTTGGAAAATGTTAGTCTCACAAGGAGCCAACTGCAAAACCGACACACTCAAACTTACAGTTTATGCACAATGATAGCAAGCAACACCGTCTTTTCATGCTTTGGCTTTGTCTAGTATCAGAATATCATATACAGATGTACAAGAGACGCCCAGCTGGATGTGAACAAGATGGGCAGTCCAATGCATTTCTTGTTGCTGTTGGCAGCACCATGGTGATTGTTATGGTGGCGATTGTTAACTGAACCTGCTGTGTATACAGGTACGAAAGTTGAACCTTGTGTATTTGGAGATCTGGTCCCGCCGTTATTTCCATTCTCACCAATACTAGTTGATCTGCCGTTTGCACTTCCATGACTGTATCCATGTTCAAGTTTGCCGCTATGTGCTATTCTGCTTCTGCTATTATCACTATCATCATCACTACCATTGCTTCCATGTCCATTTGCACCTTCATCTTCTGTGGTGGTTTCCTGCATAAATTCTGCAACATATTCTTTTAGAAGTTAACCAGTACCGAAACTTGTTTGACAAGGTCACAGATTTCTTTTTGCCATTAGGAAATCAGAAAAGTTCTGTATATAAATTTTTATTTTTTAAACTTTTTATTTTATCTGGCATTGGGGGTGGTTGAATTATTCTCAAATAGAGCGACTTTCTTTTTGGTCCAAAAACTTGTAGAGGAAGAAGAGTTCGAAAAGATTGTAATGGTAATAGACTCGATTGTCAATTCTGTTTCAAATCGAATGCTCAAATTGTGTTTCACTCAATGAATTTTCAATGTTAAATATGCCCTTGTTCAACTGAACTTGTTCCTTTCTTGTTCTCTGCAACAACCCAACCGTTAAAACAAAGTGTATTTGACTAACAAACTATAACTTCTACCAACTTATTATCCAAGCACTCGTATTTCTTTTGCTAATTCTTCTTAGCATCCTAGTTTTTTTATTATTAATTCTAGAAAGGACATAGCTAATTATATTTGTTTCCTTAAAAATATTATTTCCCTCTCGTTTTCCGTTTGATCCATGAAAACCATATTTGGTTCTTAATAAGCAACTTTTGCAGGTGGCTTATAGCTCAATTGGTTAAGAACATTTATCCTGCACTCCGAGTCTTAGATTTGATTTCCCCTCTCCCCTAATATAGGATGTATTAATAAATAATAATAAAAAAACAGCGACTTTCAATTACTTGCTTTGGTGTTCCTTTTCACTTTCATGTTCAGATAGTTTTGATTTTTGAGCTCTTACAACCAAGAAGCAACCAGGGATTACAGTTTATAAAAGGAGTTTCTGAAAAAGTTATTGCCAAGAATAAACTAATTAATAATAGAACATGCGAGCAGATAGAGTTGAGAAGAACACCTGAAGGCGAGGCCTTGCGAAGAGGAGATGCAGGCGCCACAAGGTAATGGTGGGAAAAGATCATCAGAAACAACCCTATTTCTATAATCCCCATTAATTCCTCCCTTCCCAGCAGCTGCAGCTAATTCAAGCAAAATAGTTAGTTTAATTTTAATTAAAAAAAGTGAAGCACAGCAGATGTAGATGATGATGTTGTTGGCCTTATCCTTTTCCCAAAGTTGTTCACTAAATAAAGTTTATTCTTGGTACACTAATTAGGTGCTTGCCTTTTTTATCCTGGTCGAAATTTGGTGCCCACTTGTCTTGATGCATGGGCCACAAATATGAAATTCTTTCGTCTCGTATTTGATCTGATTATGATTGTATATTTTTCAAATTTACAGATGGAAAACTTTCTTTTTTTTTGGTGTGTGTGATAGCTACTGAAAACTGTATTCCGTTACATATGAATCAAGATAATCATTATACAAAATAATTATACTGAATATAGCTATTACTCAATCATTTTCCTTATACTCAATAGTTGTTACCTTCATCGATTTCTACATACATGTTTACAACCCTCATGAAAATTTACTGAGTCCTTGTAGAAATCAAAAAGTCTCACACTAATAATAAGTCGTCAAGTGTATTGACTTAAACTGAGAAATCTTATCTTGCTGATCCTACTGTCACGAGTAACTTAAGCATTAGAGACTCTTCGGCACACACCACACCGGTGTGTTCAAGGACTCACAACTGCTGTTATTTCTTGGATTTCAAAGTGCAATAGGCCTTTCACAAGGTGGGGCAAATCATATCCCACAATCCTTGATATACAATTAATTGAAAAAATGCATAAAATATACTTCGTATATAGAGCGTCTAATTATGTGGGGTAGTGGATGAATTTGTACCTAGCTCTATGAATACTTACTGATACATTATTTATTATTTATGGACATTTAGATAACAACCCAAATTAATTTGTAGCTAAGGGCGACTGAGTTTGTGTTTCCCCGTTTGTTCTATGTTTCTGCTTGTAGCCTTTGCTTGTTACTGTTTTCGTAATGGAGTTATCCATTTACCAAAAAAGTTAATAATAATAAAGAGACCCAATATCAAAATCGAATCGGCATAAATGTAGAAATTAGCCAAAAAGGAAAAAAAAAAAAAAAAAAGGGTAACGACAAAAACGTAGAAACTAGCTACTGTTTGGGCCATAAATCTGCACGCACAGTCCAACGCTGGACGTCCAGGAAAACAAAACTCAAGATCCAAGAAATTTGGGCTTTTTGTTCAAATTGGAATCAAGAGCCCAGATAAAAAAAAACCCATGTCAAATTGTGGGCAGCCACTAGAGTCTTTTTAAGATTAGGCCAATTTCCAACACACCCAGCTCATTTCTTTTTCAGAAAAAGAGCCATAAGACAAAAACATTTGGGGCTTTTTTATCCACTAAAAAGAGACTAGCCCAGCCTTTTTACACCATCTAAATCCCTACCCTAGAAGGTTGACAAAATCAGAAGATCTTTTTAAAACAAACCCACGTGACTACTTGGCATTTAAATTAATGAAGGTAGGTTTTTGCAGAAAGGCTTCCCTATTTTTACTCAGCCAAAAGAAGAAGGTCAGGATTATTATATATATATATATATATATATATATACATATAGAGAAGCTCTACACCAAAATAGGTGGCTTTTTCAAAAAATTAGCATACTACGTTTTCAAGAGATAAGTAGGAAGCAGAGAGTTGTTCAGTTGGAAGATCAAAACTAACCATCACGATAGTTTGAATTCTTACAAAGAGTAGTTAGAATTAAAGAAGGATTAAGTTTTCTTTCAAGAAAAACAGAGAAGTGACTGCCTTAGGAACTAACTGTTGATGGTCTACTTGCCAGAATAGATAACTTCCCTTTTTTGGACATTTGAAAATAAAAAGATCTTGGTTTTTAGAAAATATGCAGCCCATTTTAAAAATTAAAAATCTCACTCCAGCATTTCCTATAAATATGAGAAAAGGTGAACAGAGCAAGGATAGCCAAAAAAAATCAATCGAAAACAAAAACTTAAAATGATCACTTGATCTCAAAAACCTTCAAAACACTGAAGTAACCAAAAGCTCATTGAGCCACAAGAAACAAATCAGCTACAATTCAGAATCTCTAACTCCAGTTCAGACTTAGAGAAATAAGTCATTCAAAACGAGATTTCTCTCATTACAAATTTGGTTCAACATAAGCCAAATCAAGTAGAGTTTGGGTTTTACAAATATGAAAACCTCAACAAATTTATGGAGAGCCCTGATTAAGCAGAACAGGTACCACAGTGCAGTTCCAGCTCAGTAATCCTCAAGTCCAGCCACTTCTGCCCCTTCAAGAAGGAAGAGGTCCCAATTCTGCCAGTTCAAAAAGCCTTCCAGGGCGTGAAATAGACTAAAGCTCTGCCAAACTCGAACGTTGGTATCGATTTACAACTGAAACTTAACTGTTAAAGTTGTTGATAGTCCAGTCCAGCTCAAGCATATTCAGTCCAGCCCGAATCAAAAGCAACTATCCAGGTAGAAATGGAAGCTCAGCTTTCTTTTTGTCTTTCTAGAGTTGGTTTTTCCTTTTTGATTTTTGTAAAAGGTAGTTCTGCCTAAAATAGTTCACTTTCTTATCATTTATTCTGGCAAGAACTACCAGTTTTGTACTGTGAAAAATTGTGAAGTCCTCACTAGTTTGAGGCAAGAAAATAACTTACTTGGGAGATATTCCTCACCCAAATTCACAATCACTTGTTTAGAAATCAGTAACTTGGGGCGCAAGTTATCTATTTTAAAGAAGTCTGCTAAGATTTTCATTGCTAGTAGTGACACGCTCGCACACAAAAGAAAGTTGACTTGTTGACCAGTCAAATGGTTTTTGAGCCAATGTGGAACTTTACCCTACCATCACGGGAGCAAACTTAAAACGGGTGAATAGCTACCCAACTCAAAAAGGAAAAAACAAAGAGTTAACAACAAAAGACCCCTTATAGATTTGGGGTCATTCTTAATATGAGCCCCGAGGTATCAATTTCATCAAGTTACACCCCAATATTTTCAAATTTGTCCAATTTTATCCTTCCATTAAGTTGACCGTGTGGTCAAACATTAATTGCTAACGTGGCCGTTGTGGGACCCACCCCACTAACAATTTAATTATTATTTGTACTTATAAATAAAAGGGTAAACTACATAAAAGTACCCAACCTTTAGGGGTCGTTTCAAGCAAGTACCCAACCTTCTAAAATTTTCATGAGCATACCTGAATTCTTAGAAAACCTATAAATTGGTCACACCGTTACCCAGTCCGTCATTGGAGTCATTAAGTGATGACATGACATATCCGACGTGGCATTTTTTGCTTGCGTGTTGGTTTTTTGCTAGTGTGGATTATTTCAAACCCACAAACCCAAAGCCTAAACCCACGAACCCCGAATTGACATCTTCATCCCGGCATTCGATAGAAACCCATGAAACCCTAAATCCAATTTCAAATCTAAATTGAATGAGGGCACCCTTCTCTAGCTATGGTAAGAGAGCTTGTGTTTTCACGTATTAGACAGACACAAACCCAAGCCGTCGTTTATGGGGCAGCACGAACTATGGGGTAAGTTTGTTGTGGTTAGATTGAATGGGTTACGATTTTCATAGGTGTGATTGCTAATTAGGCCTTGCTAGAGTCTCTTTACATAAACCAAGAAGTTGCACCTTCTTTCACTGGATTGATCTCAAGATGTGCGAAAGGTTAAGGAATGTGATAATTGAGCTTCTGAAAAGCTTTTCAAAGCATGAAGAGGGGCAGAGAAAAGCTTCTAGAAGAGTTAGTTTCCTGTGGGTTTTGTTGCTAGGGTCATGGTCCACTATCTTTTGTGCTGCTGTTGGTTCTAAGTGGGCAAGGATGCAGAAAAGATGAAACCAATCACAATATGAGGTTAGAACTAGAGTTTTAGGTAGTTTCGTGTGCATTGTGTATTAGTGAGCCACTTTTGAAGTCCATGTGGTTTTGTAAAATGCATTAAAATGCAGGTAATGATCTCATCCATATAACCCAAATGTTTAACCATCCAACCTATCTCAACCACATACCTCATGTCCTTCTCAATATAGTTAAAATATGTCATATCACCTCCTACATAGAAATTGTCACTAAATCTACCACCATGAAACATTGTAATAGTGAAATGCTCAGATCAACTGCAATGCACATAAGAACAAGCAATGAGACAAAAAATGAAGTACCAACTTGACAAAAATGCAATACGGATTCAGGACCACCTAAAAATGCATATGCAAACTCACATGCCTAACCTAACTTTCTACATTGACTACTTTACCAACTAGACAAAATCTCCTTTATTAAAAAAAGAAACCCCAAACCCTAAAAGGTAACAGCCTAACCCCCATTTCTAAAAGGCAACAACTGAAACCCTCACAAAAGGAAACTTATTGAAAACAACCATAAAAAACACTATTGTTGGATACCAAAACCATACAAAACAATAAAGTATGAAACTCAACCCCACATGTTTCAGAAGTTCGAAACTTACCATAATTTGGTGCGATTTCTCCTCGAGGTCTACAAACCCATGCTATGGCGGATAGGATAACCCTAAATTTAGTAAGTTTCTCATGCAATCAACAATATTCGAAGGCTTTTGTCAGTTCGAAATGGTTCTACATTTAAAGGTAGGTGAAAAGGAATTGGGTGGTCTGAGATCACTTTTGTTTACCGTTTGGGGATTAGGGATTTCAAGCCATATTTTGGGATTAGGGTTGAGGGCACACTAGATTTCGACACATGTCTAACAAGTAGGCGGGAAATCCAGAAATTATCCCCGTCATCTTTCTAAAACATTCGCCCCAACACGAGTCCAAACCCCATCCCCACCCACAACCCACAGTCCCAGTCACAATCCACTTGCAACCCACAATCCCAGCCCCATTCCCTCACGACTTGACCACCCGATCGAGGAACACTTCCTCTCCATCGAAAATTCCATCCAATCCAAACTTGACCAACTCCAAAAGTAACAATCGAAAGAGACCCATCACACTCCCACTCTACAATCAAAACCCAATTTCAAACAAACCGAATTGAATTTCCATGACAGTTATAAAGAAAACCAACTCAATCCTATTGATCCTAGCCTAATTCTTGAGCCGGTTCTAAAGAAACCCAACTCACTGCAACCCTCCAATCCTTCAAAACCCAATTCAATTTCATTGAAACCGAAGTCAAAACCGGTACATGACCTTATCGCAAATGCGCATAAGGTCTCGATGAATGCTGGGAAGCTCGTGCTTGTGGCAGTAAGATAGTTTTATCCATCAAAGTCGAATAGAGGGAGAGGGTGGGTGATGTAGGACACGTCAACAATTAACGATTGACCACACGGTCAACTTAACGAAATGTTAAAATTGGACAAGTTTGAAAACATTATGGTGTAACTTGATGAAATTGATACCTCGGAGCCCATATTGAGAATGACCTCAAACCTTTAGGGGGTCTTTTGTCGTTCCCAAAAAAAAAAGTAATATGCTACCCAACTTCATAAACTAATGCAAATATAAATTCAAAACACAACAATACACAATTTCATGAGGACCTTACACCCTTGTTCACGGATTTCGAGCTCCTATTTGATTTCTTTTTTGGTGAAAAGACGGGGCCGTGCCCAAAAGAAAACACTAACCTACAGCCCGATGCCTACAAAGACCACGCAGGTCATCAACAACAGAGGACCTAATACTATCGGGAGGCACTTGAAAGGTACAGAGACCCAAATCAAGGCAAGAGCCCAAGTTAGCAAGTATATTCGCCACCATGTTGCATTCACGATAGACATGATAAATAGAGCAGCCCCAACATTTTTTGATGTAGTCCTGGTAGCCCCATAACAAGGTAGCAAGAGGGTGGAGGGCATCCACAGCTTTATTGAGAAGATGCACTGCAACGGCTGAGTCAGATTCCAGCACAACATCACTGCAGCCCATATCCCAAGTAAAATTGAGACCATAGTAGATACCCCATAACACAACATCTAAGACTTGACCATAACCAATATTAGCAGCAAACCCTTTAACCCACATCCCAGAGCTTGATCTAAGAACACCACAAGCAGCAATGCGACTAGTCTCTCCATTTCGGCAACCATCAGTATTATTTTTAGTCACTCCTGCAGCAGGGTACTACCAGGATAGAGTGGCTAGGGAGTGGATGGGTTTATGAGAAAGATTAGTGTTGGCATGTTGCCAATCTACAGCAGCCAAAAGAATTATGTGACTGGGATTGGGAGGGAAGACAAACCCAGGATAAAAATTCTTCTTGTTACTCCATTTCCAAAGGAACCAGCATGTGAAAGCAAACAAAGTAGACCACACAACCCCATAACCCATTGAGGTGTAGTTGTGTAAATTTTTTCCAGCCCAAGTAATCAAGTTGTCATCCTGCGACAAGTTCAGACTTACAGGCAAGGAGGATTGGCGCCAAACAAGAGAAGCTATTAAACAATTCTTGACAATATGATCCACATTCTCCACAGGGACATCACAAATGTCACAATTTGCATGCATAGTCATCCTTCGCCTGACTCTTTGTTCATTAATTAATAACCGATCTTGATGGAGTAACCAAAGAAAATATTTAATCTTAGGGGGAGCCTTTAAAGTCCAGATAAAGGCCTAGCTAACATCCATACTGGAAAAGTCCCCACAATTAGCTCTGTAAGCAGATTTGACACTAAAAGAACCATTAGAAGTATGTTTCCAAACAGGTAAGTCAGGTTTACAACATAACCCAGTAGGGACACAAATGATATGGGCAACCATCCCAAGGGATAAGTCTTCCTTTAACTTATGAAGATCCCAAGTTCCATGAGCAAGGTAGTCAACAACTTTCAACTGCAGTTTACCTTCATCCACTCCCTCAACACTCTAAATCAGAGGGCCATCACCAAACCAATAATCAGTCCAAAAGAGGGTGTGCAACCCGTCGCCCACTCTAATTTTCACTCCATTTTTCAAGATGTCAACACCATGTTCAATAGCACGCCATGTAGGGGAGGGGGAAGAAGACATAGGCCTTCCATTCCTGATGATGCTCGAGCTATTCCCTTGTAGGTATTTTTTAGTCAAAGAATCGGACCAAACGTTATCTTTTTGTTGCAATAGTCTCCATCCAACCTTGGCCAACATAGATTGGTTCATAAGAGCCGTATGCTTAAGGCCAAGACCACCTTTCTTCTTACTTATACAGACAAAACCCCAATTGACACGGTAGGTTCTCAAGTTGTCACCATTGCTGCCCCACAAAAAGTTCCTATCAATTTTATCCAACTCATCACAGGTACTTATAGGCATCTGAACAATTTGCATAGTATACAATGGGATAGAAGCAGCCACAGATTTGATTAGCGTAGCTTTGCCAGGCAAACTTAGCAACTTACCTTTCCATGCAGTAAGCTTCTGCAACACTTTGTCCACCACACTTCTATAGATGGCCTTTGTGATTCTGCTATGAATTAAGTAAAGTATCCAGAGGTTTTGCACTAACAAATGTCAACTTTTGAAAGGCGTGTTAGTCGGGTCATCAAAACGAGTTAATGTTTTAAATTTAATCCAACGATTACCAGACCAAAATTCCGAGCATAAGCATTCGGCCTAGAGAACAGCTCCACCTGATGTCCCCTGAGACTTGGTTGGTGAGGTTGAGGATAATATCGGTACAATGAGGACAAGTAGGGAGGAGCCAAGAGGGCATGGTCCGCAACAAAAATAGCTATCATTGCAATTTCCAAAAAATTCTTGCATTCCAATATGAAACAAGCAAAGGTTAAGAAAGTGGCGCTTGTCACCATGGGCGGCCACCAACCTCACAACCTGCAAACAAGCGGAGGTCACCTTCCGACCTCACAACCTGCATTGCGCTACTGATATTCTAATTTATGATGACGGTGGAAAATGTACCCCATCTAAGCTAACTCTAGGAGTCTGCCTTCTGGTCTGAAAATATTCAGATGATTACTAATTAACTTACAAGAGCATTAATTATCATTTGTAACCAGACAGAAGGCGACATAAATGCAGTTGATAAGCATTACAGAGAAATTGAGTCACAATATTTTACAAGAATTTAAACGTGAATGATGTGAAGTGCAATCTGAGAAACCCAAGTTCAAAAGTGTTCTTTGGTTTCTTTCTTCAAATCAAATGAATTTGAAGAATTATATTTAAGGTCACCATTATTGCAGTCTGGACTGAAACAACAAACAAATGCATTCCCACCAAGGTTTCTTTTGTTCAGACGGAAGCACCTTTTTTGACTTAGAAAATGCATTTTTGAAGTCAATGACTGCCTGGTTTAGCGCCAATAATAGACGGAGCTGCGCCTCTGGTTGCCTTAACATAGGAAACATAGTCACTGTGGTGCATTGTACATAAGGTGCTCTGGTAGCGGGTCAATTTTATACGTTTCCGAAGTGATTCAGTGATGGTGCCATTATAACCAGCTTTCCGCATCAATGAGTCAATTGCTTCTATTTTTGTCCAAGCTGAAACCGAAGCAGACCAGAATAAGAAACAAAATTTTAGCCAAACATAAAATTGCATAGAAAATTTGGATTAATGGTCCACTAAAACACAAATCGCATAGCTTGCCTCAAGTGCATAAGAAACCTAGCTGTAAATGGCACCTTATCTTCAAAATGAAAGTATTCAAAGAAGAGCGTTTGTTTACAAAACATATTTTCAAATTTCAGCTCACCTGACTCTGTTATAATACCTGGAAAAAATATGTACATTATAACTTCTTAAACTCTTTAGACTTATTAACTTTGAATAATTAGTGGATGAGCAACAACAGAAACCATGAAACCGCAAATTAAAAATTAGGAAATAGGTGACTGCATGACCAATAACTGATTTACTACTCAACCCCTCAGGATGAAATTTTTTTTCTATAGAACAGACTTTCAGTTCCAGTGGTACAATGAACCCATTTTCTTTTTTTGGCATAGCATACATAGAAAATTTGTTTAAGTTTACAATTAGGAGACAGAATCATTTCATAGCGTTGAACAGTGACGGTCCAACAATTATTTGTAATGTATTAACCTTATTTTTATTCTTCACGTCCAGGATTACGTCCTGGATCATTAGACAGGAATCCGAAGATAAAGAGAGAAACAAAGAATTATTGTGATTGCATGACCATCAAACAACTGTGATTGAGTTGCATTCACAGCTAACTTCATCTGTTATTTTTCTATTGTTTGGAATCTGTTTCGGGTTTAGGTTTTCAACGTAGTATCTAGGCTTCCTGAAACCCAAATCCAAAGCTCTAAATCCTTAATATCTTAAACTCACGGTCAGCGTCAAAGGTACACCGCCAGATTTTCAAAGCTATTACTCTTCTTTCAAAATAATAATAAAAAAGGCTATTACACTTACTTTTTGCGCATGCATTTTAAAAAACCCTGTGTTTGGCTAATAATAAATGGGAAGAATTACCTTCATGTGCAGCAATCTCAGGTAAGTATGTGGCGCTGCGCCTGGTACTATATTCTGGATCAGTGAACTCAATAATTATACCATGTTTTCCAATCTGCAATAATTATTAATTCAGAGGGCAAGCCAAACTTTGGAAATTCTTTCAAAGAGTAAATCACAAGTGCTTCTCATACATGCTACAATATTTAGCATCTGATCGTTAATCTACCTGTCATATATATGACAAAATTAATCTATATAATTAAATATCCATCCATATAAAAATTCTCCTATACAGATGTCTGGATGTAATTATCGTGCGAACGCCATGAATTATCTACTATGCCTCCCTGCTTTCTTCCCTTGTTTACAATGGCATCTGCACGATAAAAACATGCAGACATCCGAATGAGAGAATAACTGTCCATCCATATGTGGTTGATCCATCTAAAAGTACAGCAAATATCACTTTTGGTCCTTGTAGTTTGGTCCAAGTTCCACTAAGGTCCTTATAGTTCCAATTTGCCATTGTAGATGCTAACCATTGCAATTTCAAGGAGGCACCCATAATTCTGTGTATTTACTTAATGGAATTGCTTGTCACATGTAACATATATATATATATATATATTTTTTTTTTTTTTTTGAGAACATACCATGTAACAGTATTTCAGTCTTATTACTTTTGAAAATGCTAAAAAATTCAACATTAATTTTAAAAAATAAAACAGAAAACTTGGGATAGAAAGTAATACAACATACAATTTAGACCTATATTTGGCGTAAGGTCTTTTGTAGACCTTGCAATATTGTACACGAAACGAATTCACATGAAAAAATAAGTATTCGAGTTGGGGCTTAATGGGTCGTGTTGAAAATGGGTGGACATGTTAAGCTAACAGGTCATGTCGTGTGAATTCGCGAATACCCGTTATCACCCGTTAAGAATATGATAATTTTGTAATTATATATATCTTTCCTTATTCTTTTTTCTTCCCTTCTCCACTACCCCAACTCTTCTTTGGTTGATTTTTTTTTTCAGATTTTTTTAATTTGTAATTAATTTTTTTCTTTAGTTTTTAAAATTTTCAACTGGTGAATCAAGTCATTCGTTATTTTAACAGGTCATGTCGTGTCAATGGGGTGAAGAGAACAATTGTGGAGCAACCATGGGGTCAATGGGGCAGACAACCCCATGGCAACCCTGGGTATTGGTTGGAGCTCCTTGGTTTTGCCCTTGGCAACCATGGAAGCAACCCCATGGAGAAGAAGAAGCTGCTTCGTGTGCAGCAGCTTTAGTTCTAATTTTTTTTAAACACCCTGGAAAACAGAGGTCCTTTTGGCCAAGGCTTTTTTTTTTAAAATGACATGGCCCAAACGACACTGTTTTGGGCCAAGCCTTAAAAAAAATATATAAAAAACAGACCTATCATTTCCCCATTCCAACCCCCACCTGATAGTTAACCCTCCCAAACCCCTTCCCCTAATTGATATATCCTTTATAATCTTAAAGAAATTGATAAATCCTAAATTAATGTTCTAAAATCTAGCCTAAATCAAGTGAGTAGGAGGATGAATGTAATGAATAAGAATTTATTGGGCTAAGGAATTATAATTTTAATGAAACTGTTATATGTAATGAATTAGGAATTTATTGGTATTGATATTGTTTTTTTTTTTTTTTTTTTTTTCAAGTACAAGCGATAGTCTAAACTAGAGGGGAGGGGAATTGATCGATTTTGTTATTCAGATTAGAGTTTATATTGATTGTTATTTGTACTGTTTTTTATGGATTAGAATTTAGGGAGTTTCACTAAAACACCCAAAATAGGGGCTGAAATTATAAAAAAAACCCAACACCCAAAACACTTTATAAACACACCCAAAACCCATCATTACACACACTCAAAACCCATTTATAAACACACCCAAAAAATATACATTTGTTGATTTTGGGGTTGATTTTGGGTGTGTTTCTATGTTTAAATAGTGCTTGGGTTTTTTTATAAATACATGTCTAGGATTGGGTTTATTTATAAATTTGTATAGAATTTATTGATTAATTTTATTATTTGGATAACTAGATTAGAGTTTATATTGATTGATATTGTTATTCAAATTAATCAGTTTATAATTGATTGATTGAATTAATTAATATGTAGAATTATGGAACAATACTTTTAGAGAAAATTACCTATTGATAATTCGTCTAATCCAAGTAGTTCAAGTGCAAGAGCAAGACCGATTGAGTTAGATGAGATATTGACAATTGTAATTTGTATTGATAGTTTTTCCATGAATTATGAATGGAAGTATTATATTTCTGTTTTTTCGTATATTTTATTTTTGAAGAAATTTTGACACTTTTACTCTATGACCCTATGAGGTTACAATTCTGGATCCGCCACTAGAAGAGAAGGCCAGCATTCTAACGGTTTGAAAATAAGGGGAATAGTGATTAAATGATTTTTAATTTTTTAATACTGTAACAAGCAAAACGGCTGAAATAATGCTCCCACACGTGACCAGCACATGCCACTTCTGCCAAGGCAAAAGATGTAATTGTGGATGCATCTTGAATTACAGTTCCAACATAGAAAACACTGAAAGTACATGGACCTTATTGCAACTCAACTCAAATTATGAGGACCAAAAGTGAAATTTGGCATTTTACTATTAACATTATATGTTAGAAGCTAAAAGGAACATATAGTCACACTTGTCGTACCCCAGGTAAATTTCACACAGAGATTATTGAAATCGCCTATTCAGTATCGGGGACAAGAAATTGATGCATGCAGTGGATCGCTGCAAAGCATAATAAACTAGATACATAGAATAATCCTAACAAATATCCCAATAAAGAACTTGAACATACCTCCCAATCAAGGTAGTGGCTAGCAGTTTCATAATCAGTCAGAATGGAAACTGTACATTCCAAATAAGGTAATTCCTTCAGTTGTATTGGGGGGAACCCTACGGTCCTTCAAGCAGCACTGCAGAACAATAACCAAAAAGACCATATATAGACCACACAAAAAAAAAAAAAAAAAAAAAAAAAAAAAAAAAAAAGAAAAGAAAACACTGCATTAGTTGAGGAAAATAACAAATAACATAAAATAAAATAAAGAGCAGTTTAAACCAGGTAAAGGAGCATTAATTTTAGTTTGGAAGTATGCAAGGGAAAGATTTTGGACCTCCAACCAGGAGTTGGGACACAATACCACAAGTTGCAAGGATTAGGGCCCTCAACATGCCAATATCAGCTAGGCATGGTGTGGCATTGCTTGTGACTTTGCTCGTTTATATATCTGATCTAGATTAAACAAATACGCCCTTATGTAATCCTAATGGGGAAAATGGGTATGTCTAATTAGACTAGGATAAGAGTTATCCTTCTAGTCTCCTAGTCTGAGTAAGCAGACATTAAGGCACCTTTGAAAAGGAGTGGTCTTATAACTGAAACTCTCCCTCTAGAAAACAAAAAAACAAAAAAAAACAAAAAAAACAAAATGCAGCAAGCATAGAGAAAATTCCTAGTACTTGCTGCATGCGCACTATCACTTCCAAAAGCAAGGTGCATCCATTACTTAGCTGCACCAAATATACTTTGCCCCCAATCTCTAGTTTCATTTCTTTCTTTTTTTTTGTGGATAAAAACCAAGAAGTGATGCCCATCATCACACCCTTGAGAGGTTTATCAGACGGAGGTATGAAGAACACTTATGGAACTCAAGAATGTGGTATGACCATACCAAGAAGATCAAGAATGTGGATCACGCAACCAAGATTGCATGCATGAACTTCCTCTTCTTTAACAACTAAGCGTAGCAAGGTATAAATGCTAATCCTTAATGATTAGCTTAATGATTAGTTCTATAAGAAGGGAAGGAAATAATTAATAACTAAATCTGATGGCATCAAGGTAACAAACTTGACCATCCTTTTGATGTGCTCTTCGCTAATTTGCTAAATGGCACTACATATGGTCCATCCCAACTAAATTTCTGGCCCCTCTATCCATTGCACTTCTCTTCAATCCATAGGGGCATAGATGTGCACGCACAGACAAACACAAACATGGAATCCTCATAGTTCATATTGAACAATCTACTTTTGCAAAAATAAAGTATGAATTCAGATACATCATTCATGATTTACAAAATTTGGAGTTACCTGCCTTGAAAACATAAAATTAAAAATGCACAAGCATCCACAAACAATGCACACACATATAAATATCACATATGCACACACTGTCAAAGACTTATCTGAAATAACAAAGGAAGACATAGAAAACATGCAGACACATTACTGCGCGTACATGTGACTGCATATGATACAGAAATGGTCAAGATGTAAAGTACAAGATCTGTTGTAATACCTGTTTAGAGCATAGTCCTTGAATCCATTCATCAAGCTACGAGCTTCTAGTGTTCCAATACATCCACGCAAACGAGTCTCACTACCATTCACCACTTTCTTCCAAGTAACAAACAATGGACTGAGACCAAGGCATTGTTAATATCAGATGAGAAAGTCAATAGTATCAAGGTTCTGCTTTTTAAGACATACATCAATATATATAAAGTTTTTCTCAAATCCGGATGTGCGGATTTTTTTGACGTTTGGTGATGTTTTAAGCCATTGTGTGCTGGTCTTTTAAATTCTCTGTCATAATAGCCTATATTGGGAGCGTAGAAAGCTTCATATTCTTGCAGCCAGATGCCTTTTCTCTCATATTATATTACTTTCTCAACTTTAGTTCAAGTACAACTGTAGTGCATAGGACCTCTTGTTTTCTAATTTATTACCTTTCTTACTTTATATTTCAGTCACTGACGGACTATTCAATCATGACTGGACTGTTTCAATTACCAATGCATTATCTGCAACCAACATTGCTTTCTTTCAGTGGCTTAAATCTAGAGAACTTACGGATTGTACATACATATGGATGGGTCTATTGTGTTGTGTGTTCAGAGACAAGTTAATAAACTAATTTTTGGACTGCAGGTCATCCTCACATTAGATATTTACAGTTATGATGCATTTCATCCACTCTTACAAGGAAACCTTTGGTCAACAAATTGAAGATGCTTGCACCTGTAGCAATCCTCGTTTATGTTTAAAAATCTAAAGAACAGCCAGACAAGTTCATTCTCATAATCAGAACGGATCTCAACCAAAAATGGAACTAAATGTATATCCTATCCCTTTTTAACTAGGACTGATTTTAAACAAGGAGGGTTCATAGGTGGCCTCCCAACACCACACTTATAACTTATTAACCCATCCCTATAAAAGTTGTTTTGAATGCCAATACAGGAGATTACCCAAATAAAGCACGGGTGAGCTAACTTAAACTTCAACAATCACGTGAAAAATCATAAATTATAAATAATAAAAAAAATCTTTAAAATAGAAAAACACCATGCCATCATCACAATTTCTAGAAATAGTTAGTTTAATTAAACTGATAAAATCAACATGCGTATTTGTGGTATGGTTGTGAGATAGAGACAAAAAGAGGGGGAGAGATAGAGTACTGTTGGCCCTCATCGAAGGCTGGGGCAGGAGGTTCTTCGCTGTTGTAGTGAGCAAGGAGAGTGTCGAAGCAGTAAGCCACCATCTCCTTCGTCGCCGACACCATTTTCGTTTATTATTATTCTTATATCGTCACTTGGTATATATGATCCGTTCGTATTTGATCGCTAATTTGGGGTTTTATAGAATGAATGAAAGTAAGGAGACCTCTTTACAGAAGAGAGAGGATTTGATGCCAGAAGGCAGAAATAATTGAGAATTTGACAGAGAAGAAAGCAGAAAAGAGAAATGCTTTTTTAACTCTCTGTTTTCTATTGAGCATCGAGCATCGTTTTGAGGTCCCCCACCTAACAAAATTAATAGAGGAAGCGGGATACAGCCATCGTCTTAGCCCAACCTAATGAAAAGTGAGAAAAAGTGTTAAGTGGGCAATAAGTATGTATTTAATCTGTAAATGCCATTTTTACCCAGACATTTCGCAAATATAACTTATAAATACATACTTATTGCCTACTTAACACTTTTTCTCACTTATTCTTCTTTCTCTCTCTCTCTCTCTCTCTCTCTCACTTGCAGTTCTCTCTTCCTCCCTGTAAATGCGTATCCTTCTCGTGTATTGTATAGCCTGTACTTGGGTTGAGGACTAGGCCTATACCTGATCTCCTGGGTGAAGTGCTTTTCGTCGAAGACTCGCACACTTTGAACGGCTATCAAAATAGGAGCAAACTCCGATGGTTAAGTCAGAAATAGTTGTAAGGTGGAGAGAATGGATGTAGGGTTGTCAAGGTGAGAATGTTTATTACTCATGTCCTAATGTAGGTGCTGGGTATTTATAGGGGGAGAAGGAGGGATAAAGATATTTAAGGGGAGACATTTATCCTTTTCTTCCCTAGTGGGATAGAACCACATTCAATGGCTTCTTCTGAAAATCATGTTGCCTAACAAAGGGGTTGAGTGACAAAGCGACACCTGGGTTCGGATGTGAGGTTCATTAATTGATCCCTCTCCATCACCAAGCTGGATACCCGGAATTAAATGGTAGGGCGACACCTAGTTTAGGATGTGAGGTATATTAATTGAACCTTTCCCATCACCATGTTTTCCATTAGACGGAGGGAGTGGCTAATTCGACAGGGCTTAGATTGTACCCTCAGAATATCTGATTGTTTGGTCAGGTCGGTGTAAGTTTAACGCAACGCTCCATGGCCACGTAGTGACTTGTGATAGGCTCGACTCACAGTGATGGTATGAGCCATCAACAGTGGCACCCAAACTCTCAACTCAAGGAGCCGATCTTGGGTAGGGAGTTTATTCGGATTATGAATTTCGAGTGAGCCGAGCCTTTTTTAAATGGCACAACTAGCATAAGTCTGGTCGGGTAGCCCCCAATTTCACAGCCAAGGAAGGCTCCTTTGATTTTGTTGGCGCCGGGTTTTAAATTTGGGGTACGCAGTGGGGGTGATGTGAGCGAGCGGTTAGTTGAGCAAGCGACGTATTAACTGCTGTTGACTTCGGGGCCTGCGAGGAGTTGCATCTGTTCATGTCATGTCGCTTCGACTGATGGGCGCTAGCGTGGCTCCACGTGTGACCATCGTAGCTGGGGTAGGCGAGATATGGACGGTGGGGATGCTCAGGTGAGATGTTAAGAGGAGGGAGCATCCAGCCTTTGCCATTTTCTCGCCATTGCTGCCGTGTGAAAGCTTCAGTGATTTTTCATAGAAAATTCCTCTGGTGCGCCTTTATTGCAAGGAAGAGCTTTAGTTTTGGTAAGTTTTCTCCTTCTTCTTTGTCCTTTCCTTCCTCTTCCTTATGTTTTCCCAGAATCACAACTCTGAATTTTTGGTTTTTGAGTTTCTTGGGATGTTCTAGGTTTGGCGTGTTTTTGTACTTCAATTTTCTTGTTTTGGTATGTTTTGATCCTTAGATTGAGTCCCTTCCCCCTTTGGTTGTGTTTGAAGTGTTGTGGACAGTGATAGAAAAAATTTCAAGTCGATCAGATATGTCTGATTTGCAAGATACGACGAGCAGCGGGTCAACTTTTAGGGATGATAGGGATGATGTAGAGGTGGTGGATCAAATGTATGACGCCACGAACCAGATGGGTGAAGACATGCCCATTGGTCTTGGTGGGAGCTTTGAGTACCAAGGTGCAATAAGGAGGGTAAGAGGTGGGGAAGCAGAGGGTACTGATAAGAGTGGTGAGGATAGTGCCCAGGAAAACCAAGGAGGTGTAACAATTGCCGTAGCTAGGTCGAGTGGGGAGAAAAGGGAGGGCGATTGACCTGCCGACCAAGGAGAAGGGGAATATCAGTTGGAATGGAGGACTATAGGTACGAGGGCCTTAGGCTCGAGTGGGGTGACCGAACCAAACGTAGAGATAGAACATGCAGAAGGAGGATGGTCAATCGATGAACACTCGAGCTCCATGATGCAGCAGAAGTTAGATCGGTTGAGGGCGGAGTATGATGCAGCCGATGAATACTCGAGCACCATGATGTAGCCGATGAACACCCGAGCACCATAACAATGTTCAACTTAGGGCGCCGACCAAAGATGAGAAGCTAAGCACACCCCTTTAGGATGCGTGACCTTGTGTGCAAACCTGCTGAAGTAGGGGCTTCGGCTTCCCTTATCCCCCTTTCTACAAAGCTGGATGAGTAGGCTCGGTGTAGCCCCACATCAGATGAACCCAAACGTGTATAGGACCATGGTAAGTGTCCAGGCATTGTGGCGGTGGGTGCACAAGTTTGAGCCGACCGTAAACCAAATGCTTCATTGTTTCTTGCTGAAGAGGAATTTGTACCCGGTCGGCTTCTACTACCTTCAGAGTGCGTTGGGGAAGATGATCGAAAGCAATCCCTCTTCCTAGAAGACATGGAAGCCACACTGGTTCTATGCGTCGGGTGCGTGGGAATTTCTGAAGGGGCTGAGTAGAGGCAGCCGAGGATACAAAGGCGCTTTAGAATGCCAAGTCTGGTTGATGTGCATGATTATTTATAACGCCATGTCCTGCGTATGCCTTCTTCCTCTTGTTTGAGTTGGTTGTTTGTTGTTGTTGTTGGTTTTTTTAGGGTGTAGGCAAGTCAGGTCGGTCCTTTGAGTATATGAGCACTTGTTATTTAGCCTGACATGGGTGGCCATCTTTGCAATTGAATTGGAGCGAGCCGATCTGTCAGCGACCGAGCAAGAGCAAGTTAACCAAGTGCTCGCTCTACCTAGTATCGAGAGAGCTGCGGACATCTTGCTTGCCAGTGAAGGTCTGATTAGCTTAACATGTGAGTTTATATTGCTCTATCCCATTTGCTATCAATGTGGTTAATGCAGATATTCGTAATTGTTTCATGTTTTGTGAAGTGATGAGGCCAAGTCGAAATGATCACAATATGCAAGCTCAGCCGATAAAGATGTCCAAGAAAGGCTGGTCTGGAGGCTCGGCTAGAGGCTCGCAACCAACTCGAGTGGGGGCGTCTCCCCATATGTCGATGGTTCGGTGCCAAGCCACTAGTACGACTGCGAGTCCCGCTCAAGGATCTCAGAAGAGGCGAGCTGACGAGCAGTTACCCCGAGACACAGGGAAGATGCTAGTTGAAGACGAGCCGAGGAGGGATAGTGGGAAGAGGCAGGTGAGCTCTTCCACTCCATAGGTCATAGGTCAGTAAAAGGACGAGTGTGGACCTCGTTAGTGGTCCCTTGGAGTCGTAGGTGGAGGGAGAATTGGTGATCAGCTCGTACCAAGAGGCGGTTTAAATGGATGCTGGAAGTGGATGTGGTCGAGGGGCTGTTCACCAAGGAGATGGGTTATAGTGGCATGACCCTATCTACTCTAGGAGGACCAGATGAAGGTAAAGGTATTTTGGCGCTTGCTTTTTCTTGATGGTTTTTTTTTTTTTTTTTTTTGTTTTATTTGTTCTTCAACGTAGGCCACCATGAAGCTATTTATCGCCGCCCATAACGTCATTGTTCACCCGTCTTGATTTAATCCTGTGATGGCAGGGTAAAGTTCCTCATTTGCTTGATAACCATCGGTGGTCAACAAGTCAACTTTCTTTTGTGTATGAGCATGCCACTGTTAACAATAAAAATCCAAGCAGACTTCTTAAAAATGGATAACTTGCACCCCAAGTTACTGATTTCTAAACAAGCGATTGTGAATTTAGGTGAGAAATATCTCCCAAGTAAGTTCTTTTCTTGCCTCAGACTGGTGAGGACTTTCACAATTTTTCACAGTACAAAACTGGTAGTTTTGGCCAGAATAAATGATAAGAAAGTGAACTATTTTAGGCAGAACTGCCTTTTACAAAGCTCAGAAAGAGAAAGACCAACTCTGAAAAAGACAAAAGAGGGTTGGACTTTAATTTCTACCTGGATAGCTACTTTTGATCATGACTGGACTGGGTATGTCTGTGCTGGATTTGACTATCAACACCTTCAATTGTCAAGTTTTAGCTGTAAATCGATACCAACATTCCAGTTTGGCAGAGCTGTAATCTATTTCAAGCCCTGGAATGCTTTTTGAACGGGCAGAATTGGAGCCTCTTCAGTTTGGAAGGAGCAGAAGTGGCTGGATTTGATAATTATTGAGCTGGAACTGCACTGTAGATACATGTTCTGCCTGGATAGCTACTTTTGATCCTGACTGGACTAGGCATGTCTTTGCTGGATTAAACTATCAACACCTTCAATTGTCAAGTTTTAGTTGTAAATCGATACTAACATTCGAGTTTGGCAGAACTTTAATCTATTTCAAGCCCTGGAAAGCTTTTTGAACGGGCAGAATTGGAGCCTCTTCAGTTTGGAAAGGGCAGAAGTGGCTGGATTTGATAATTACTGAGCTGGAACTGCACTGTAGTACTTGTTCTGCCTGGATAGCTGCTTCTGATCCTGACTGGACTGGGTATGTCTGTGCTGGATTAAACTATCAACACCTTCAATTGTCAAGTTTTAGCTGTAAATCGATACCAACATTCGAGTTTGGCAGAGCTGTAATCTATTTCAAGCCCTGGAAGGCTTTTTGAACAGGCAAAATTGGAGCCTCTTCAGTTTGGAAGGGGCAGAAGTGGCTGGATTTGATAATTACTGAGCTAGAACTGCACTGTAGTACTTGTTCTGCCTGGATAGCTGCTTTTGATCCTAACTGGATTGGGTATGTCTGTGCTGGATTAAACTATCAACACCTTCAATTGTCAAGTTTTAGCTGTAAATTGATACCAACATTCGAGTTTAGCAGAGCTTTAATCTATTTCAAGCCCTAGAAGGCTTTATGAATGGGCAGAATTGGAGCCTCTTCAGTCTGGAAAGGGCAGAAGTGGCTGGATTTGATAATTACTGAGCTGGAACTACATTGTAGTACATGTTCTGCTTGATTAGGGCTTTCCATAAATTTTCTGAGGTTTTCATATTTTTAAAAACCCGGACTCAGCTTGATTTGGAAAAACTATTTTTTAGTAAGAAAAAGATCTGCTGACTTGCTTTTGAGATCAAGTGGTGAGAATTCTTTAGAAGCTGAGCCTAATCTAATTTTTTTAGAAGTTTTTCGACCTGCTTGGTGACGAATTACCATTGAATTGGTAATTTGATTTATTTATTTATTTGTGTTGTTTTAAACCTCTGCCACTTTTGCAAAAGACATGGGTCTCTAATGTTGATTGGGCTGTTTTCTGGAGTCAAGACCCATTCTTATGTTTTGTGGGCTTCTTTGTAAAAATAGGTTGGCGCGTGGATTTCTTAGGCCCAAACAGTCGCTGCTCATCGGGAATTTGACCGAGGCAAGAGAGATGAGCGAGCGGTGACTGTGGCGAAGCTGAGCAGGACGATTGGTGAGAAAGCGAAGGTCGAGGAGGAGCTAGCGCTTGTGCGTGGTCGAATCGAGGCAGAATGAAGAAAAACGTTGGGCTGCTGTCATTGGTGAACAAGCTAGCTAAGGACAAACGTGGCCTAGGTGTAGAGCTAGCTAAGTCGCACAAGGATTTAGAGGAAGCCAATCAGAAGATTGAGGACTTTGCCTCGGAGCTGTGGTTCTGCTATGATGATGCAGTGAAGGACTACACTGAATCGGCTGAGTACCAGTAGAAGCTGGCCAGTCATACGGTCGAGGGGTACTTTGATCTAATTGAGAAGGTTGGAGAGAAGTATCCTTCCCTAAAATGGAGTTTTCTAGGTGACGATGCTGAAGATATCCATGCAGAGCAGGATGGAGGACCAGACGCCGAGCCTGTAGGTCAGATTGCTCAAAATGAAGATCCAAGTACTAGAGAGGCGACTACACGGGAAGGAGACCCGACTGCCCAGGGAGGAGAGCCGACCATTCAAGGGGCAGAGGCAACCGACGAGGTAGTAGTGATCACTGTAGATGAGATCAGGGGCAAAGAAGCCTAAGTCTCTTCTTTTACTTTCACCGTTTGTTTTGTAACTCCTGTAAACTATTTTGAACAATGTGCCGACCTTTGGTTAGCTCGATGTTGGTGTTGGACGTGCTTAGTATATGCTTTTGTTACATTGGTTTTACTTTGTTTAGATAATTGTTTTATTTACTGTTTAGTAAACATGCATGTGCGTTTTTGTGTAAGTTGAGCCTACTAGAGGCTTTCAAAACAAAAAATAACTTGAACAAGACCACACAAGAAATAAAGTATCGACCACAAATAAAAAGGAAACGTAACGCGTAACTTCATTAAGTACGAAAGTAGAGTTACAACGATTTCAAGCCGAGCACAGCACTGGGTCTAGTAGCTCAATACCGTGTGCGTGCTCGAAAGGAAAACACAGTAGACGATAAGTAAAAGACGAAAATAGTTTGCACCTGTGTGAGGCCACATCTTGCTACCTAAGGATAGTACTTCCTTAGGTGCTCGGTGTTCCATGGATGTGGCAATTTCTTGCCATTAAAATCGGCGAGCCGATACGTTCCTGGTCGGGCGATCTCAAGGACTCGGTAAGGTCCTTCCCAATTAGCCCCTAGGGTACCAGCTATTCTGTCCTTGGTTCCAAGTAGTATTTTTCAAAGGACTGGGTCATCGGGTCGGAAGTTACACTCACAAACATGCTGGTCGTAGTACCAAGCTGTCTGTTGTTGATATGTGGCGAGATGAAGGGCATCACAAAGTCGGTGCTCCTCCAAAAAATCCATGTTGAGAGTGAGTTGCTTCCGTATTCTGTTCGCGTGTGTAGTGGTCGACCCTGTGTGTGGGGATGCCGACCTCAACAGGAATGATCATTCGTCTCCGAAGGTGGGCGAATAGGGGGTTTCTTCTATTGAAGTGCACTCGATGCAGCGGTAGGCCCATAAGACTTCTGGTAGAAGTTCTGACCAGGCCCCTTTCTTAGCTCCAAGCTTTTTCTTGAGCATCCTTTTGAGGAGTTTGTTAATGGCCTTGACTTGGTTATTCGCCTATGGGTAGGTTGGGGAAGCAAATCGAAGGTTGATTTTCAGGTCGGAACAGAAGTCTCTGAATTTTTTGCAGTCCAACTGCTTTCCATTGTCTTTAATGATGGTGTGTGGGATGCCGAACAAACAAACAACTTTTTTCCAGACGAAGTTTTGCACCTTTGCCACTGTGATGGTTGCCAGAGGTTCTGCTTCTGCCTATTTAGTGAAACAATCCAGTGCGATGACCGCATAACTGGTCTATCCCTTTCCTTTGGGTATATGCTCGATCAAGTCTAGCCCCTACTGTGCAAATGGCCACGGACTAGTCATGATGGTGAGCTGCTTAGGTGGCTGGTGGGGTATGTTTGCAAAGAGCTGGAAAGGGAGGTAGGACGTGGCCAGGAGCTTGGCATCGGTATTCATGGTTGGCCAAAAGTATCCTCGTCGTACTACCTTGTTTGCCATTGACCAGGCCGTGACATGGTCGCCACATATTCCCTCTGGGATTTCCTGAAGGGCCTCCAATCCTTTCTCTGGGGTGACACACAATAATAGGGGCAGGGAGTGGCCCTGCTTGTACAATTTTTGGCCTATGATAGTGTAGCGTGTGGCCCTGGCCTAAATTTGCCGAGCTTGGATCTTGTCATGGGGGAGTGCATCGTTGGTGAGGAACGCCCATATCGAGGTCATCCAGGTTAGTGCCTCGTCTACAACCATGCTAATGCAATCCGCCATGTCGATGCTTTTTTTGGCTAGATACTCAATGGGGATGTTTTGGGTGAGCTTGGTATCGAGAGCCGAGATAAGGCGAGCTAGTGAGTCGGCTCGAGTATTTTTGGTGCATGGAATCTGGACGATGGCATGTGATCGGAAGGAAGAGAGGAATCCCTTGACCTTCTTGTTTGCTAAGAATATGGCAAAGCATGACATGTCATGACACGCCAAGCCTTAAACAGCCTTGCTCGAAAAGCCTCAAATAGCCTCGCTTGCCTTAAATATGGCAAAGCATGTCATGCCATGGCGTGACAAGCCTCACATAGCCTTGCTCGACAAACCTGAAATAGCCAAGCTAGCCTTTAGTATGGGAAAGAAGGCCATGCCATGGTACGCCAAGCCTCACATAGTCTCGCTCAACAAGCCACAAATAGCCAAGCTTGCATTGAATATGGAAAGCATGCCAAGGCTCACATAGCCTCGCTCGACAAGCCTTAAATAGCCTCGCCGACAAGCCTCAAATAGCCAAGCTTGCCTTGAATATGGCAAGCATGTCATGCCATTCCACCCCAAGCCTCACATAGCCTCGCTCGACAAGCCTCAAATAGCCTCGGTTGCCTTGAATATAGCAAAGTATGCCACCCATGGCATACCAAGCCTCACATAGCCTCCCTCAACAAGCCTCAAATAGCCTCGGTTGCCTTGAATATAGCAACGTATGCCACCCATGGCATACCAAGCCTCACATAGCCTCCCTCAACAAGCCCCAAATAGCCTCACTTGACAAACCCCAAATAGCCTCGCTTGCCTTGAATACGGCAAAGCATACCACCCATGGCACGCATTGCATAGCCTCACTCAACAAGCCTCATATCGCCTCGTTTGCTTTGAATATGGAAAAGCATGCCATGCCATGGAATGCCAGGCCTCATATAGCCTTGCTCGACAACCCTCAAATACCCTCGCTTGCATCAAATATTTCAAGTCATGTCTCGCATAGCCACTCTGGACAAGCCTCAAATAGCACCGCGAGCCTTGAATATGGTAAACCATCCCATGCCATGTAGCGCCAAGCCTCACATAGCCTTGCTCAACAACCCTCAAATAGCCATGCCTCACATAGCCTCGTTCTACAAGCCTCAAATAGCCAACCTTGCATCGAATATGGCAAAGCATGCCATGCCATGGCACGCCAAGCCTCACATAGCCTTGCTAAACAAGCCTCAAAATATGGCAAAGCATCCCATGCCGTGGCATGCCAAGCGTCGCTCGACAAGCGTCAAATACCCTTGCTTGCTGTGAATATGGCAAAGCAGGCCACCCATGGCACTCCTTGCATAGCCTCACTCGACAAGCCTCAAATTGCCTCCCTTGATTTGAATATGGCAAAGCATGCCATGTCATGGCTCGCCAATTCTCACATAGCCTCCCTTGACAAGCCTCAAATATCCAAGCTTGCATTAAATATGGCAAAACATGCCATGCATGGCAAGCCAGGCTTCACATACCCTCGCTCGACATGCCTCAAATAGCCTGGCTTGCCTTGAATATGGCAAAGCATGCCATGTCATGGCACACAATTTCCTCGTCTCCACTTCTTCATCATTGGATTTGCAATACCGAGCTCTAACAGTCCCATAATTGACCCAGAAGATGTGGGATTCCCATAACATGATGTGCGCTGCTGATCCCAGGCATGGTTGGTGCCTTACTACCTCAGCCATGTTCAGGTGCAAGATGAGCACTAAAGAGGTGGACGAACAAATGATCAATGTTTAGTACAAGAACTCTTCCTACTTTGTTGAGTGGATACCAAACAATGTGAAATCAAGCGTTTGTGACATTCCGCCAGAGGGCTATCCTTGGCATCCACATTCATCGTTAATTCGACCTCCATCCAAGAAATGTTTAGGTGACTAGTGAGCGAATAATTTACTGCCATGTTCAGGAGGAAGGCCACTTGCACTAATATACTGGCAAAGGAATGGACGAAATGGAATTCATTGAAGCAGAGAGCAACATGAATGATCTCGTCTCTAAGTATCAGCAATACCAGGATGCGACCGTCGACGAGGAAAGTGAATACAAGGACGAGGAGGAAGTGATAAAGGATCTGTGAATGTAGAGGTAAAACCTACAGTAGAGTGTGGATATGCGGATGAGAGATCTTTATGTGTCACTTTGTGTATTGAGGGAAGATAATGAGTCCTCACTCGTCTTTGTCTAAGTTCAAGTTTAGATATTATTGGTGGGGAAAAGTTGATGCCGCCGCGTAGATATTATTTAAAGGTTGAGTGATTGTTTGCACGTAGTCATGTGACATTTCCATGCCTGTTTGTTCTGTTGTGGATCTGTCGATTGATTCGTGTTCAATTTTTGTCTATCTATCATCTAGTAAATCAATCTTCTTTGCTATTAATTATCTCAGTTGATCTTGCATGCGCGCATTATTAATTTGTTCTTGGGCACAACTATATTATTACGCATACGTTATTAATTTGTTTTGGGCTAAAATTGGTCATGCTTGGTTAATTATATATGTTAACAGCTAGTTTAATTCATAATATAGCTACGTCGAAAGATATTTCAAATTTGAACTTCGGCTTCCAAAAAAATATAATAAAATTGATGCTGTGGATATTGAGACGAAATGTGAAATTTTGGATCTCGTTTATTTATATGAAGTAAGTTATATGCCATGTTGATAACTTAAATTGAAGAGTTTTTTTTAAATTTTTTTTAATGAACTAAATATCTCTTCTAATAACCCCTAACATATCATCAATCAAGAAGGAGCTAATCCAGATTGGCGCAGAGGCGAAATAGCACACTCCCAAATCCATATTATTGCTCCAATTCGCAAGGCAATCGGCTAAACAGTTTTTCTCCCGAAAAATATGATGCAGCTCACAAGATGAGCTTGACTCATTAGCTGCTGACAGCTAGAGATCAAACTAGCAGCGAGTGGAAAAGGATTGTCTCATGCATATTGAACAATTGCACAGCCACAATCGAATCCCTGTCAATAATAAGAACAGTAGTTGTGGAGGATGGGTTAGTAGTCGACACTTTGACGTGGTTGATGAGCATCGCCACTGAAGCTTGTAACTTGGCGATGTCGGTGTACATAGATGACAACGATGTCTGGAATTCAGTCTTCCGATCAGCCATCAACTTTGTGAACTGATCTTCCAATCTGGTGACATCTGCAAAAAATTTCACCTCGAACTCCTAATATTGTCCAACCAAATTGGCAACGGTTATTTTGGGAGCCATGACAAGCAGCACAGGCAAGTAAGCAGAGGAACCGCAGTGAAGCAAGAGGCTCTGAATACCAATTGATTTGTAACAACCCCTAGGGGTATGATTAAACACTCGAAACAATAAAAACGAGAAGAATATAGGGGGTCAAGGAGAAGAAAAGTTAGATCGAATGGACGAAAGAAAGGAGCGAAATCCGAGAACCGAGAACCGAGAAGAAATGACAGAAATCAGAGAGTTTTAAGAGAGGGTTCAACATCCAAACCTGAAGTTTAAAGAACTACATGGGGTATTTATAGCAAACTAAGACATGGAGACAACATGATAAAAATCCCTATCTAAAACAAAAATCCTAACCCAAATAAAATAGAAAACTTAGATATCCTACAAGAATTTGGAAAAATAGAGAATTTAGGAAACTAACAAATAAATTAGGAAACTACTCAACTTAGATCCTATGCATCCCACATCAATGAATTGGACATGTGGGCTTCATTTACCTCCAACGTCAGCAATTTAACAAAATTTCTAACAATAGGGATGATTTGGAATTGTAGAGGGTAACCTTAAGGATTATTAATGTCACAAAAAAAATGCTTAAAGGATCATTTGTAACCTGTAAAAAGCCTTTTTCCTAAAGTAAAAGCCAAAAACAATTCTCGCATTTTCATAACAAGTAACAGTTGCTCATAAGTACTGAATAAATTAGACTCTACTTCAGGGAGACAATATATGTGTCAAGTAAACAACAATATCCGTAGAATTAACAACTGAATAACGGAACGAGCAGGTAGCAGAGGTTAATTACACGGTGGAAGAGGTTCTTGAGTAATGCAGAAGTTTACATATACAAGAACAATAACATTTTGTACACCAAACGGAGAACAGCCACTACTTGAAGATTTTGTGTTGCGTAGCACCTTAACATTTGAAACCTCCGCAGGCAATTAGCCATAGTATGATGATCAGGATAAGGATTCCTCCTCCAATCATTAGTTTCATTTGGAGACTTTGCAGCCACATCTTACGTCGCAGTTGCCTTCCTTGCCTCTGGAAGCTGTCAGCCTGTATTCAATACGAATACCCCAAGATGCGCATCAACTACAAACTCCTTATAAGTTCAAAATCAGTTTCAAATTATACAACCAGATAAGTGATGGAATGTACCTGGAACTGCAGGTTTTCTGTTTTGTCCACCAGAAGTTCAATTTTCTCCCCACGATCCAAAACCTGCCATAAAAAAAGAGATGGGGTTTACTGCATCCATTCCCAATGAACCTTCTCAGGCCTTAGATGCTTTACAATAGGGAAACACAAATGGTAAAAACACATCAACTTATTTTCTTTCGATGAAAGCACTAGTGGGCCAATTAGGATTTGGTGAATGAAATTATTGTATCAAAGTGAAATAATGCTTACATCCAACCACCAGAGAACAAATATTTTCTGTCGTTTTTCGTATCCCCTCCCACTCTGTTTTCAGCTTTTGAGCACTTATAATATTCAGGCAGTAGAGTACATCCCAAACTAATATGATTACTATACTCACTTTCCTTACCACCCCTGAAAGCCCTTAATTCAAAATGAAGGGCAATAATTATCATATAAGACATCTTTCAACTTTTCAGGAAAGACATGGATGTACGCTGAGAAGCAATACAGGCCAGCATCTCATGATAATAAGTTTGCTCATCATCTTGTTTCTGTGATAACTAATTCCCCAACACCATCCAGACTCCCATGAGCCACATCGATCCATCTGGCCATAAAAATCTTTAGTATTGGTTCATATAGATGAATCCTAGCATATTAGACCATACAGTCCAGATGAATAAGATTTGCTATACACACATTTTTCTCTATATTACCAAAGATTGTAAGTCTACAATGCTTATGGAAAAACCAACCCAGTTGATTGTTTTTCTTCACTCCCAATTGATGAAAACTAACTTTTGTAATCATGATACTTTCCAAATTGTTCCGAAGCTAATAAATGTCTAGGGTTTAGGGTTTAGGGTTTTGGGTTTAGGTTTAGGGTTTAAGCTAATAAAGGTCGAACTCAATTCATTAGGATTTAGGGTCGAACTTAAATATTTGATGCATACACAAACTTAATCAAATACAAAAGAAAGCTGCAAAAAGGTTAATAAACAAGGCACTACTATTAAATTAGTCCACTTGCACCACATAAAGCATAAAGAAACTTCTGTCCAAGCACATAACTATATTTCCCCTACTCATCTCCAGCTCCACACAAAAAATCAATCACAGACGTGACCATAAATAAGATGATATCGAGCGATAGCAAACGTACAAGAAAACTACAGGTCACAAGGAGCTGCACATGAAAGAAGCAAGTTATCCACTAACTACCCATCCCTTTATACACACATAATACATCTCCAGAAATAACACCCAATTTACCTCAACATTCCAACACTGACAAGCAATAATTAATTCATACTCTATTTCAAAAGAGCCAAACCTTCAATGGGAAAGTATTGTCACCACTTTAAACTCAGAACAATGATCAATTAGGGCGTTTTTATCAAGTCTAATTTTATCACAAAAGGCACCTGTAACATATGCTAAGCACACACCATCCCTTTTGGACAACATGAGGTTGTCTTAATGATCACATAAGGATGACAGCACTTGTGACTGGTGAAAAAGACTGGAAGAGATCTGCTAAAAGTGATTGGGTTGGATACTCATGTTTTCTTTTAATTTCTTTCCAGATTGAGTTTTCTGAGGATGTGCATTGAGACTGCTCTGCAATTTTATCATCTTCTAACAATTTTATGACAATACAGTAAAGAGGGGATCATATTAATTAACTATGACACCAACAAGTGACCATGGTCTTGGCTACAGTCATGCATTGGTTTATCTTTTCATTTTAACTATGACACCAACAAGTGACCATGGTATTGGCTACAGTCATGCATTGGTTTATCTTTTCAATTTAACTATGACACCAACAAGCGACCATGGTATCGGCTACAATCATGCATTGGTTTATCTTTTCATTTTTTTTAAATAAATAAAAAAAAAAACACAACACTCACATACATTTAAATTGCAGTTAAAACTCTTTATGGATAATATAAAAATAGAAAAATGTCATTCAATGTCAAAAGGAATATTTAACTCAGGTTTGGACACACTTTTAACCCCTTCTGGGACCTTCAAACTATAGCATAATTTAATAGAAAAAATCTGCCAAAATTGTAAAACTAGAAACAGAATATGCGAGGACCTACAAAACATTATTAATCATAACCAGTAAACCAAAAGAGGACCAGATGGAAATATGAGATAAGTCAGTATAAGTAACAAAACAAATACGCAGACCCGTTGAAGATGTAGAAAACGTTAAGAGCTATTGAATGGCATTCAAGATACAAAGGCAGATACAATAAATAAAATAAATAGGATGGTCTAAGAAGAAAAGGATAAATTTCCGTTTCACCACCTGAACTACTCACAACATTGAAAATTTCCCAGGATTTCTTCAGTAAATTAATGGAATGAACTATACCAAAATAGCCAATATGGGGCTGGCTGTCAATTGTTTTTGAATTCCATCTAATTGCTGCAAGCAGTAAGGGAAACTTTTTTTAATTTTGAGCGAAAAAAAAATACCTATTAAAATACCAAAAATATTTTGATTTTTAAGTTTTAAAAATACTGCACATATATCCCCTCCCTCTCCCCACAGCCCTCTCTCTCTCTCTCTCTCTATGAATGTCTCTCCCAAGCTTCTAGGATGATGGCCCCTAGTGGTCCATTTGGGTGGCAATGGTGATGGGTTTGGGCAAGGATAGTGGCTGGGGGATGGGGGCGGTCCCCTTCGGGGAAGGGGAGAGAGAGAGAGGACAGGTAGGTGATGGAGGGAGATCTGGGCCGGGGGTAATTGGGGTTGAATGTTGTGGCCTCAGGTGACATCGGAGCTGTCGTTGGGTGGGTGGGGTGATCGGCGAGGAGGCAGGGCCCGTGAGGCGATGGATGGGGTGAGGCAGAACCAGTGGGGGCAGTTACGGAGGTGGAGAGTTCGTGGTTACTGGGTACCTTTTCTGTTTTTCTTTATTTAAATTTTCTGTTAGACATATAAGGGAAATATATGGGAGAAATTATGGATGAAAGAATAATGGAGGGAATGATGTGTACATGGAATGGTACTACAAACAAATTCAACCACAATATCGTTCTTATGAAGACCCAGGATTTCTGTAAGAAACCCATAGTCTCAAGTGAGGAAGCAAGGAACAACGAATAAATGCATAAATTAACCATATCTTCAGAAAGTTCCATTGCCAAGATTATATTATCTTTTACCTTCTCAATATTGTCCATCATCACACCTTTGACCTCCGTGATTTGGGCCTTCAATTTGGAAAGCTTACTTATTTCTTCTGGATGCTCCATGCAATATTGCATGTGCTCCTTAAGCCTTGGCCTAAAAAAAAAAAAAAAAAAAAAACACAAAAAAAAAAAATAGTGGTAATACTATATGAAATAGAAGACATTTGGATTCAAACAACAAAAGGCAGAAACAAACCCAAATTCTCTGTCAAGATTGTATGCAATGCTAAATCGATCTTCAAATAAGTCATCGTCTTCATTATCATCAGCAAGAGGATGTGGGCCTTCAATCTTATTATTTGAACCATAACGCTGCTTGAAATCTTCTTTCACCCGTTCAAGGAACACAAAAGGCATACTCCTCCCAACCGATTCATCCGCAACAACAAGAAACACTGCGAACCAAATAAGAAGTTTAAACCACAGATTCTGTAATTAGAATCTAAAAAGCAATCTAACTGCAAGTCGTAAAAGAATCCCCACCAAATCCATTGTCAAGTAGGAAGTTAAAGGTGTGGCTATCACAAGCATATGTGTACTTGCTGCTACTAGAAGGTAACTTCTGTAAGCATTGAACAGCAATGGTACTGAAGTTTCCGGAGAACGACGTGTGTTCAGCTAAAACAACACCTCCTTTTGCAACAAAGCTATATATCAATCCTTTGTGACTCATCTCTGAATTATCACTTCAAACACGTGAAGACGCACAAGAGAAATATCACCAGAACCTAAATGCAGTGGTAACCTACAGAAATTATATAAGTCTGAAAAATTAATCAAATACACTAAACCAAAACACAGGATTAGCTTATACGCGATAAAGCATAGTTTACTTAAATCTGAACATAGTAATTGTCAATTACACCGAACGAACCCGAAGTAAAATTCAAGTCCTGAAATATCTACAAGTTTCAGTCGGTAACTAACTGCAATACCTAGATGAGTTTTTGATATGCTTAACCTACCAAAACAAGAGAACATTAAAGAAAATGTTCACTTTTTAAAAAAAAATTCATTCCTTCCACATCTTTCCATCGTTTCCTTTTAATTTTCTCGGCAACCAGACAAAGGAATACGAAAAGGGTCAAAGATTTAAATAACAAATCCAAGAACCCACAATTCCTCTTAAAAACAGAAACGGGTCAAGGTAAAATCTTGATCTACAATTTACAAATAACACAAGAAATGAAAGAAGGAACTTACTTGTCAGATCAAAACCTGATTTACAGAATTCAAGTCTTAGCGAATAAGTGCCCCAGAAGAGAGAGAGAGAGAGAGAGGAGTCTGAAAGATGGGATGGTATAGAGTTAAGACGTTCTGTTCTGAAGGCGACGTGGTCTCAGGCCTCTTTTGCGCCGACCGTCGTTTTTTTTTTTTTTTTTTTTTTTTTTTTTTTGGGGTTCAAAGCAGTTCACAATTTGGTTTTTTATTTTTATCACAAATGTCTCTCATGTTTGTGAAATTATTATTATTATTATTATTATTATTTACATGATTGGTCTTTAGAGCATCTCCACCCACAAGGGCTAAGTCTAAGGCAAGGGCAAGCAAGGGCTGCCACTATTCACGTAAATAGTGTCAGCCTTTGCATTTGTGGTTCCACCCATGAGGGCAAAGTCTAGGGCAAGTCTAAGGCAATTACTATTCATTGTACTTTATTTCCTATTTGTTTATACTTTAAACTATTAATTTTGATAAGCTTTTTAGATTATATTTTCGGTTGTCACGTGTCACTATTTATTATAAAATTTTCATTTAAAATTTAAGATAACATTTTTCGAATAAAATTTTCAAATAAAATTTTTGGATAAAATTTTTCGAATAACATTTTTGGTTTTGCCTTGACTAATCTATTAAAAAAAAGAAATTGGAAATGCAAGAAATATATATAAAAAAATATTATTATAAAAAGACATTAAATTGAATTTTTTTTTTTTTTTTTTTTTTTTTTTTTTTTTTTTTTTTTTTTTTTTTTACCTCCCGTCTCTCCCAGCCATTTTGATGTGGAAAGTGAAAAATATTGGAAGGAGATGAGTTTTTATGAAGATTTGGTGTAGAAAGTGAATAAAATGGTTAGGTATTTATAGGGAAAAAATACAGAATTTTTTGGTATTTAAAAAAAAATTCAGAATTTTTCAGAATTTTTTCAAATTTTTTTCGAATTTTTTTGGCCAAAAAAAAAATCTGTTTTACTGTGCGCTGACGTCAGCCAACTCGGGCTTCAGCCCGGGCAAGACTTGCCCTTGGGCTTGCTCGGGCACGTGGGACCCACCACCAAACCGGGCTACGGGCCCTGCGCTGGAGCTGCCTCGGGCTCCCTCTGGCAGCCTTTCCCCCGGGCTGGGCTTTGCGCTGGAGATGCTCTTAACGTTGCATTTAGAGCAACTCCACATTTGCCTTTTGACGTAGCAAGGGAGGAGCTAGGGTAGCCATTATTCACATGAATAGTAGTTTGCTATGGCAAAGGGCAATTACTATTCATTTTTTTGTTTTTTTTCACAAATTTTTTTACCTCAATAATTAATTTGGATAATAATTTCGGATAAGATTTTCGGGTTCCTACGTGTCAAGACTATTCATAATCGGATAAAATTTCCGGATAAGATTTTTGGGTTCCAATTTCGGATGAATTTCAAATTCAAAATTCAGATAAATTTTTGAGTTCAAATTTTGGATGAATTTCAAAATTCATATAAATTTGGGTTCAAATTTCGAATGAATTTCAAAATTCAAATTTCAGATAAATTTCAAATTTCAAATTTCAGATAAGATTTTCATCCAATCAAATCAAGTCACGTGGCATCTCTATATGGCCAAAATTTTCTATAAAACCAGAGACTCAGCTCATACTTCTCACACCACATCTTTCTATATTTTCATTTCTCAGAGTTTAGATTTCATACTCCATTCTCAAATGGAAGATTTTAGGAGATGCTTGGAGAGGCAAGAGAGAGAAACAAATGAGAGAAGTCGTAGAGCAAATGAAAGAAATATGTTATAGAGAGAAGAAGATGAACAAGTTGTCATAGCAGTGACTTTGCTTGATGAAGAGAACCAAGGTCGCCACCGTGGTTCACAAGTCGGCCGTCGCCGAAATGTGGACAGATATAGGCATTTTCGGGGTAAGAATCTTTTCGAAAATTATTTTATCCCAACTTCTTTGTACTCTGATGTTGATTTTCGAAGGCGATTTAGAATGCAACCCCATTTGTTCAATAAAGTCATGCATGATATTTGCAATTATGATGCATACTTTGTTCAAAAGTGTGATGCTGCTGGGGTTTTGGGACTTCTTCTGGAGCAAAAGCTTACAGCTATTATACTAATGTTGGCGTATGGAGCATCTGATGATTAGGTGGATGAGATTGCCTTGATGGGGAAGTCCACTACATTGGAGGCCTTAGTAAGACTTTGTGATGCAGTTGAAACTTTGTACACTAGGGTCTACCTGCGCAAACCTACTCCCAGGGACCTCCAACGGCTTCTACAAAAAGCCGAAACTCGAGGATTTCCAGGAATGATTGGCAGCATCGACTGCATGCACTGGCAATGGAAGAATTGCCCAACTGTCTTGCAAGGTGATTACGAAAATAGAAAAGGCCAAAAAAGTATCATCCTTGAAGCAGTTGCTGGCTTCGACACATGGGTTTGGCATGCCTTCTTCGGAGTTGTCGAATCCCAAAATGACATCAACGTGCTGGGTCAATCCCCGATCTTCAACGATGTTTTGAGAGGCCAAGGCCTCAATATCACCTATCATGTCAACAATATAGTCTACCAAACGAGATATTATCTAGCTGACGGCATCTACCCGAGGTGGACCACATTTGTCAAATCCATTTCGAATCCTTGATCCCATAAGCAAAAATTATTTGCTACTTATCAAGAAGGATACAGGAAAGATGTCGAAAGGTGTTTTGGCATCCTTCAAGCTCGATGGTTGATTATTCGAGGTGCGGCCCATATATTTGATGAGGAGGTCCTCATAAGCATTATGATGACTTGCATCATCCTCCATAAAATGATTGTGGAGGATGAGCATGATTATGATGCTGCAGAGGTCTACGAACCGGATCCCATGAACACGGCCTTGACACGAATTTATGAAAGGCCCATGGGGCCAAGTGGAGAATCGTTTGAGCCGGATCCATTGGTGAGGGATGGTTGTTTCATGACCCGTATAATAGACCGATATACAGAGATGCAATCTTCGTATATTCATGAAAGGCGTCAACTTGACTTGATGGAGCATCTATGGGTGGTGAAAGGCAATGAAGATGAATGATGGAGCATCTATGGGTGGTGAAAGGCAATGAAGATGAATGATGGAGCATAGATGCTTTGGTTATGTTTCATTTAGTTATGGTTTGGTTGTGTTGTTTTTTATTTATTATGGTTTGGTTGTGGTTTGTTATTATTATTGTGCCTTGTTTGTAGTTTTTTTTATTTTTTATTATGCTTTGCTTGTGGTTTTTCATTTTAATTATGTTTTGTTTGATGTATGGAATATGTTGAATAAAAAGGTATTTTATTGAATGCTTTGTTTATTAAATAAAGAAAGCCAATACAAGTCATTAAGAATTACTACTACTAAAATAAAATACATGAATTACAACAACTTTAATAGAAAACATGAAAAATACAAATACATAAAAGGTATACCAACTAATTTAATGGTTTTGATCATTTAACCAATTCGTGTTGCTAGGCCTATCATCCTGGAAAAGTCTTCTTCTTATAACATCCCTTCGTTCTAGCTTCCAAAATTGTTTTGTTTTAGGGGACATATGGCTTGTATCCATCCCCATGGTTTCCCGATCCGTCTTGTCCATCTCTTTTTTGCGCAAATACTCCCTTTCTTGTGCATATTCTGCTCGCATTGCCATCTCGTTCTCTTGGCGTTTCTGTTCCATTTCAACTCTTATGGCGCTCTGGCTTGCAATTTCCTCCAAAAATTTTGATGTATTACTGCTCGAATTACCCCTTTCTTTGCCTTCACAGCCTTTCGGCCAATGGGCCTCGGCTCCTTTTCAATGGGTGAGTCTTGACTCATAAGGGAATCGATAGGTGAATCCGATGTCATTGAATCACGGAGTGGCGTCTCGTTTAACATAACGGCAGGACCCGTGGGAATAATTCTGAAGCATTTGCAATTTTTCACCACCTCCCAACATTCATGATGGTTGAAACTGTTTTTGCCTTGCCCAGTTGCACCAAACCACATTTGTGCTTGAATCATCTATTAAAAAAAAGATAATGGAAATGCAAGAAATATTTAAAATATATTGGATATGCAAGTAACAAAAAAAAATAATGGAAATGCAATTAACCTTACAAATATATTGGAAGTGCAAGAAATATTAAGAAACAATTGGAAATGCAAGAAATATTAACAAAATATTGAAAATTCAATAAACATAAAAAAAAATATATATTAGGACATTAAACTTAATAAAACGAAAATTACAAAATACTTACCTCATTACTAAGATTTTCCTCGCTTCTATGGTTGTCCATCGCTTTTGCCAAAGCATCCCTCCATTTTCCCAACTCTTTATTGAGAATTTTCCACCTACTAGATAATGTCATTTCCATACGAGTCGACCTTGGAATTTTTTCACAAAATTCGGCATGAATTTTTTTCCACATATGAAAAAATTTCACCTCATTGCCTGACACGGGACAATGACAAATTTGGAGCCAAGCCTCACACAAGGAAACATCTTCCATGGTGCTCCACGCCCCTCCGGTTTCGATAGAAGAAGCCATAAATATAAGAAATAAAAATACAATTTGAAAGAGAGGAAAATGTTGAGTAAAGAGTGAATAATAGTAGAAGGAGAAGAAAATGTATGAGGATTGGTGTTGAAAGTTGTAGGGGACTTTTTCTTCCGGTAGATGTAAATGGACTGGGCTGCCGTAAAGGGCAAACTGATGAAATTGTCCCCTTTGTCTGAGTTCGAAAATTAAGCCCCAAAAATACCTCAAAAGGGCAGTAGAGCCTCAAGAAGTATTTTGGTTACCTTCACCAGCCGAAACAATAGCAACTTACAGGTAATTTTTGCATGCTTATAGATAAACTTTTGAGCTTGGCATGAGAGGCATGTGGCATGGAAGCAAAACCAATATGAGTTTAGCACTGAGGGGCAATTTAGGCTTTCTTAGGGGAAAAAGGGAAGTGTTAAGGTGAGAAAGAAGAAGGTTTGTAGGAGATTTGGCTAAGAAGAGAGAAATAAGAAACGATACTCTTCCGGTAGTTCGACAGATATTCTGTCTGCCTGAAAAGAATGGAGAAGAAGGTGAATAGTGCACGAGATTTCTAGGTTTTTGCAAGTTAGAGAGAAAGCTTGCTCTCTAATTCTGAGTTGGTTTCGTTGGGTAGAAGAGGCCCCATTTTATAGTTGCTGGAAATCATACTTTCCCAAGAAACCCTAATGGTTTCTACCCATTTTGGCCAAGCTTTTCCTTCCCTTTCTCCTCTCCTCCCTTGACTTTTCTTATCTTGGTGAAATTTCTTCTGTCTATTTGCACAAAACCAAGAATTTTGGGAGCTCAAAGCCCCCTTTCCCGCAACTGCTCAGTGGGAGCCTCCAATCTTAGCTATTTTTCTTCTTCTTTCCTTCCTCTTTCCCTGGCCAGATCTGAAGAAGGAAAGCAAATGGATATACATGCTAGTTTGAAGAGTGCTTCTCCTCCTGGCAGCTTACGTGCTAATATCCCTTGGTCCCTTGGATGTTTTGTGCTTGGAACTTGTTCCTTCCCAGCAGCTCTGCATATGTGGCCATCTTGCTTCTTTCGTGGCTTCTATTTTTTTAGCAAAGGGCTGAGGCTTTGTGGCTTAGTTTGGAGTTTTGTATGGGCCAAGGTGGTTCCCTAAGCAAGTGGGCTATTTTTGTTAAACATTGGGCTTTTTTAGTTGTGTTAATAGGCTATTTTGCTTGGGCTAATGGGCTATTTTTCTCTCTTGTGCTTACCCACATGTTTGAGCCTAAGAAATGGGCTTGAGTCTCGAGGCTCCCAAGCAACCCAAGACTTTCCATTTCTAGGCCCATCAATGGGCCTCATGTTGATTTATTACCATCCATACCACAACCCACTCAAGCAAGCCCCGAGTATTTGAGTGGCTTGGGCCCACTTAAGTTTGTAGCGTGGTTGGGTGTGAGATAACAATTTCGTGCTTGGCATGGCATGTCGCTTGGCATGCTTTAATTTTATCATCCTTGGGAAAGATTTAATTTCGGCATGGCCTTGTAGAGCCGGTATATTTTATCTCAACTCCTAGCATGAAGGATTATTTACTTAGCATGGCACGTGAACTGCAACTCGCATGTGGCGGGTTTTCGTATACTCCGTTTTATGCCTTTTCTTAATAGAGTGTCGTTTTGGGCCGATAATTTATTCAGGCCCAACCATGGATTTTTGGGCCTCAACAAAAATGAAGGGTATTGATAGGTATTATAGAAAAAAAATTCAAAACTTTTTGGTATTTTTTTAAAAAAATTTCAATTTTTTGTCATAATTTTATTACCAAAAAAATGACAGTCGTTGGATTGGAGGAGGAGAAGCAAATCGGAGCGCCCAGGGCTTGACACCTGTCTTCTACCCGTTGGAGCTTGCGCAGGGCTGACTTCAATGCACACGAGTTTTAAATTTTTTTTACCGCGCGATGATGTCGCGCCTAACGTCATCAGCCCTCGAGCTCGAAACTTGGGCGAAACTGGCCTTCGAGCCAGCCCGTCTTCGTGGGTCCCACTCCCAACTCGGGCTTGGGCTTCTTGGACTGGTTTTTTTTTTTTTTTTTTTTTTTTTTTTTCTTTCCCTAGCCTTGGGCTCAGCTCACCGCTGGAGTTGCTCTTAGATGGGAGAAAAAAACTTGGGATTTGGATGTCAATCCCTTAAAAATAGAATATAATTTTACAATCATGTAGTGAAAAAACCTCAAAACTACAAAATATGTCATAATTAAATTCACTTAATTTCACCTAATTTACATAAACTCAAGGGAAATTGGTGGCTTTGGCACCAGCTTGAGTAAACATTGGTAAAATGGCACCTTTTTTTTTAACCTTATAAATATGGTACTTGTAAATATAATGTAATAACCCGATTCTAAATTAATATTTAATTATTAAATTATTCAAAGAAAAAACAATTTTACCCCGGAAATATTTTAATGGGTTAAAAGTTGACTTTTTGTTGGGGAAACGTAGAGCACGTTAAGATAAGTCCGTAGACACGTAGTGGGTTCAAATCGGAGTTATAACGAAGAAGTTATGATCTACGGAAACGTAGTGGCATAACCATAAATATTTCGAAGTCAGTTTTTTTAAAACCCAAATGGTTTTTTTTTCTCTCTCTCTCACGACCAAAACAACCACTGATCTTTGGCCGGTGGCATCTCCTCCGTCTGGCCATCTTTGGCCACGAGACCACTTGCGTTAGAACCGTCTCGACCTCCTCTACCCGTTCCTTCCCTTCTCTGATGAGCCCAACCACTCCTTTGCAAGCGGTAGCTCGATAAAATTCTGATTTTGTCAAAACTTTTCATCGTCATTTCCAATGATTCCGGCCACCAAATTTATCGACAGGTATGCTTTCTCATCCTTTCAACGTGACTTAGCTGATGGTTGGGTTGGTTAGGATCGATTTTGAAGTTTTGAAACTCAAATTACTAATAAAAATTTTGGCCCTTTTTCGGCTCAGGTTTCGGGCAAGTTCCGGCCTATCATGCCTTAGACCCGGGGGTCGGTGGAAACCCCACGCCCGGTGTGTGAGAAAAAAAAATGTAAAAAAAAATAAAAAAGAAGATGAAACATGGGTTTAAAATAAGCTTCTCTTATAAAAATAGATTCAAAATCTTACAACTTTACAAGAAATAAACAAAGCTCTATCACTTTTTATCTAATTCAGCCTCAACTAGTTTAGTCCTTTTCTTGCCCACTAATTCATTTGAAGAAAAAAAAATTAAACAGGGGGAGGGGTGAGCAACCATAGCTCAATAGGGAAATGAGACCTTACCATAGTAGATTGATATAACTAAATTAAGTGACATGCAATCACACAGCCAAATATCATATTATTAATAATAATGCATGAATGCTCTTCATCTAATCCCGTTAATTCATATAACTGGACAAGCAGACCTGCACGTCCCATACCATGCCTATACCACTTGGTCCCGAATGCCCATTTATATGAACTAACACCCATTTCAATCATCCCATAATTCCCCTTTTGTTAGTCATCTTGTCTAATTCCCTTTCACCAGTCCCGAATCACCCAATAAAACCATGTGCACTGTGGGATCCCTGAGACCTGATACCTGCCAAGAGTTAGACACAACTACACAAAAGACTATATCCATTACCCTCTTTTCCATTATTATCTTCTCCACCCAACAACTCCAACCAATTACATTGACGTGATAGAATTATGCCAACATTATTCAAATAGTTCACAATACGTAAATATAGTATATCAAGAACATTATATGTTGGTAATTTTTAACAACAATATTAAAACCTTGCAAGTGCACAAATCAAATGATAGTATAGTAAACAAGCAAGGGTCGATCCCACAGAGATTGTAATCAAAAGAGATGTTTATCAATGTCACGCAACGAAAATTAAAACACAAAGACTTCCACACACACACCAACACCAGGGGGGTTTTGATTTGGTTTTGTGAATAAAACAAAACAAGGAAAACAAAACAAAACAGAATTTAAATTAGAGTTTAAGAAAAATTGGTTTAGAATCAATCAAGAACAATAGCTAGGACTCACTATCCACCTCCAAACAATCAATCAATCCATAAACAACAATAGATAATCAATTTCTAGCAAGCATATAATGACGACACTCACAACAAGATCATGGCATTTGACTCGAGTTGGATGATTCTCTCTTAAGTGTACGTAGAGTGTATGACATTTACATCAATACGTGTATTCTTAATTGAAATCTAGTATGGCATTTACTCAAATTAACAATCAAGAATCCATTAAGATCAAAGAGAATATGAGTGTCACAAAAACCCTAAAACATGGCATTTGTTATTAGGAATTCAAAAATCGATTTCTCATAACTAGTTCTTAACCCAATTATTCGTTGCAAACAAGAACACATTCAATATGGCAATTGACCTATGTTCTACAACAATTTAATTCCAATACATGCTTCAAAGTTAGCTACTCAAAGAAACAAAATATCAGAATTCACATAACATAGAGAAACCGAAATCATCACACTCGTAGAAACTGAAAATCCATTCAAACTTGTTTATAGAATTGAAATCATGTTTAGGGCTTCAAGATTAAGCCCTAACTAACAAGAAATTAGTTACTCATGTTCTTGGATGAACTCAAAAATAAATACATAAGAACTGAAAAGTAAAAGAAGGAAGGAAAAGAAAGAACTCGTTGGCAGCTTTCTCCTCTTGCGCGGTTGATCTCTTTAGGACGTGAATCACTTGTATCCGGGCCTTGGCTGGCCTTTTATATCACTTATATCAGAGTTTTAAACCCTAAAATTGACTGACAAGTCGTCCAAGAAGTCTTGGTAAACAAGGAATCCAAATATGAAAGTAAAAATCACAATTCCTAACTCCATAGGGAAATACAGCTCAGCCCAATTGTCACACGATTTGGGAATCTTCGGCCTTGTAGAAAAAATCATTAAAAATATATTTTAGAAAAATAAATTTCTTATCTTTCCAACCATATATAGCACATAACTTGGAAAATTCAGGAAAGCTTCCGTTTCTTCACATTCACGTAACATGTACGAAACTGTCCTGTCTGCACGTGGGCTAACTTTACTTGTAATACTGTACCAATTGGCTCGGTAGAAAATTCTAGAAAAATCATAGATTGAATTCAAGATGTTAGCTTTCATCTCCAATTGGCCTTGCGCTAAAATTCCTCCGAAAAGTTGAGTTTTCCTTAAAAACCTTCTAAAAGCACAAAAAAGCTGAAAATAAGAAAAGTAAAGTAATAAGCCCTTTTTAAATCTAATTCTCCTACAAAACCTAAGTAAAAAGAGTACATAAATGAGTATATTTATGGACTTATCATTATACAATATCAAGAACACTCATTATAATAGCACACATAATATAGAGCTCACGAAATTTAATTAAATCAATCTTCTGTAAAGTCCCTCAAGAAATCCCTACCTCGTTTTCAAAGCTAATTCTAAATTAAGAAAATACACAAGCTGGGACCTCTACTCTTCCAGGAACTATATCACCACTAGCTTTCTCTCTCTCTCTCTCTCTCTCTCCCTCCCAAGAACTCTTACTTTGCATGCGATGCATGCAGTGTGTAACCTCAATTAATACACAAGGTTTGTGTGTTTTTCACAAGATGCAACGGATAGGCCTATTTATACTAGAAGAAGTTGGTTGCTACTAGCTTCTTATTGGTCTAATAACTGAAGCAACTATTAAACAATTGTTAAGGCCCAAAAAAATCTATGCTTCGGCCCAAATAAATTCTCGGCCCAATGCGATACCTTACCGAGAAGAAACCTGATTTGGGCACGCGAAAGTTCATCATATGCGCTTGCACACATGCCACACCAAGCGACACGCCACGCCAAGCAAGGAATTATTATTCCGCTCCTAATCACGCCACAAGCTTAAGTGGGCCCCAAGCCACTCAAATACCCCGGGCTTGCTTGAGTGGGTTGTGGTATGGATGGTAATAAATCAACATGAGGCCCATTGATGGGTCGAGAAATGGAAGTCTCAGGTTGCTTGAGAGCCTCGGGACTCAAGCTTATTTCTTAGGCCCAAACATATGGGTGAGCACGAAAGAGGAAATAGCCCATTAGCTTAACCAAATTAGCCCAACACCTCCACAAAAATAGTCCAACACTTGTTGAGGTTAGCCCATTTATTTTGACAAACCAACCCATTATCTTAGAAGGCCCATATAATTAGAAAAGAGAAGAAGCCAAAGCCTCAGCTCCTTGCAAAAAAAAAAAAAAAAAAGAAGCCACAAAGGAGATGTCCACATATGCAGAGTTGCTGGAAAGGACAAGTTCCAAGCACAAAACACCCGAAGAACCAAGGGATATTAACGTGCAAGCTGCCAGGAAGAGAAGCACTCTTCGAACTATCACTACAAGAAAAAACCTCTTTCGCGACGAAATCTTTTGCGACCAACCCAAATTTGGTCGCCAATCAAGGTTATGGGAGACGAAGTTTTTTATTTCGTCGCCAATAATTTCGTCAAATTTATCAACTAATTGACCAGAAAATATGTCCAAATGGCGACCAAAAGTTTTGGTCGCTAGGGGAGGAATTGGCGACCAATCACAAGATTGGTCGCCTTTAAGCTTGAAAATTATTGGCGACCAAATTATGTTGTCTCTAAGGTTGCCTGTGTCGTCTCTAAATTTGAGATGCCGCGAAAATATTTTGTGAGATACCGCCCAAATATTTCTTGAAACTTGGCGACCAATTTTTTTGGTCGCTGTTCCTGTGAAAAAGAATATAAAGTATTAAAACTGTGTCGATTTCCTTATTTGACATGTTGGCAACCAAATAGCTTGGTGGCTGATTCTGGAAGACTATAAATTAAAAAAATTTCCCTAACCTGTTACTTCCCCCAATTTACTTCTCTCGTATCCACTCTCTCCGCCGTCTTCCACACCACCGATGCCTTCAATTAAGTCCTCCACGGACGCTCGCAATGAAATCTTCCAACGATGCCGGCCAATCTCTTATGTACCCACTATCTCTTCATCCCCCTTCAGATTTCTCATGGCCCTTATTTCTCACTCTCTTTCCCAAAATCATCCTTCAACGATGCCAACCACTTGCTGCTACAGCAACATATACTAGAGATTCTCTGCAATGTGCTCAGCCACATACCAACTCTGATTCAAAGGTGCTTTTATTATTTTTTTTGTTTATTTAGCTATTTTTCTGTAATTATTTGATTTTGATTCTGTAAAAATAAAATTTAGTTGGTTTTTGTCTTAGTAACGAGGTGGTCGACGACCCCTCAACCACTTCTCATCTGCTGCCTCTATGTTAGGTATGAAAACTTCTCTAAATATTTTGAGTTACGAGTTTGGAATCATGGAAATGTTAAGATTTACCTTTTTTATTATTATGAAGATTTCTTGTGCTTGCGTTGCCTGGTGGTGTCTTGTATTTGATACTTTGTTTCTTTGTTGGATCTTGCAGTGATTCAGCATTTTTCAGATTTCTTTGCTAAGCCTTCATTCAAGAACTTAATTCTTAAGGTATTTTTATATTTTATTTATGGAAACTATGAGAATAAATAAAAGAGAAGCAACCTTGATTGAGCACTGCCATTTGAGAATTTTCCATTATGGATAATTATAGCTATTAAAGACTTGAAGGCCCCTTCAGACAACCAAGAGACCAACGCTAGGCTATGAATCTATTGTTGCAGATGGTAGGTTTGAGCATCCTTTGTTTTCCCTCTCTTTATTAGAAATAAAAAATTATGCCACCATTTTATTTCTTTCTTGTGCCTTTTAAAAATTCTTGTTTGGCTCATATTCTTTTGAAACTTAATTTTTAAAGACCCTGCATTATAATTTTTTTCCTTCTCTTTTCATATATCGGAGGACTTCAATGAATTCACTTAAATTGATAAGGTCTCTAGTCTGCAAGAGATATTTGGTTATGTACTGTGAATAAGTATATGTTATTGATGTAATTTTGTATTCCCCTGTTTCCACTTTAAAAGATCTTTTTGCTAGTGTTTAAATTTCAACCGAGAAGAAGCGAGTATTCTAAAGGTTGTTGTTATACATTATACGTATGTCCTTTGGGAAAGTTTTTCTAACATGACTAGGATTTTGAAGTTGGACATTTATGTTTTTTGCTTTCTTGCTTGTAGGAAAATGCCTAAGAAAAGATTGGGTCTAACATGACTAGGGTTTTGAAGTTGTACTTGCGTATCTGATTTTCAAACATCTGAGATGAAATTTTACTCTCATTTTTGGCTAATGGAGATTGTGAATTAGCAATCAGGTTGAGGAGCTATTTAAAAACATACATTGCCTATTTGATTTGGATTTTCTATTTTTCTATTTTTCTCTGGTTTGATGTAGCAGTAGCCATTTGATTTGGCTAGAAGATTTAGCTATAAGGAAATGCTTTCTGCTTTTTGAAACTAAACCAAATTCTCATTTGAAGCAATAAGTTTCTAGGAATCTGTTATACACGTGAACTTATTTGATGACTGCAAATACCTATATTAATTTCTTGGACATTGATTTGGAAAAGGTGATTTGGAAAAGGGAGTGAGGGAGAGTGATTTCTAAACTGACTTTTAAGAGTTATATTCATTAACGAAAAGAGGTGTATCTCATTTTTGCTTAAAATTTTGTTCCCATTATCCAATTGAAACTGTTAGCTAAACAGTGTGTAGTTTGAAGATAAACAAGGTTGATCTTTTTCTCTTTATTTCAGTGTAGTATGGTGCTCCTATTTATGTGTTTGTAAATGTGCAAGATGAATTGTAATAAGAAGAAATATTGTTAGGCACTAAGGTCTTCCAGTTAAGGTTGTGATTGATTACAAAATGATGGCAATCTAGGAATCACAGTGATGATTATAGTGATTTAGATTGATAAGGTAGTGTTTTGTGCTTTAACTTTCAAATGATATGGCATTGGCATTGCTGCTGCTCCTTTGGTCCACAACATAATTTTTCTGTTTGAGCAATTAGATATATCATTGTCCTTGTGTTTTTATTAATTTTTAACACTAAAAAGAATTATATTTTAAATTAAAGCTGGTCCTAAACCAAAATACCTACATAGCTCTGCCAAGGACTTCTGCACTATTGTCGTTATTGTTTTTAGTTCACTAAACAGGTTGAATAGAATATGGGATGCTTCCTTTGTGAGAAAAAGCTCTATAACCTCTATGTACTCATATAACCATACCCGCTGTCTTTCCCCAAAGATTTCTGATGGCTTGAGTTATTTTCCACTATGCCCCCAGACCATCTACCCTTCAGTTCTCTTTATCTTATAATGTGTTTAGAACAATGTCATTTAGGTGTCTTTAACTTTACTAGGGTAGTATCCTGTTTTTCCATGTCAGATTTATTTGAGGAGGTGGAAGGATTTGGTTTGGGGTTTTGGACAGAGGACCATTTGAGGTAAGAACCTCTTCTTCCTATTACACTTAGTTCCATTTAACGTGTGGATTATAATTTGGATTTTATGATTTATGTTTTCTAATGGGTTTGTGCCATGCATCATATTAGTCTTTACATTGGTTTTTCGTAACTGTTTTCCTTATTTATTTGTGGTAATTGATGATTCGATTTCTGTTATTATCACAAAGGTATGCTTAGACAGTCGATATTGAGAGGTATGAAAAATGAATTCAATTTTTTTAAGTTGGTTTATTGATGACCAGCAATCAGTTTTCTTATGTCGAACTCTTTTTTGATGGCTTATTTAGTTAAGATTGTGAATTTCAGCTTTGCTCTCTCTCTCTCTCTCTCTCTCTCTCTCTCTCTCTCTCTCTCTCTTTATATATATATATATTAATTTTAATTTTCTTGGTTTTGGCATCTTCTTGACCATTGACATTTCCTTATTTTGTTTCTTTTGTAAAGGAAGATGATGAGTTTGAGAAGGTCAAGCAAATAATTGACAGTGTTTGGGAATTCCACGATATTAGATCACAACCCCTATTAAAGATCATGACGACAAAACTTGAGGATACAAAAGGCATAGTATACATGTATTTTGTTTTGTTGAAAATAGTATATAGGCTTGGTAATAGTCTTAGAGTGGAGAAATAATGATTGCAGAACTTGGGTTTACCAAGGGCAAGAATATATGGAGCTTGGCCTCCAGTCTTTCAGTGGAATTTGGATATGTTATGTGTACTTAAATCACTAGTATGCTTGTGTACTTTTGAATGAGAAATTTTTTTATTCATGTAAGTTTCTATTGATCTATTTATCTAAATGTATTGTTTTTCAAAATTACAATATGTTAATGCACAAAAGGTTAATATTATTACAAAATATAATATAAATAAAATAATTAAAAACACAAAATATACATATTTTAGCGACCAACTAAGTAAGCCTTAGCGACCAAATCTGGTAGTCACCAAAAACTATCGGCGACGAACCAATCTATTTGGTCGCACAATCCTTCCTCAGTTCGTGGCAAATTTTGGTATTTTTGCGGGAACCTGTCTTTATAGGCGACCAACTGATCATTGTAAGGCGATGAAACCAATTGGTCGCATAAAGGTTTTGGCGACGAAATTTTTTTTTCGTCGCCTTTTGTCACTTTTACTTTCAGCCACGAGCCTTAGGCGACCAAGATTGCGATGAAATTATTTCGTCGCTAAAGGGTTTTGGCGACGAATTTACAGCTTTTAGCGACCAAAAGTGGTGGTCGCCAAAAGTGTTTTTCCTTGTAGTCGCTAGCATACATACCCCAATTCCTTCCCCCATCAAACCTGGCCATGGAAAAAGGAAAGAAATAAAGGAAGGAGATGGCTGGGAATGGAAGTCTCCCACTGAAACAGCTACAGGAAAGAGGGCCTTGAGCTCCCAAAATTCCTGATTTTATGCAAATAGATAGAGGAAATTTCACCAGGATAGAAAAGTCAATGGATGAGAGGAGAAAGGAAGAAAAAGCTTGGCCAAGTTGGGAAGAAACCATTAGGCTTTCTTGGGAAAGGATAGTTTCCAACAAGCTATAAAGTGAGGCCTCTTCGACCTAACAAAACTCAACTCAGATTCAGAGAGCAAGCTTTCTCTCTTACCTGCAAAAACCCAGCAATTTCGTGCACTATTCCTCTTCTGGCAGACCACTTTCACATCTGTCAGAAGCTTTGTCAAGCTGCTGGAAGACCATTGTTCTTTCTTTCTCTCTTCTCAGCCAAATCAGCCTGCAAACCTCTTCTTCCTCACCTTAAACATTCCCATTTCTCCTTAGGAAGCCAAATTTTCCTCTTTGGTGTTAAACTCATGCTGATTTTGCTTCCATGCCACAAGCCTCTCATGCCAAGCTAGAAAATTTATCTGTAAGCATCAATAAATCATCTGTAAGTAGCCATTATTTTCATTGGTGAAGGTAACCAGAACGCTTCCTAAGGCTCTACTGCCCTTTTAAAGTGCTTTTGGGGCTTGATTTTCTAACTCAGACACAGGGGGCAATTTCAGCAATTTCCCTTTTACGGCGGCCCAGCCCATTTGCAACTGCTGGAAGAAAAAGCCCCCTACAACAATTAAAAGAGATCCTATATACTTATTCTCCAAGAAATAGAACCTACTTATTCTCCAAGGAAATACAAATATCTACTATATTTAAAGACTAAGTATTTGCATGTATCAATAGGATGAATTTGGACTAGCCACCTCAAGTTAAAATGGGTTCCTACATGTTGCTCTACCAAAATTCTATTACTAAGAATGCATGTAAAACCTCCACGTGCTAACTCCAAGTCATGGGTTGTTGATAAGGAAAAAGTAACTTGATAAAACACAAACTACATGTCCATTTTGGAGCTAGTTAATTGTCTAAATACATTTAAGTATATAAAACCCCCAATGACATCTCAAGCAATAATAAACAAATATATAATTTAAATAAACCTTTTTTTATTTTAAAAGAACATATATATATATATATAATAATAATAATAATAATATACATATAACTATTGAAATGGTATTATAAAAGTAAAACAATTATAAATATACATTTCCTTCTTACTAAGATAATTACTTAAGAATAATAATATTTATTTTTCTTTATTCAACATTTAAGAAAACGGACTCTCACACGGCCACTTTTCGGCCATGGTACAAGAACGAAAGTTATTCCACTTGATGTTTAGAACATTTAGGTATATGTCTTGACCGACGGTTCGAATATTTTCCAATCGTCGAAATTTCTCTGGGCACCCACGTGCTGCCGTCGCATGTGGCGGCGCATGGGCACTGCTTGGGTGACCCTTTTTTGTAACAACCCCATCCTAAATTATTATTTAATTACTAATTTATTCAAGTTGACTTTTTGACCGGGAAGGAATTCAAGAATTTTAGTTGTATCGTTGCATAGAGCATGTTGAGGCGAGTCTGTAGACACGTAGTGGGCTCGAATTGGAGTATAGCGAGGAAAATATGATCAAAATACATTGAGGGGCAAAATTGTAATTTGGGTGAAACTGGATTTTTAAAAATCCAGATTTTTTCCTTCCTCTCGGTCGGGCTCCCGATCGCGCCCCTCTCCCTTCGTTGGCACAGCGGCCACCACTAATCACCATAGCCACCGCCATAGCTGCCGGATTCCGTTGGAAAGAGCTCGAAATTGCGCCGGTTTTGGCAGAAACTTCATGGCGTCGATCTCTCTCCTCCGACCATCACTTCCGACAAGTGAGGTATGGTTTCTCATCCACTTTTCGAGCTCTAGTTGATGGTTGGGTAGGACTTGAGAAATTTCTAGGTTTGACAAGTTGATTTTCGAGTTAGGGTTCGGCCGATTTTGGGATTGCAATTCCGACCACTTTCGGCTAGTTTTTGGGGTGGGTATAGGGTGTTACACCTAGGGTAGGAGTTTGGGCTGGCGGTTTAGAGTTTTTCCGGCTGCCGGATATTGATCAAACCACCCACGCGCTACCAGCGCGTGTGGCGGGACGTGGACGAATGGGTGGGGACTACTTTCAGTCCTAGAATGATCCTTTAGTCCTCATGAGCACGTAGGATTTCGCAGATCTCAATTCGGATAATGTTTGAACCCCGAACGAATCTCACCTATTGTGCGATTTCCGGGTTCGATATGTTTAAACTGTTGGATCATAGTGAATTTCTTATATGTTGATCTAGGAATTTCTAGGATCGTTTAGGACTCGACGGATCGTAGAGTGGAGTCCCAGACATTCAAGAAACGCCAACCCTAGGGCTAGGTTTATAGTAAACGAGTCCTGACTGAAAGGAGTTATCTAAATCATGTTACGGGTTAAATAGATAGTTAGATATAGGTTGCAGCCCGGGTAGAAGCGGTATCTCCGAGGCCTGCGAGGATTGCGGCTCGGCCTGCAAGGATAGATAGTTAGTTATAGGTTGTAGTCCGGATAGAAGCGGTATCTCCGAGGCCTGCGAGGATTGCAGCTCGGCATGCGAGGATTGCAGCTCGGCCTGCGAGGATAGATAGTTAGTTATAGGTTGCAGCTCGGAGAGAAGCGGTATCTCCGAGGCCTGCGAGGATTGCGGCTCGGCCTGCAAGGATAGATAGTTAGTTATAAGTTGCGGTCCGGATAGAAGCGGTATCTTCGAGGCCTGCCGGGCCTGCGAGGAGGGAATTGGCAATATTAATGGAGTTGACGGATCAGGATTAGAGGTACGCTTAGGTGGAGAGAATTTCAGTGCCAAGATATTCTTAAACTAAAGTAAGGGAGTTCAGTGTATGACATACTTTTCCGTGTGTGACTGATATGAGTATAGGAAAGAACTAAGTGTAGCTTGATCCTTCAATAAGAGTACGTAGGCAGCCTGAGGTTACAAGGTGCAGGCACGAGTTGGAGTCCTTGAGATTGTTAATGTATTATTGATATTCTGAAAGTTGAGATGAATTTTATTAGCAGAATGATTTATTTGATTTATAGAGGCAGGAGGCCAGAATATTGCGATGCTTGATTTCTAATATAATAATTTGATACATGCTGGCAGTTGAGTTATATTTGTATTTGCTTGTTTGATAGGTGGAAGTTTTGGGGAAATGTCCAACTTTCAGGGGAGACTCTGCTGAATTTTCAGCAAAAGTTGTATTTGAATTTCTTTGAATTTTTGGTTAGAAGGGCGATCTGGTCAATTGTGTCCAACAACCGCCAGGTGTCGAACACGCACAGGGTTCGACTTAGATTCCAAAGTGGAATTTGGGTCGAGTCCTTTCACCTTTGGTCCTAAAATGATCCCTATGTCATCTCGAGCACAACGGCATGCTCGGATTTCAATTTGGTTATCGTTTGACTATCAATCGGATTACGCATATTAGGCGATATTCGGGTTATATGTTTTGGACCGTTGGATCGGCTCCATTTCCAAGTATGTCGATCTAGGAATCCCTAGGATCGTGTAGGAATTTACGGATTGCGAATCAGAGTCGCGGATACTTTGATTCAATGATTGAAAGATTAGGTTAAACGACGACCATCCAATCATGCTATTGTGAGCGATCCGACCGCTTGATCGAGACCAAACTTGCAGAACGTATTTAGTAGACTTGGTTGAATCTATAGGAACTTTTGGATTCGAAATCGGAGGTTGTGGGCTCCGTGGGCCCTGTTGACCAGTATGGGAAGTTTGATCCCTCTGCTGATCGAGAGTCTTCCGAGGTAGTTTCATACTTTGAGAAGTACTAGAACGATCTTATAAATGAGGCTTGACTGTGATGTGAAGTATTTTGATTATGTTTGGAGTATGAGGTTATGTTATAGCATTTTATGGTATTCCTGGGTATTATTTTGATATTTGAAGGTTATGCAATATTGGAAGTTATGGGATCTCTAGGGGTTATTATATGAAATTATTTATGATTATTATTATTATTCTTATTATTATTAAGATTATTATTAAAGTATATGACTGAGTGATATTGGGTTATTTATAAAAGTCTATTGTTCTAATTGTTGAAAATAGCATTTTATGGAAATTATATGTAAACAAGTATTGATTATTATTTGAATTATTTTGGGGTCTTGACGGGTTTACAAGATTATGTTATGAGATTATCAAACTTTAATTTGATATTGAGGTTTGTGAATATTTTTGGATCTTTATGAACTTTATGCTTGAGAAGGGATTTTGGCTACCCATTTAAAAACTAATTTTTGGAAAGTTGAGAAAAGATTTGGAAAGTGGATTTGTGGAATAAGAGGAATTTTATGATAAGTTTTGGAATATGATTTTCAAATCCACCACAGGAGTACCCCCCCAGTTGCCTTTGGAACAGCTTGATCATTTATGATAATGCCCCACGAGTCTCGGGGACGCTTAAACCGTGTGGTGCGAGGATGTGCGTTCTCGGGCTGACTACATGTCCCCTGAGTTTTGCAAGGATGTGCGTTCTTGGGCTGACTACGTGTCCCCCGAGTTCTACGAGGGTGTAACAGACAGGGTACTTGGAATTGACATAATATTATTGGAATTGAAGGAATATTAGTGGAATTGACGAGTTATGAATGGGGGTACGCCTAGGTGGAGAGTATTTGAGTTTTGAGATGTTTTAAACTAAAATTGATGATTTTATCTTGGTACTTATTGGTGAAGGTTTTAATACATGTTTTCCGATTTATGAGACAAGGATTGAGAGTTTTCTAAGTTTTAAGGATTTTATATGATTCACAATTATTTTCTTAAGTGATGAATTTGTTTTTACATGTGAAAGAGGGAAACATGTTTTATTTAAATTGTTGATATTGACATTAAGGTTTTACGTGGTCAATGCTATTTTAATAATTTTCTCGTTTTCCTACTTATTTGTAATAAGTTAATTATATATATATATATATATTTGTATATGCACGTATGGGATGAGTGGAAGATTGTTTTGAAATCAATGGCCCTTGCTTGAGTTTCATTGGATTGATTTGAGTTACTTATGAAGGTTTTTCAATTTTAGTTTATTAAATTACCTAGGTATACTTATAATTTATGTTGAAAGTTGGAGAAATGAATGGTTTTGTTCTTTATTTGCGTACATGAGCTTTATGTGAGTTTTGAAGGAAAGATGAAAAGTGAAAGAACTACGTGTGGCTTGATCCCTTGGTAAGGGTACGTAGACAACCTAGAGTTACTAGGTGTAGCCATAGAAGCAAGTGCTGAAAATTTGCTCAGTTTGGTCATGTTGGCAATTGATAATGTATCCATACTATTCTAAGAGTTGAAACCAGATTCAGATGGATGAATGATTTATGTGGTATAATGAGGCCTGAGGCCATTTAGATTTATTTATCTGATGCTTGCTGAACGTTTGGGATTTGATTCTCAACTTTAACTGCATTTTGTTACAGGTGGAATTTTTTTGGAAAATGTCCGTTTTCCAGGGGAGACTACCAGTTTTTTGGCAGAAGTTAAATCCTTGAGGGTGGTTTTGTTTTGTAGTTCAGGGTAAGAGGGGTAGATTGGACAAATGTGTCTAACATCTGCCAGGAGTTGGATACGTGCAGGGTTCGACATAGAATCCAAAGTGGAATTTGGGTTGGGTCCTGTCATATAACCTTCTTATAATATGCGACTTTTGCCCAACTCCCAACGCTCTCTCCCGCTCTCTAGCATTCGCACGATCTCTCTCTTGTTCATAGTGTCTCTCTTTGTCTTTCTTGTTCGCTCTCTCTCTGTCAATCTCGAGTCTCTCTCTCTATCTCTCTCGGTTGATCAGTTTTTTTCTTTCCAAATCTTGTTTATTTTCTCCATATAAATCAAATTGACTCTCTCTCTCTCTCTCTCTCTCTCTCTCTTGTTGGTTGTCGGTGTCTCTCCGAGGCTCTGTTCTTGTTGCATTTAAAAGTGCAAAATCTCCTAGGGCAACATATTATTCATTTGAGTTAAGGTACGAAATCTCCTTCTTCAAACCCAAAGTTCATGTCTTTTATTTTTTATTTTTTTAATGTTGACTTGCAATGGCCGCCCTTTCCTCCCACTTTGAATTCTTCATTCTTCACGTATGTGGGTTTTATTTATTTAGTTTAATTTTTTACTTTATGCAAATGAAAAGGACCAGAATTGGAGCCTCCATTAAAATCATGGAGCAGTGATGATGACATCTTTGTCAAACCCATTACACCCTGTTTGGTGGGTTGGACTGGATGGATATTTTCAATTAAAATGGACATGGACCCTAATCATTGTTTGGTGGGGCAAGGTTCTAGTGAGAATGTTGTTCGTGCAAATATTCTCAAGGGAGAATGTCTACTTGAAGATCCTTCGTCTCTAGAATTTCCTTCTCTCTCTTCCTCGATTCATGTGAAAAAGACCGGAGTAAATAGACCACACCCAGGAGGTGTTGGCCAAAGACCCTTCGATGCCTAAGTTAGTTCGATTGAATCTAGGTGAAATAATAGCTCAAAAAGGGTACGAAGTTTTCTTTAGGGTGAGAACCGAGTGGCCCGAACCTTGTGGAGAGACAAAATGGAGAGGGCCGGTGGTTAGGGATATCGTCGGCTAGGAGAGAGAGAGAGAGAGTGGAGAATTTTGAGTGTTTTAGAGCTAGGTTTCGGATTATAATGTGTGTTGGATGAAGCCATGTATTTATAGGGCTCTAGTCATCTAGGGTTCTTCAAAGAATAATTCATATTTGAAAGGAATTTATTCTTTCCCCAAATTGTAGAGATTGAGTCCATTAGGGATTTGATGAGGATCAATTAGGATAATATCTTAATTGGTGATATTATCTTTTTAAAATAAAGATAATATCCCTATTTTTAGTATCAATTAATTTGCCAAATAAATGGGCTCAATTAATTGAACTAGGAGATATTCTTCTTATCCATGTGGCGTCTTGTGATTGGAAGCCGAATTATTTACTCCATGTTCACCCAGTTTGATTTAATCTTGTGATGGTAGGGTAAAGTTCCCCATTGGCTTGACAACCACTGGTGGTCAACAAGTCAACTTACTTTTGTGCATGAGCGTGCCACTACAGTTTAAAACCCTAGCAAACTTCTAAAAAATGGATAACTTGCGCCCCAAGTTATGGATTTTGAATAAGCAATTGTGAATTTGGGTGAGGAATATCTCCCGAGTAAGTTCTTTTCTTGCCTCAGACTGGTGAGGACTTTACAATTTTTCATAGTACAAAACTGGTAGTTTTGCCCAGAATAGATAAAAAGAAAACAAACTATTTAAGTAGAACTGCCTAATACAGGACTCAAAAAAGAAATGCCAACTTCGAAAAAGACAACATAACGTTGGACTTCGATTTCTGTCTGGATGGTTGCGTCTGAACTGGGTTGGACTGGATATGTCTATCTGGATTGGATCGTCAACACCTTTAACTGATAAGTTTCAGCTGGAAATCGATACCAATGTTTGAGTTTGGTAGAGCTTCAATCTATTTAGAGCCATGGAAGGCTTGTTGAATGGGCAGAATTGAGGCCCCTTTAGTCTGAAGAGGACTTAAGTGGCTGGATTAATGGTCATTGAGCCGGAGCTGCGCTATGGTACCTGTTCTGCTTGACCAAGGCTTTCTGTAAATTTGTTGAGGTTTTCATATTTGTAAAAACCCGGACTCTGCTTGACTTGGCTTTGTGCTGAACCAAATTTGTAACGAGAGAAATCTCGCTTTGTAAAACTGTTTATCTGAACTGAACTGAAATTAGAGATTTGAATTGTAGCTGATTTGTTTCTTGTAGGTGAAATAGATTTTGGTTGCTTCAGTGTCTGAAGGTTTCTTGAGATCAATTGATTTCTTGATTTTGTCAATTGATAGGAGCATATTTTGCGACTTTGCTATCTTATTTCTTTGCATTTACTTAGTTAATTCCCATTTATTAGAGTGATTTAGCTTATTTTCGTACTATTGTAGGTCTAGATGGCAAGATTGGCAAGAAAGGGCATTTTGGAGCATTTTAGAGCAGTTTTGGACTTGGAATGGATAGCATATGCATGGGCCAAGATGGATGGAAACAACCCTAACTGATTTTATTTTATTTTACCTTATCCTAATCCTATTCTACCTAAATTCCAGCAGGAAAGGGGAGGATTATTTTCAGATTAGGAAACCAAAAAACTTGGTTCTAGAAGAAAGCATTGGGCCGCACCTCTTTCCTAAAAAGGTGGCCTGGGCCCTATCCTTGTTCTAAAAGAAATCTGCCAAACAAAACCCTAATTTCGTGGGTTTCTGCTGGGCCCCTTTACCCTAGATCTACCACATATATAAAGGAGGGGTTGTCGCAGGAGAAGGGAGTTCTTTTGGTGCCGTAGCAAGAAAGGAGAAAGGGAGAAGAAGAACTTGGGGCCGAAACCTGCTACATCCATTGGGTTTTTCAGAGTTCTTCCCTTGATTAGTTTAAATGTTTATTCTAGATTGCTTTTCAATTATTATGAACATGTGTGACTGAGTTTCTTCTTAGTTAGAGGTGAATTCGAAGCCATGGACATATGTTTTATATGAATTGATTACTCCCAGTTATGGTTTCATAAAGTATGAATGTGATTTACTTTTCTGTTTTATTGAGGACTTATTCTTGTATGTTTATTAAGGATGCATACTTAGTTTGCATGCATAGATTTGATGCTAGAATATAAGGGAATTTCACCTAATCGTTATGAACTTATGTTCACAAGTAGTAAAAGTCACTAGTCATGATTGCGTTAAGTAAATTCCTGGCAGGAGTATCATGCTTTTCATAGTTACAAATGCCTTGTCAAGGCTTATGATTTTCATAGAACTTAATGATCTTTGATATGTATCTCTATCATGTTGTTCATATAGGGAACTTGATAAGGATAATTTGATTGCATCGTTGAGTCCAATTCAGTGAACTTAGGAAAATCTGAGAGTTAATTAGTGCATTCACAATTAATTTGGGGCTTTGTCATTCATACTTTATAGAAAAGAGTAACTGGAGATCGATTTGTGTGCATATGTTCCATGTGTGGAGAAGAATCCTCTAGCTATCCCTTCATCCATATTTCATTCACAACTTAGCTGTTTGCTGCTGTCAGTATTACTTTAGTCTAAATTGTCCAAATTCCCCCCAATCATTGTTCCCTTAACTTAGTTTTCAGTTTAATAAGTTTAATTTGTGTTTATTAGCATCCCTCCTAATCCCCAGAATAGAACGATCCCTACTTATGTGTACTACGATTGCATAATTTATAGGGTTTAATTTGTGTGTTAGTTATTTCTCACGCCAAGAAAGAGCAAGAGGTCCAAAGTACAGAGCTTACAAGTTCAGAATTGGACTTATTTGATGAACTGGAGGCAGAGCACTCTGTTGCTGTTCCAGACCTTGAGGTAGCTTCTATTTTCCCAAACCTGTCTTGGTTTCTTCAATTCTGTCTAGTCCTGTTTCTTCTGAACAATGTTTTTGCCTTTCTAGGTGGAGAAAGATAGAATTCTTGGAGAGTTGGCTGTGGTGACCAGTCCTCTCAAACCCCCTGTTGTGGATGTAAGTGCCATTATGCCTTAGCATTCTTCTTCCCTAATTATTTCTGTGTAGAACTAACTGAAGCCTATTCTTGTAGATCCCTATCCATTTTGTTCCAGGCTCGTCAACCATAGCCTCCTTTGCTGATCCAGAATTGGCAGAGTTTGAAGCCATGGACTTGGATGATCAGCTGGACAAACTTGACAAACTAGGGGCTACTCCAAGCAAGGCTAAGTCCAAAGTAGTGGATGAAGCAGTGGATAGAGTGAGGATTTGGCAGAGCTGGATATGCTGGTTGCTGATTATAAGGAGACCAAGTCTACTGCTGATAAGTTGGAGAAACATATTAAAGAACTCTAGAAGTAGCTGGCTGGATTAAGGGAGAGGCAGAACAAGCTTGGCGCTGGACTGGATTAAGGGAGAGGCAGACCAAAGCCACCTTTCTTGTGCAGAGCATGGTTTCAGCTTCAGAGATTGTAGAGGCCTTTATCCATCAGGGAGTGCTCCTTCAAAAAGAAATATCCATCAAGAAGACTGGACTGTAGGAGACTCTTAAAAAACTAGGACTTTAAATTCCATTTGTTGTAATAAAAACCTAGTCATGTATTAATGACTATATTTAAATAAATAGTCCTATTTATTATGTGAAACTCAATTACTTGAACAACAAAGAAAAAACCAGTGTTTAAAAAACAAGAAATAAATATTTACAAAACTTTGACTGAAACTATCAATCAAAAGTTCCATCCCCCTCTACTTCGATTATAGGATCTGTTTGTACTACTTGTGAATCCCACATAGTTGGATAGAACTTCTTTAACCATTTGCCATTGATTGGTGCAGCATGGATGTCTCCATCTTAGTCTTGTAACCTGTATGCCTCCAATCTAAGGACTTGCTTGATTATGAAAGGACCTTCCCATGTGGGTGACCATTTTCCATAGCCAGCCACATGTGTTCCGAGGGGCAAAACTACTTTCCCATGTGGGTGGCAAAACTACTCTCTTTTTATAGGCTCTTGTCACAACCTATTTTTCTGCTAAGAGTTTGTTGAGGGTATTAATTCTACTTGTATCCAGTCCTTCCAATTCTAGCAACATTGCTTGTGAGTAGTCTTCTCCAACTAAATTATGTTGCTGGTCAATTATGATGGACTGAATTGCAATTTCCATGGGTAGAATTGCGTCATGTCCATAGGTTAGGGCATATGGAGTCATGCTAGTTGCTTCTCTTTTTGAAGTTCTGTAGGCCCACAAGGTTTCTGACAGTTTTTCATACCATTGCCTTGGGTTTTCCTTAAGCATTTTCCTGATGATGTTGATGATATCCTTGTTTCTTGATTCTGCTTGTCCATTTGCCTTTGCATAGTAAGGAGTGGATAGAAGTAGCTTGATTTTGGGCCCTTATGCCATATCTTGCATTTCTTTGGATATGAAGGAAGTTCCCCTGTCAGTGGTGATTGATTTTGGTATGCCAAACCTTCGCACAATCTGTTCTTCTATGAAGGTAATGATCTCTTGAGATGTGGTGGATTTGACTGGCTTGGCTTCTACCTATTTGGTGAAATAATCTATAGCCACAATGATAAAACAATGTTGTTTGCTACTGGCTGGATAGATTTTGCCAATGAGGTCCATCACCCATCCTCTGAATGGCCATGGCTTGACGACTGGATTCATGGGGACTGAGGGAGCCTACTGGATTGGACCATGTCTTTGACAAGCTTCACATCCCTTGGAATACCCTATGCAATCCTTCATCATGGAAGGCCAAAAGTAACCATACCTTCTAATCAACCAACACATCTTCCTTCTGCCATGATGTGCTTCACAAATTCCCTCATGGACTTCTTCCATGACTTTCATGTATTCTTCTTTTCCCAAGCATCTCAAGAGTAACTCATCTTTGGTTTTCTGGACCAACTCTTCATTCCACATGACATAATTTAAAGCCATGATTCTTACCCTTTTCTTGGATGGGAGGGCCGGATATTGTAGATAATTAATTAGGGGTAGTCTCCAGTCCTTCTCACTCATCATGGAAAAATTGACATCTATCTCCATCCCTCTAGTCAGAACGAAAGGCAGACTTTTCTTTCTTACCTTGATGATTCTCTGTACACAGTCTTTGTGCATCTGTACTCCTATTGCTATCTAGGCCATCTCATTAGCTGCAAGGTTTTCTTCCATTGGAATATGTTCCCAAGTGGCTTCCATGAATTCCACCAGGAGATTTCTGGCTGCCACTAAATAGACAGCTAAGGAGGGACTCAAACACTTGTACTCTCCAGCAATCTGTTTCAATACAAGCATGGAATCTCCCAGAATTTCCACAGACCGGATTCCTAGCTCCACCAGTATTTCGAGACCTATGATCAAAGCTTCGTATTCTGCTTTGTTATTGGTGCATTGGAAATCTAGCTGGAATGAATAATAGTGTCTGATTCCTAGTGGATCTTCTAAAACAATTCTTGCTCCAGAAGCTAAATCGGTTTTAGACCCATCAAAGTACAGCTTCCAGGGGGTGAGATGGACTGAATAAATGGGATTGTTGAGACAGGTGTGAGCCCTGGTCAGCATATCTGCATTGGATGTATCCATGGAATCCATATTCTCAATTTCTTCTCCTGGATGATCTGCCAAGAAATCTGCAACAAGGCCAGAGTCCATTTACCAATTCTTCCCCTCAACATTGGTTTTGTGAGCATGTACTTAATCGAATCTATTCTGGCAATGATGTAGATGGTAAAGGGTAGCATGTAATGCCTGAGCTTTACAGCAGTAAAGTATAAAGCCAAACAAAGCCTTTCAATTGCAGAATATTTCCTTTCTACTTCTCTCAGCATTCTACTCAAGTAGTAGACTGCCTATTCCTTTCCTTCTTTGTTATCTTGAACTAAAATACTCCCATTGGGTACTTATGATGCAAAGACATATAACTTGAGTGGTTTGCCTCTCTTTGGTAGGGACAAAACTAGTGGATTTGAGAGGTAGTGCTTGATTTCCTCAAAGGCCTACTGGTGCTGCTCTTCCCATTTAAATGTATATTCGTGTTTTAATCTTAACAAGGAGGGGAAAGGCTGGATTTTTCCTGCATAATTGGATATGAATCTTCTTAGAAAGTTGATCTTCCTTAGGAGACTTTGTAATTCTTTCTTGTTCCGAGGTGGCAAAGCTTCCATGATAGATTTTGCTTTGTTCTTGTCGATTTCTATTCCTCTTTAGTGGACCAAGAAACCTAAGAAATTGCCAGTTTGAACCCCAAAGAAGCACTTCTTAGGATTCATTTTTAACTTGTGTTGTCTTATTCTTAGGAACGCTTTTTTCAAATTGGATACATGATCTCCTTTTTCTGGGGATTTAATCACCACATCATCTATGTATACCTCTAGAGAATGGCCTATCATGTCATGGAAAACAAAATTCATTGCTCTTTGATAATTAGCCCCTACATTTCTCAATCCAAAAGGCATTACAATGTACTCAAAGGTGCCTATATGTCTTGGACATACGAAGGCAGTATTGTGGATATCTTCTTCTGCCACCATTATCTAATTGTACCATGCATTGCCATTCGTGAATGATAGCATTTGGTTATGAGCAGCTCCATCTACCAACATGTCTGCCATTGGCATAGGATATTCGTCCTTGGGAGATGCTTCATTTAGACTTCTGTAATCCATGCAAATTCTGACTACTCCTCTCTTTCTTTTAAGAACTGGTACAATGTTGGATAGCTAGTTAGCATAAATGGCTGGCCTGACAAAACCTGCTTTGACTAGTCTTTCTATTTCCTCCTTAACTTTTAGTTCTATCTCCATGGACTTCTTCTAGCATGCTTGACTAGTAGGTGTCCTTCTTTTATTGGCAATTTGTGCTCTACCAATCTTCTATCTAGTCCAAGCATTTCATGATAATGCCATGCGAAACAATCTTTGAAATCATGCAGAAGTGCAATTTCTAATGAAAGTAGGTCTAGGATCCTCTTCTGTTCCCAGGTTTATTTCTTTCAAAGGATCCTCCATTTCTGGCAGAGAATCATCCAGTGCTGTTGGTGCAAATCCCAATTCTTCCTCTTGCAAATTTCCTTCCTGTACTTCTATACTCTCATGCATGAATTTTGCCATGTTAATGGCAGAATTATGCATAGAAGGCTTCATTTCTTCACAATATACCAACAATCTATTTGTAATGGATCGGATTGTTGCAGCTCGATCCCTTTCTTCTGGTTTGAGCTAAACATCAGAACTCTGGAGGTTGAGAAAGTAAGGCCTATTCCAGCCCTTTAGATAACTAGCTAGACCTTCTTCAATGAGTTTCTGGGCCGTGAAACCATGTGGGCGGCCGTTCTGGTTGACTCCGAAGAAAGTAAAAGGACCAAGGTCATCATGATAATACCTGGCCTCAAAACATAATGCAGATGGTAGAAATGGCCATGGGTCGGCCTCCACGATTTCCATGAAACCCTCTTCATGCCAGAGGGCCAACTGTTGGTGTAGGGTGGAAGGAACACACAGACTCTGGTGAATCCAGTCTCTGCCAAGCAATGCATTGTAAGTGGTATAAGTGGTGTCTACCACGAAAAAGGCAATCTTCAGCTTTTTGATTCCTACTATGACATCTACATCTAGTATTCCATGAGTCTTGGTGATGCCTCTAGCGAAATTGGTGACCATTAAGAGTGTTGGGATTAGATCTTTCTCTGTTCTGCCCATTTTGACCAATAACCTATGAGGCTGAAGATTGATAGCTACACCTCCATCTACCATCACTTTAGAGATAGGAACACCCCTAAAATTTGCAGTGACGAACAAAGGCCTAAGATGGTTGGCCATTTCCTTGGTAGGTTTGGAAAAGTACAGTTGTTCTGCCGAAAATTTCATGGCAGTTCCGCCTATCTTGTAAGCAAATTTTTGCTGTCCTGGTCCCTCTTCTACTTCTATCAACCTGCACTCAAAAGTTTCTTGTGAAAACACATCTCCATCCACGGTGCTTTCTTGTCCTTCTGCTGCTCTAAACTTTTCTGGCAAGATAAACACCATATTGATGCCCAAATTGAGACGACCCGACCCAATTTCTACTCTGGAATCCGGGCCGAATCCTGTTTAAAACTGACACCTGGTGACTGTGGGTTGTAAATGACCAAAATACCCTGATAAACAATAACATAAACCCTGAGCCCCTAACTCGTGGCTGCGCCTGATAACTGTAGGCTGCCTACGTACCCTTACTGAGGGATCAAGCCACACGTAGTTCTTTCCTCTGTTCCTGTCCTGTAACTGGTTTGTTTTACTGTAAACCTCACTCTAGGGCTGACATTCCTGGAGTATCCGGGACTCCGTTTTACGATCCATCAAATACTATACGATCCTGGGAAAGTCAAGATTAACATACTTGGAATTAACTACGATCCAACGGTTCAAACGTATTGAACCCGGAAATCACACACTAGGCGAGATCCATTCGGGGTTCAAACGTTATCCAAATTAAGATCCCTGAAATCCTATGTGCTCATGGGGACTAAGGGATTATTCTAGGACTGACTGTGGTCCCCACCCTGCTGCCCACACGCCGCCACACGCGCCGGCAGCACGTAGTGCCTAAAGTGATAACACTCTGCCGGAAAAACTCTAAACCACGGCTCAAGACTCCTACCCTAGGTATAACACCCTATTTGGAGCCACTTTTGTTCTTGGTCCTACCCCAAAAATTGGCCGGAAGTGGTCGGAATCGCACTCTCAAAACCGGCCGAACCCTAAAGTGTAAATTAAACTGTCTATGCTTGAAATCTTTGAAATCCTACCCAACCAGGAGCTAGGGCTCGAGAAGTAGCTAGAAATCCATACCTTAACCATCAAATTTGGTGGCCATATGAGAGAGATCGAAGCCATGAAATCCGGACCCAAAACGGTCGGTTTCGAGCTGATTCCGGCGACTGGCATGGTGGTTGTTGGTGGGGATGGGCTGGGCTGTGCAGCGGAGGTGACGCCGGTCCTTTTTGGGCCGGTCCGATCGGTCCGGGTGGGGTGTGGTGGTGGCTGGGAGGAGAGACCCAATCGGAGCTGAAAACACAGGGGGGGAGGGGGGGGGGGGGGTCGCGAGCTGGAGAGAGAGTTGAGAGGGTTTAAAAAAAAATCTGACTTTCTAAATTACCATTGTGCCCTTTCAAGTATTTTGACCGTAACTTCTTCGTTATAATTCCGATTCGAGCCCACTACATGTCTATGGACTCGTTTCGTCACGATCTACGCAACGGTGCAAGTGGAATGGTCAAATTCTTTCTCGGTCAAAAGGTCAACCTTTCCTTTACTAAATTAGTCCAAGGGCAAAATTGTCCTTTCTTCTTAATATTTTAATAATTAAATATTAATTAAGGACTGGGTTGTCACACAAATCACCTTCTAACAGGCTTTCCAGTTATGCACCAAAAGCTTGAGTTTCATCATCTTGTTCTCCGTCATATTCCATCTGCTCTTCTCCATATTCCTCTATCCAATCTTCTTGCTCAGCTGTTTCGAGGAATCTAGTTTGATTGTTGTAGATGGTTCTTAATCGAACTGTTCGTCTTCGTATTCTTCAGTCCAATCTTCTTGGTATTCTACTGGAATAAGTCCAGATTGATCTTGTGATTGTGAAGGTTCCAACTGTTTTTTCGAAGATGAAGGCTGGTGGATAGGGGACTTAATTGGGATTTCTGTTTCTGTCAGTCCTCTAGTTTGTATGTTGCCTATTTGGTTTGAAAACCTACTTTTGGCTTTTTCTCATTCTTGGCAAAACTGATATCTGGAAGCATCTATGTTTTGTCCCTGTTCTTGAGGAAGGTGCAGTGTTGCCTCTGGATTCTCCTCTTCTGTGTTCTGGTTAGCTCCAAAGTTGGCCCGTTGCTTTTTCCAATAGAATACCATCTGCCTTCTATGATAGTTTCCAAAGGCTTATCATTTTCGGGCATTTTAATTGTTATTTCCTTCTTTGGCTGCTTCGTCATCTTTCAGATGCGTTGGGCAGGCCTTTGATAGGCTTTCTTTCTGGTGGTGTCTCTGGTTTAGGTCGGAACAGGGCTCTGTTTTTATGACGTTCCAATTCTGTCAAAGTCACTGGTTGTAGGTTGTATTTGCTGCACAGAACTACCCCAGCTGAGATGGTTGCCTTTGATTTCCGATTTGCCTCCTTTGTAACTCTTCTGTTTATGTTGGGGTTGACTTCTGCTATAAGCTTGCCTCTTTCCTATTCTGGTTAGTTTAAGTTGACCATGTTAACTTGAGGTTGGGGAAAAGGGTATGTGGTCACTGTGGGAGGGTTTCTCAGCTAGTTTTAGCCTCCATGTCGTTATTCCCTCTTGTATGACATCTCTGAAAACAACACAACTGTTGGTGTATGACATCTCAAGAGTTGTGCCATCTGCAATACCGTCTGCCCTTAAGTTCCTCTTGCTTGGGCAATTGTGAATTTGGGTGAGGAATATGTCACAAGTAAGTTCTTTTCTTGCCTCAAACTGGTGAGGACTTCACAATTTTTCACAGTACAAAACTAGTAGTTATGCCCAGAATAGATAAAAAGAAAACAAATTGTTTAAGCAGAACTGCCTATTACAGGACTCAAAAGAGAAATGCCAACTTCAAAAAAGACAACAGAACGTTGGACTTCAATTTCTGTCGGGATGGTTGCTTCTGAACTGGGCTGGAATGGATATGTCTATGCTGGATTGGATCGTCAACACCTTCAACTGATAAGTTTTAGTTGGAAATCGATACCAATGTTTGAGTTTGGCAGAGCTTCAATTTATTTTGAGCCATGGAAGGCTTGTTGAATGGGAGAATTGTGGCCTCCTTAGTCTGAAGAGGACAGAAGTGGCTGGATTGATGGTCACTCAGCTGGAGTTGTGCTATGACACCTGTTTTGCTTGACCAAGGCTTTCTGTAAATTTCTTGAGGTTTTCATATTTGTAAAAACCCAGACTCTGCTTGACTTGGCTTTGTGTTGAACCAAATTTGTAACGAGAGAAATCTCGCTTTGTAAAACTGTTTCTCTGAATTCTAGCTGATTTGTTTCTTGTAGGTCAAAGAGCTTTTGGTTGCTTCAGTGTCTAACTTGTTCACCTTTGATTTTGTCAGTATGACTTCGAGAGTTTTTGTCTTGATTGATTTTTTGGTTGTCCTTTGCTCTGTTCACCTCCTCTCATATTTATATGAAGTGCCGGAGTGGTGTTTTTAATCTTTAATAATGGGCTGTAGATCTTTCAAAAAGATCTTTCTTTTTAAATGCCACAAAAAAAGGAAGTTATTGTTCTAGCAGAGAAGAACTATCAACAGTCAGTTCCCATAGTGGTCTTTTCCTTTATTTTTCTGAAAGAAAAACCAACTCTTCTTGTTCTCTGTCTGTCCCTTGTAAAAATACAATCTATCATGATGGTCAGTTTGCTTTTCCTGATGAACAACTCCCTTGCTCCCTACTTATATCTTGAAAATGTAACCTGCTTATCTCTTAGAAATATAACCTGCTTTGCTGCAGAGCTTCTCTGCATATTTGAGAGGGGATTTGATCTTCTTTCCCTAGCTACAAAGTGGAGAAGTTCTTTTGTAAGACTTATCTTCATTAACTCCCCCTCACTTCTTCTGTGATAGTTGAAAATTTTAACTTTTCCAAAGTTAGAAAGTCACGTGGGGAGCTTGAGAAAAAGATCTACTGACTTGCCTTTTTGGGGTAGAGATCAAGTGATGCAAATTTCTTATAAGTTGGGCTTTTTATCTAAAGTTGTGTGTGTAAGTTTTTTAATTGCTAATAATGGTATTTTATTCTTTAGATCATGGCTATATTTGTAATCTGCTAAAAATGTCTGGGCTTTTTCAGCATCTTGGTTTGATTTCTAATTCCCCTAGATATAAAGCCAAAATGTTTCATTCATGGGCCTTTGACCAAAAAATGGGCTAGCATGCATAATTTTGGCCCAAACACTCCCACAAATGCCCCCCCCCCTGCATGGCCCTTGTGAGGCATGTGGGAGATGAAAAATATTCTCTCGGCTTTCTTGTGTGAGTTGGACTCCTTTTGCAAATGGGCCTCCCAATCGGAGTAGGTTCATGCCCCCCAATTTCTGCATGGCACTTGTGAGGCATGTAGGAGATGAAAAATATTATCTCGGCTTTCTCGTGTGAGTTAGACTCCTTTTGCAAATTAGGCTCCTAATCGGAATAGGCTTGCGATTCCTCCTTGACCTAGGATGCCCAACCTTTATAAATACAAGGCTCCTCTTCATTGTTCTTCAAATTGCAAACTTATCTTCTTTACTTTCTAGGTTGAGAGAGATCTTGGAGAATTTGTGCTGCTTGTCGAAGAGAGGAGTTTCTGTGCATCCCAAGGTTAGTCAAGCATGTATTTTTTTCCTTCATCTTTTCTTCTTGGCTGCGTCGGCGACGATGGTGGTGCTGCGGTGGTGGCAGCTGTAGCGTCATTTTTTCTTTTTCTTTTTCTTTCGGCTGGCAAGTTGTCATCATGGGGCATCGGCAGAGAACCAAGAATGATCACATTGTTGGAAAGGCCTTCAATCTCTTCTTTGAATGTAGATTCCTCAACCAAGAGGCTCCAAGTAGAATCCTTCTACCTCACCATACCAAATGGACTAGAGAAGAAGATAAGACAACCGAGAAGACTTAAATGCTAGACTTCCTCTAGGTTGGTCCGAATTTTTGGCTAAGGAAGATGAGAGGGAGAGAGTCCCACCTACACATCACACCACCATGGAACACCAAAAATCCCCTAACTAGGGTTTGAGTCATCTTTTCCATTTATAGGCAAAAGCACATAAAGAGAGAGAGAGAGAGAGAGAGAGAGAGAGAGAGAGAGGGACCTCTCATGGCTGGCATGGATAATGGATGGGCATACTTGGGTCTTGTGGATTTTGTGTTGTCATACAACGCTTATGATGTTGCCCAAATTTTGGGCCCGATCCGAAATCAATTGGTTAAAGCAATTGGAGACTTCAAGTTCGTTCGAAGTTTGTGCGAAGTTTGTAGCGTGGTTGGAACATCGCTCAGTTTTAGTGGTTGGATTTCAATAAAAACTTACCACATGAGTCCTCCCACCAAATTATGATGATGCCCAAGTTTTGGGCCCAATCCGAAATCAGTTGGTCAAAGAAATTGGACACTTTAAGGTCGTACGAAGTTCATGCGAAATTCATACCGTGGTTGGAACATTGCATAGTTTTAGTGGTTGGATTTCAGTAAAAACTTACCACATGAGTCCTCTCACCATATTATGATGTTGCCCAAGTTTTGGGACCGATCCGAAATCAATTGGTCAAAGAAATTGGACACTTCAAGTTTGTACCGTGGTTGGAACATTGAATAGTTTTAGTAGTTGAATTTCAATAAAAACTTACCACATGAGTCATCCCACCATATTACGATGTTTCCCAAGTTTTGGGCTCGATCCGAAATCAATTGGCAAAAAAATTGGACACTTCAAGGTCGTTCAAAGTTCGTGCGAAGTTCGTATCGTGGTTGGAACATTGCATAGTTTTAGTGGTTGGATTTCAATAAAAACTTACCACAAGAGTCCTCCCACCATATTATGATGTTATGTACGTTTTGAGCCCGAACCGAAATCAATTGGTCAACGAAATTGGACACTTGAAGTTCATAAGAAGTTCGTAATGTGGTTGGAACATTGCATAGTTTTAGTGGTTGGATTTCAACAAAAAGTTACCACACGAGTCTTCCCACCATATTATAATGTTGCCCATGTTTTGGGCCCCATCCGAAATTAATTGGTCAAAGAAATTGGACACTTCAAGATTGTACGAAGTTTGTGCAAAGTTCATACCATGGTTGGAACGTTGCATAGTTTTAGTGGTTGGATTTCAATCAACTTTACCATATGAGTCCTCCCACCATATTATGACGTTACCCAAGTTTTGGGCCCGATCCAAAATCAATTGGTCAAAGAAATTGGACACTTGAAGTTCGTATTGTGGTTGGAACATTGCATAGTTTTATGGTTGAATTTCATTAAAAACTTACCACATGAGTCCTCCCACCATATTATGATGTTCCCTAAGTTTTGGGCACAATTCGAAATAAATTGGTTAAAGAAATTGGACACTTCAAGTTCGTACCTTGGTTGGAACATTGCATAGTTTTAGTAGTTGAATTTCAATAAAAACTTACTATTTACACCATAATCAACCGAGTATATCCGGCCCCCAAAATGACTAACACAAATGCAGACACGTCTTCTTCCCTGCCGAAGGAAGACACTCTTCCGAGGTACCAGATATCTGTCGAAGCTCCCGACTGCCGAAGCTCCCAATTGCCTCCAAGACACGTGTTATCACCAGAGCGACTTGTACAAAGTCCCACATCGAAACTTTGTGCAAACCTCCCACTTTCACTTCCCTATAAATAGGGAATAGTACCCAAGTAAAAAGGGTAATTTCTCTCTCACTTGTACTGTTATTCTGCCAATTTTACCACTCATAGCTGACTTAAGCATCGGAGAGCCTTCGGCCAGCACCACACCGGTGCCCGAAGCTTGACAACTGCTTCTCCTACTTTGTCTTTTGCAGGCTCTTCCCTTGTTGAAGGTCCTCACCTTCTCCTCTATTGAAGACTATTCACTTCTCTCTAAGTTGACCTCCCAAAAAGAGCATCAACAGTTTGGCGCCGTCTGTGGGAAACGACTTCTGAATCCCATCTTTCTCTACCAGCCCATCTGGCTCCTTCTCCCATCAGGCCTCGTTGCCTCTTCTTCACCCCACATTCTGCTATGCCTACCGAGGATAGCCAAGAAACTCAGCACCATACCCCCCGCGGGGGTACCTCCCAAAGGAAACCTTCAGCAGATACCATCTCTAGGCAGAAGTAGAGCTCCTCCACGCCAGCATTGCCAAGATGTTCGAGAAGTACGAACATCTTCATACAAAGAATGTTGAGCAAGAACATGACTATCGTACACTGAAGCGTAACTGGGAGAGGAATCAGGGCCAAAGCTCCCCAACATGACTTTACCCAGGATGCTGAGCATACCCAGCCAAACCAGCCAGTGCACTCCCACCATAGTGCCTCAGTCCAGTCTAGGCTCAGCAAGGGTAAAGGCCCCACCCATCCGGAGACAACCAAGTTGCGGCTCCTTCACATCTCCCCATCGAAGGACCGACCCCATGAACCTGTCAAGATCTATAGAGATTGCAGGGACCGTCTCTTAGACCGTCAAACAGACCCTATTCTTATCCCTGTTAATCTCCAGGCCCCAAGGGTGACAGACCTAGGCCCCCCACCGAAGCCTACCCACTTACTCGCTGGAGAAGGTGCAGGGGACTCGGACAATTGGGAAAATTATCATTCAGAAGATTGGGAAAATTATCACACCGAGGTGTTTGAAGAGTGGGAACCTTACTCAGCCCCTGCTCACCCACACCCCAGGCCTTCAGCACTCGACACTCTCCCTCATGCCGACCCGACCATGAGGCTTTTCTTCGAGCGTCTGGAGAGTGAGGAGCACCGCAGCCACCAGCCCCTCTGGGCGAAGCCATGACCCGGGCCCTTTACTGAGCGTATCCTCAATTATCACCAGGAGAAGGACATTCAGCCCCTTCGTATCGCCTTCTACACCAGCACAGAGGACCCTCTCACCCATATCCACTCATTCCAGTCTGCTCTCGGATGCAAGGGCCTTAGTGACGAAGGCATGTGCCTCATCTTCCCTTCCACCCTTAGTGGTGCGGCCCTGAATTGGTTTTGCAGGCTAAACCCCCGCACCCTCAACACATTTGACAGTCTAAAGCAGACCTTCCTGGACCATTTCATGATCCAGACTGATCACCTGTACTCCACAGACGACTTGTACATGCTTTGGCAGGGTGAGGATGAACCCCTTTGGGAGTATGCAGCCCAGTTTCGCCATGAGTACTCTCGCTGCGTAGAGACTGACGATCGAGCTTCCTTCGATGCTTTCAAGAGTGGCCTCCGCGAGTCCAACTTCCGGTACCTAGTCCACAGCAACCCTTGGAACACATATGCTGAGCTCATGAAGTAGGCAACAGCTCACACCAAGGCTGAGTACTTCAATTCCAAGCGTGGCCCAACCACCCGGGCACGGAACACTTTTGCTAATCCTCCATCTGCTTCAGTATCCACCCCAACCCCACCTCAACATTTGGCTCCCACACCAAGTACCTAGGTTACCCAGCACCCCAAAAGGAAGGATAGCTACCAGCATACCTTCAGCAACAACAAGCGTGGCAAATATGGCAACCACCACCAGCCAAGTGGAAGCAACCCTCCCAGGACAAGTGATCGGGCCCCACTCTCCTTCATACCCAAGCCTAGGTTCGAGGTCTTCACCACCCTGAACACTACTTATGAGAATGTCCTAGTGCACAAGGCACCCATGATACCCAGGCCTCCCCCTAGGAGACTGACCAACAAGCCTATGCCAAACACAGGTGTCTTCTGCCATTTCCATCATTTCAGCGGCCAGGATATCGATTCTTGTGTTGCCTTGCGCAACAACATTGAAGGACTTATTCGTGAGGGGAAGCTGGATAAATATGTGCACAACCTCCCACCCTACCTAACCCTCACCAAAGGCAGATCAACATGATCTCCACCATCAACGGTGGCCCCACGTTAGCTGGAACCTCCAACAACTCCGTCAAACACTATGTCCGTTCTTCCTATGCGCACTAGGTCTTCAGCACTGAGCATGAACGCCTGCCTAAGACACAAAAATCAGGCTAGGCCCCCATCACCTTCTGTGAAGAGGAAGAACATGGTGTCATTCTCCCACATGACAACCCAATCATCATCCGTGCAAACATTTCTAACTTTGATGTTGGACGTATTCTAGTGGACAATGGCAGCTCGATCAGTGTGATGTTTGCTGATGCTTTTAACGAGCTCCAAGTCCCTACTCACTTGTTAGATAGAGCATCACACCCCTTGTGAGCTTCTCTGGTGATGTTGTTCAGCCCATTGGCAGCATCCACCTCCCTATCTCTATTGGTTCAGCACCCCAGCGGGCAACATTCACTACTCCCTTCCTTATCGTCGACTGCCCCACAGCTTACAATATCACCCTTGGGCGCCCAGCCTTGGTGCAAGTGAAGGATTTCATTTCCACACATATGTTATTGTTGAAGTTCCCCACCCCCCATGGCATGGGCACGGTGCGTGGCGACCAACTTGGAGCCCGAAGCTGTTATGCTTCAGCAGTCAAATACACCAATCGCCAACATAGGGGTGAGGCCCTCGCAGTAACCAAGGCTCCAGCCCTTCCTCGAGCTGGCACTGAGCGACCTGAAGACCCCAGGGAGGAATCCATCACCCAGCAGGCCGAACTTGTGGAAGAACTTGAGCTGGTTACTCTCCATGACGACATCCCAGATCAGGTAGTCTGAAACCATGAAACGGTAGTCTCAAGCCATGTTGGTACACATCGGTAAATATCAACACGCACCCCTCCGGAGGATATCTAACCACATCAGCAGAACTGGGTGACCTCAAGCCCACCGAAGGTGGAACATTAAACTCTGTTCGAAACTCTGCCAGTTTCACCTCTATAAGTATATTATGCCTCGATAAAGGGACACCAACACGGATATCCACCCCCTCTGAAGCTGAAGCCACAGCTATACCCACAGACCTTGACGGTGATGCCTGATTACTTGAGCCCACCTCTGGTGTATAAGGCAAGGCTTGAACCCGATCAACCACAACCTCTAACACTTTGTAATTCCTCTGCATCTCCCTATATGCCTCTGACCTAGAGTCTATTGATGGCTCACCCCTCTCACCCTCGGGCACTACCATCCTACTTTCTATAATACCTTCTACCACACCCTTTGTCTAGGAACTCTCATCTTCATAACAAACATATTGGCTGGGCTCTTCACTCTTAGTATCTTCCCCACCAAAGGTAGGGGGGTCATGAATTTCTCTATCAAAACTTTCAAACACCTATAATATCCAAAAGCAAGGAAAAGGAACTAATGCACATGCAAGAAGGATAGAAGCATACATTCAACAAGTTCATATCAATGTTCAAGGTGTTCATCATGTTCATACTCATATTCAAGGTGTTCATCCTAGTCTTCAACATGTTCATGCAAAAACAGACATTTCAATTTGAAAATTCAAGGGAAATGAGGTCTAAACTTGTTTGCACCACCACGCTAAGATGCCGGAAATCACCTTGGCCACAGCACCACCACGAGGTATCTTGCCGGAAATCTCCTTTTCTCCTTCTCACTTTCTAGAAATTTATCTCAAGACTCAAGTATGTTTGCCTTCTCCACCTAGAGCTCCTATTTATAAAGCACCAATGGTACAATGCCTCGGTTCACGAGAAAACCCTAGCACCCATTCACATTCCCTCCCAAATCCCTTGTACTTGCTCAACAATTTGAAATTCAAATTTCAAATTAAAAACAAAAAGCAAAACCAAAAAACAAAGAGAAGGGAATTCGAATTGACCTTGACGAACGGCAAGGCCCATGTAGAAGGAAATGGGGGACTGACAAAAAATTCTTACCTTGCCCAAGCTTTGCTGACCCAGCTCCAAGAATTGACAAACCCAAGCCCTTGATGAAACTTGATTGAGCCGGCTCCAAGGTTTGACAAAAGCCCAAGGGCTCAGGTTCTCTTGTTGACTCTCACCTTGCAGCCTAGCTCCAATTCTCCTTCCAAGCCCTGCTCAAAGACAAAACAACCAAGGCACACATCAGGTTCAACACACCAAAACTCATACTGGCCTTGCCGAACGGCAAGGCCCATGTATAACTAAATAGGGGCTCACAAAAAACGTGTTCTCACCAAAGGCCCAGCTCGCGGGTCACTCACGGAACACCTTGCTGAACGACAAGGGCCGTGCAATTGTTGGAGGAAGATTCAACAGGTTCGTAGCCACAACCATTCGGCAACAAATCCTCTTCCTTCAAATCAATTTGGTGCTGACATTGAGTTGGGAACTCTAGCTTGCCGAACTCAATAAAGACCCAACCTCTTGCCAAGGTGATCTTGCCGAACATTCACATCAAGCACCCTTGCCGAAGACAAGGAGACAATTTCCCGAAGTTGTCGAAGCAAACCCACTTGCCAGACCCACTTCTTGCCGAACGGTAGGAGGAGATGCTCCCCTTGCCGAGAGTGAGGCCACAAACAAAATTGTTCTCAACTCACCCTTGCCGAACGGCAAGGGTTGAGCAAAGGAAAAGGCGGGCCTCAAGGAGCACTTACCGCCTCACAGTTCTTGCTGAATTCGACCTCGACCCGAGCTGATCTTACCGAAACCAAGCTCCCCTTGCCGAACCCAGCCACAATCCTAATATCCAAAACTGGAGCGCTAAAAAGGCACCAAGCACCCTTGCCTAGGGCCTTGCTGAAAGAAATGAAAGCTCTCAAATTTCAGCTCCTACCGAATCAAACCTGCTGCACCCGAGACCACTTTGCTGCGTTGCCCACACTACAAGCGAAGTCCCCTGACCCCTCCAAATCACACCAAGCAAGACCTGCCGAATGGCAGGTCCTGTGCTGCCGAATCGGGCCATGCCCAATGGGGGCGTAATGATCCTTGCCGAAAGACAAGGGCTCTGGAACATGAAAATAGCAGCTCACAATATCTGCACCACCATTGTGGACAACTCGAATATCCAGACCACCCAACTCTGGAGCTCCAAAATGACTTCAAATCACCCTTGCCGTTTGGCAAGGGTTGTGAGACAGCTGCGGAGGAGACTGGAGTTCTGTCAACAGACCCTTTCTAGCCGAAGCCGTCAATATGCTCAAGCTAAACCAAGACGCATCAAAGAGACTCGAATTCACAAGGAGAAAGACTTGCTGAACAGTAGGTTTAATAGATAGCGATACTGCACCTTCAAAACCATAGCTTCCACCTTGCCAAAGCCCAATTTCACCCCAGCCCATGGCCTACTGAAACACATAAAGCCTGAGCTAGGCCCCGCACCCTCTTGGCCCTTAACCACAGCCCCTACCAAAGGCCCTTACGAGTACCACTTGGGCCTGCTTGCCGAACGGTAAGCATCAAATCGAGGCAATTAAAAAAAAAAAAAAAAAAAAAAAATGCAGGCTCCCTTGTCGAAGTCGAGGCTCACACAGATTTTACCATACATTCCAAGCGTTCACGCAACTTCTAGCTTGCCAAGTTGGGGGACTAGGGAATGCCTTATGGCTCCCACTGAATCTGGAACACTCGGTCACGATTACACAAAAAACTCACAAGTTTCCAACCTAGAAGTTACTTCTTGACCGCGAACTTGGGGGACTACTGTTTACACCATAATCAACCGAGCATATCCAGCCCTAAAACGACTAACACTAAGGGAGACACGCCTTCTTCCCTGTCGAAGGAAGACACTCTTCCGAGGTACCAAACATCTGCTGAAGCTCCCAATTACCGAACCTAATGTCCAAGATACGTGTGACCACCAGAGCGACTTGCACAAAGTCCCACATTGAAACTTTGTGCAAAACTTCCCACTTTCACTTTCTTATAAATAGGGAACAGTACCCAAGTAAAAAGGGTAACTTCCCTCTCACTTTTACTGTTACTCTGCCAATTTTACCACTCATTGCTGACTTAAGCATCAGAGAGCCTTCAGGCGGCACCACATAAGTGCTCGAAGCTTGACAACTGCTTCTCCTACTTTGTCTTCTGCAGGCTCTTCCCTTGATGAAGGTCCTCACCTTCTCCCCTGCTAAAGACTATTCACTTTTCTCTAAGTTGACCCCCCAAAAAGAGTATCAACATTTACCACATGAGTCATCCCACCATATTACAATGTTTCCCAAGTTTTCGGCTCGATCTGAAATCAATTGGCAAAAGAAATTGGACACTTCAAGTTCATACGAGGTTCGTGCGAAGTTTGTATATTGGTTCCAACATTGCATAGTTTTAGTGGTTGGATTTCATTAAAAACTTACCACATGAGTCCTCCCACTATATTATAATGTTACCCAAATTTTGGGCCCAATTTGAAATCAATTGGTCAAAGAAATTGGACACTTCAAGGTCGTTCGAAAGTTCGTGCGAAGTTCGTATTGTGGTTGGAACATTGCATAGTTTTGGTGGTTGGTTTTCTTCAAAAACTTACCACATGAGTCCTCCCACAATATTATGACGTTGCCCAAGTTTTGGGACCTTTCCGAAATCAATTGGTCAAATAAATTGGACACTTCAAGTTCATAAGAAGTTCGTACCGTGGTTGGAACATTGCATAGTTTTAGTGGTTGGATTTCAATAAAAATTTACCACACGAGTCCTCCCACCATATTATAATGTTGCCCAAGTTTTGGGCTCAATCCGAGATCAATTGGTCAAGGAAATTGGACACTTTAAGATCGTACGAAGTTCGTGCCAAGTTCGTACCATGGTTGATAAACCCTTACCACATGAGTCCTCCCACCATATTATGATAGTGCCCAAGTTTTGGGCCCGATCCAAAATCAGTTGGTCAAAGAAATTGGACACTTCAAGGTCATACGAAGTTCGTACCGTGGTGGGAACATTGCATAGTTTTAGCTGTTGGATTTCAATAACAACTTACCACATGAGTCCTCCCACCATATTATGATGTTGCCTAAGTTTTGGGACATTTCCTAAATCAATTGGTCAAATAAATTGGACACTTCAAGTTCATATGAAGTTCGTCCCGTGGTTGGAACATTGCATAGTTTTAGTGGTTGGATTTCAATAAACATTTACCACACGAGTCTTCCCACCATATTATACTGTTGCCCAAGTTTTGGGCTCAATCTGAAATCAATTGGTGAAGGAAATTGGACACTTTAAGATAGTATGAAGTTCGTGCCAAGTTTGTACCTGTTCACCCGTTTTATGTTTGTTCCTGTGATGGCAGGGTAAAGTTCCCCATTTCCTTGAAAACCATTGATTGGTCAACAAGTCAACTTTCTTTGTGCGAGCGTGCCACTGCTAGCAATAAAAAGTCCTAGCAGACTTTAAAATAGATGACTTGCGCCCCAAGTTATTGATTTCTAAACAAATGATTGTGAATTTGGGTGAGGAATATCTCCCAAGTAAGCCCTTTTCAGGCAGAACTGCCTCTTACAAAACTCAATAGGAAAAAACCAACTGTAGAAAGACAAAAAGAAGGCTGGACTTCCATTTCTGCTTGGATAGAAGCTTCTGATCCGGGGACAGGGTATACCTGTGCTGGACTAGACTATCAACAATTTCAACTGCTAAGCTTCAGCTATAAATCGATACCAACGTTCGAGTTTGGCAGAGCTTTAATCTATTTCAAGCCCTGGAAGGCTTTTTGAATAGGCAGAATTGCGGCCTCTTCAGTATAAAAGGGGCTTTTTGAATGGGCAGAATTTCTCTAAGTCTGAAACTAGCAGTTTTGATTTGTAGCTGGCTTCTTTCTTGTGGCTCAATGAGCTTTTGGTTGCTTCAGGTTGTTTGAAGGTTGTTTGAGATTAAGTGATCATTTTGAGTTTTTGCCTTTGATTGATTTTTTTTGGTTGTTCTTTGCTCTGTTCACCCTCTCTTATATTTATAAGAAATGTTTTGGAGTGGGGTTTTCTAATTCTTTTAATAATGGGCGGCAGAAATTCTCAAAATATCTTTTGTTTTTAAATGCAAAGAAAGAGGGAAGTTATCTATTTCTGGCAGAAAAACCGTCAATAGTCAGTTCTACGACAATCACTTCCTTGTTTTTCTTGAAAGGAAACCTAACCTCTCTCCAATTTTAACTGCTTCTTTGTAAGAGCTCAAATTGTGATGGTTAGTTTGATTTTCCAGATGAACAACTCCCTGCTTCCTACTTATCTTTTTAGAAAATACAGCCTGCTTATCTTTTGGAAATGGTACCTACTCTGGAGCAGAATTTTTCTGAATATAAAAGAGGGACTTTGATCTCCTTTTGACTAAAAAAGGCATGTTTCCATTAATTCCCATCGACTCAGTCGATATTGCTAACTTTTTAAAGTTTTTAGGTAGTCACGTGGGTTTGTCTCCAATTTTAGGCATTTCTTCTCTTGTAATCATGCCAATCCCAGGTTGAGTTTTTGGAGTTATGGGTTCATTTTCCTTATTTTTCGAAGCCCACTGTCATTGTCGTGTTTTGACAGATTCTGGACTGGGCTTTCTTGGTTTTTAGGTCCTTGATTCCTGTTTATTTGTAAAGTCCAGACTGCTTGGGTCCTGTGGTTTGTTTTCGCTAATCTGGGCTTTCAGCATTGGGTTGGGTGTGCAGAATTTTGGCCCAAACAGTACCATGGTTGGAACATTGCATAGTTTTAGTGGTTGGATTTCAATAAACCCTTACCACTTGAGAGCTCCTACCATATTATGATGGTGCCCAAGTTTTGGGCCCGATCCGAAATCAATTGGTCAAAGAAATTGGACACTTCAAGGTCATATGAAGTTCGTACCGTGGTTGGAACATTGCATAGTTTTAGTTGTTGGATTTCAATAAAAACTTACCGCATGAGTCCTCCCACCATATTATGATGTTGCCCGAGTTTTGGGACCTTTCCGAAATCAATTGGTCCAATAAATTCGACGCCGTCACTTCCAAACTCTTCCTCACTCTCTCCTAGGGCCACCTGTTCTCTTCGTCCAGAAATCGGTAATCGACGGTAGCATCAAAGGGAAAATCGGTAGAAATTGCCACTCTCGCTGGTAACATTTTCGGTGCCTAAAAATTGGAAGTGTCTCATTTCTTTGACCAATCGATATCGGATACAGCCCAAAACTTGGTGACCATTGAGTGAAATCCAATCGCTAAAACTATGCAATAAACCAACTACCCCATTTACGGAACGAACTTCACACGAACTTGAAATGTCTAATTTCTTTGACCTATTGATTTTGAATTGAGCCCAAAATTTGGGCAACATCATAATATGGTAGGAGGAGTCATTTGGTTAGTTTTGATTGAAATCCAATCACTAAACTATGCTATACACCAACCACTGTATTTATGGAACGAACTTTGTACGAACTTGAAGTGTCCAATTTCTTTGGCCAATTAATGTCAGATTGATCCCAAAACTTGGGCAACATCATAATATGCTGAGAGGAGTCATTTCGTGACTTTTGAGTGAAATCCAATCGCTAAAACTCTGTAATACACAACCACACCATTTACGGAACGAACTTCGGACGAACTTGAAATGTCCAATTTCTTTGACCTATTGATTTTGGATCAAGACCAAAACTTGGGCAACATTATAATATCGTGGGAGGAGTGAATTGCTGAGTTTTGAATGAAATCCAATCGCTAAAACTATGCAATATGCCAACCACTCCATTTACGGAACGAACTTCGTACAAACTTGAAGTGTCCAATTTTTTTGGCCAATTGATATCGGATAATGCCCAAAACTTGGGCAACATCATAATATGGTGAGAGTAGTCATTTGGTGACCTTAGAGTGAAATCCAGTCGCTAAAACTCTGTAATACACCAACCACTCCATTTATGGAATGAAATTTGCGCGAACTTGAAGTGTCCAATTTCTTTGACCTATTGATTTTGGATCAAACCCAAAACTTAGGCGACATCATAAAATGGTGGGAGGAGTGAATTGGTGAGTTTTGAGTTAAATCCAATCGCTAAAACAATGCAATACGCCAATCACTCCATTTACGGAACGAACTTGAAATTTCCAATTTCTTTGGCCAATCGATATCGGATAAGGCCCAAAACTTGGGCAACATCATAATATGGTGAGTGGAGTCATTTGATGACCTTTGAGTGAAATCCAATCGCTAAAACTATGCAATACACCAACCACCCCATTTATGGACCGAACTTCACACGAACATGAAATGTCCAATTTCTTTGACCTGTTGATTTTGGATCGAGCCCAAAACTTGAGCAACATCATAATATGGTGTTTGGAGTCATTTGGTTGGTTTTGAGTGAAATCCAATCACTA